TCCCCCCTTGAAAAAGGCGTCTCTTGCCTCCCTCTCGGGTCTAAATCCCCCTCCCTCCACCCACACCCAACTAACCACGGTCCTAAAAACCTTCGGCGCGCACCCTCTCCACCTCGCCCCCCACGCCACCAAGCTCATCGACCTCCTCAGTTTCAGTGCCGAGATCACAACCACGCAAGACTCACCTTACCAGCACCTACACCCGGCGGTCAAGAACGTCGCCACTGTTTTCGCCTCAAGCCTCACCCCTCGTGTTTGAAAAGGGGAACTGGCGCGACTACGAGCTTGTGTGTTCTCAGCGCCAGATTCTGAACTTCACCCAGACGGTGAATTGTCTGCAGGGCGCGAGGGCTTTGTTTGAACTCGACATCGTGCAGGTGGGTGTTGAGGATGAGTTTGAAGACGAGGAACCGGCAAAGGCAGAGGATGTGATGGGGAAGTATCGGAAGCAGTTTGAGGAGTATCTGAGGGCGTTGGTTATGCTGACGCGTTCTACGCCGGCTGAGACGAGGGGTTTGCGGACTTGGTGGGACATGAGGTTAGCGAGGTTAGGGAGTTAAATGCGGTTATTGAGAGGGCTTGTATGGCGCATGGGGTTGTGAATCTCAGTGTTGCTGTCCCTTCGTCATTCATCGTAAATGACGACAATTGACGGAGAGTGCCATTATTGACGCAGCAACCCTGGTTGTGACAGGGTCAGCTTAGGTGGGTGGGTGGTTTGCTTGATGGGAACGTTTGTTCCCCCGGATGGGGGTTTTTTTTTGTTTGAGCTGTAGGTTAGTAGAATGTGGTGTTTGTTTAGTCTTCTTCTTGGGGTTTCTTTTTTTGTTCCTTACTTGCTTTTCGAGAATCGGTGAGGAGGTATGGGATTTCAGACACGTCTTTTTTCTTGTGTGGGATCGTGAGGATTCACTGTCCTGGGGGATCTACAATCGACGATGGGAGAGTCATGGTGCGGGGAAGAAGGAAGTTTGGAGACGACAAGGCTGCTTGTTTGAGCCTGGGGTCTGGTACATCTAGGTGCTATAGTGTCCACACGTCCTCGTAGCCGGTCTCTCCTCTTACTCAAAAGTTTGTATCAATAGCCAGGCATCCTCGTTCCCACAGTGTCTGAACAGTATGTACTTCCTCGAATGAAAACTTCGCAAAACCCCCATTTCCGTCTTACCACATCCGCATGTAACATGGTCTACCCCGTTCCTACCTTCCACGCACTAACACTTTCCTTTTGCCGTTCGGTCGGCCCTTTTTACTTTTTTGCTCTACTACTGGGTTGCGCTAGTGCGGCTCCGTTACGCCACGGAGGATCCACCGCGCATCCAACTAGTGGCACCTCACTCCACTTGACCGGACTCGTAACACCGTGGTTATCGGGATCAAAGCCGTAGACTGATATCCGCGACCTGCTAACCCCAGCATGTCAAGTAAGTTGTCTGAACAAGGACCATGGCAGGAAGAAAGCGGACAACGCACATTGGTAGCCAAGGGGAATTACGTTAGTGATGAGTGGCGAATAACGCGCGGTTAGAATGATACGATGGTGATAGCATGACGCGTGATATGGGGAAAAGTAGGGAAACTTTGTTCCAGGAAGGTTTCCTGAATGTAGGAGCTTGGCCCGGTGGTGGTATCCCCTAGGTAACCTTGTTTAATGTCATCACGTATTAATCCCAAGGCTATATGCCATTCCCGCTATGATGATTACATACAAGCCTCTAGGATCTCCCCGACCAAGACGCCGAGAGTTCCGCCATTGGGTTGCTGTCAAGTTCACATTCAAGTTGAGTGGATGTGTTGCAGAATTTGTATAGAGGAGAGAGAAAAAACACACGGTGGAGTATTAGGATATCTTGTTGTAGTCGAGGGAGACACAGTTTAAGACACTACGTACCTTGGGCGCGGGTTTGTCGAGAAGATGGAGAAGAACGAAAAAGGAAAAACGAAATGGAGTAGATATCCATAACAACACTGAGTCAAAACGCTGGCATATATGGGGATAACCTCTCATCCCCATCCCTGGTCCCGCTGGAAAAATCCAATGTGTACGTAAAATGAGATGTAAGGGTGTGTATGAATGTGATTGAGTGATATGGGGGCTCCGTAGAGGTGGCGTGTAGCTCGCTGCGTCGCTTGTGGGTGAGCGAAGCTAGCTTCGGAGTCACCTATTTGTGTTGCTTTATTTATTTTGGGATTCCGAAACCCAGTGGGGTGCACGTGTTGCCGGGCCAGCCGATTGCATCTAAAACGTGCGATGAAGATTCCGTGGAGCTCTGCGAACTGTTTCCCCCCAGGGCAAATCGTCGCTCCAAGTGCCCCCCATGTCGCGATGCGCGACTCTGGTGTGTCGTGAGATGTTGCTGCCACGACGCCTCATGATGAGTCGCGAGAAGTCGCATCTGGTGCTCATCCTTGCTCGGAGGAGCGGTTGGCTGCTCGATCTGGATGCCGCGATGACTTGAATTGTTGGAAATATTAATCAGCTTGGGAATATAACGACGCGACGGCGGCGTGCTGGGCGCTGCTGTTGCTGCTGTTGCTGGAGGAAGTTGGGTGGGAGACTTTGCCCGTGGATAATGCCCAAAGTTGGCGAACTGCGACGTCGGAACGGAAACTATCTCTTTAGGTTGCTGGTAGTCCATGTATTGTGCGGGTTGTTGATAGCTAAGCAGGTCGGGCGTCGATGCGAAGCTTGCGTTCGGCCAACCCTGTGTTTGTGGTTGGAAGCTCTGTGCCATTGGTTGTGAGAAATCTGTCGGCATCGAGGTCATGCTGGGGTCGAAAGCACCAAATCCACTCATGCCCGTTGCTGCACTCATGCTCTGGTGAGATATGTTGCTGCTGACAGGCCATTGTGACTGCTGCATGTCTTGATGATGCATCTGCTGCGGTGGATCCACCGGATCAATATCCATCATCATGTGCTCTTGAGATAGCCCATGTGAGCTCTGGAGCCTGTTGTCGTTTACAAAGTCGTTCTGCTCCAGTTTGAATTCGACCATCTCGCCTTGGCTGTTATCCGCCGGCTCTGAAACGTCAGGTGTGGACTCAGTGGTCGGCTCGACGACGTCTTTGACTTCGATTTCGGCCAAGTCGTAGGTGTCCTGCACCAACTTCTCAATGTCGAACACGCGCGTATCCCACTTTGTCTCGAGCTTGTACCGTAGACGGTTGCACTTTTTAGACTCCCATGCTAACGACGGCCAGTTTGATTCGTCGCCGTGGCGATCTGTCATCATCTGGTTCCACGCGCTCGAGACCTCTGGCTGTTTGAGAAGACCGAGGACGACGTTGGTAAAGTTCCACTTGGATGCGCCCTTTTCTTCAAAGTGGAGGGCGATGTGCTCGCATCTCTCTTCCCATGTGGTCAGTAGACAAGCACAGAAGCCACAACCCCAAGCGTCTTTGTCGTGCATGACAATCTCGTATTTCTTGACACATGGCGACGCTTTCCTGCTAGTGGGTTGGCCACTTTCCCTTGGTTGTTTGCAGTGTTCGCAGCCCTAGTGTGTGTTAGCGCAGCAAAAAGGGGAGATGTCATGTAATACGTACGTGTAGCTTTGTGTGGTGCTCACGGAAACGCTTCCCCGCATGGAAGATTTGTTCGCAATCGGGGCATCGCCATGTGAGCCGTTGCTCGTGGAACTCCTCCTCGTGCGACTTCCAGTAGGGTTTTGACTTGAGGGCTTTGTCGCAAAAGGTGCAGGCAAAGTTCTTGGGCGCGGGCGTCGATGCGGTGGAGAGAGTGGAGAGGCGGGAAGAAGCAGTGGAGAGACGCGACGAAGCGGCGCTGTAGTGGGTAAAGGAAGAGTCTGTGGATGCGATAGAGGAGCGCGGGTCGGAGAGCATGCTGGGTACTCTACTCGACGGCACGCTCAAGTAAGAGGACGCGCGGCTCCCGACGGTCGACATGGACGACCTGTCTGCGGCAGAACGACGCATGCCATCTGGGAATGCGTGAGCAAACATGGCCTGGCCGTCAGAGGCGAAGTTCGACTGACCTCCATTGCTGCGGGCGGCGGATAGGAGTGAGAGGATCTGCTGGTCATCGAGATGCTTGAGCGCATTGATGTGATCGAAGAGCTGAGGCGCGAATTGGTTCTGGCCAGAGTGCCTGGGCGACGAGGTGACGCTCTCAGTGACGCTGCTCAAGGGCGTGGTGCTCTGGAGACTGCGGCGGGCTCGTTTGAAGCTGTTGCTCTGCTGAGGGGTGCTAAATTGGTACAGTTGAGACTCGTCGGCCTCCATGGTGTTCAAGTGCGTGCCTCAGCCAGTATCATGCCGGAGATTGGGGGTTCACGGGCCGTATTGGGCGGGCAGAGCTGTTGTCGCTATGAAAGGGAGCGGATGCCGGCGAATGGAGCGTTCGAGAGCTTTTGACGATAGACAGATGGGTATAAGCTCGGATCTTAGGCCGTCAGGAAGACATTGATCGTCCAATTTCCCGGGCGGAGACGGATGGCTCTTGTTTAGAAGAGCAAGATCCGTGGTCTGTTTCACGGGTTTCAAGAAGGCACTAGGAGACTGCCTTGGCATGCAGGCACGCATGCCCTCGACGGGTGCCGTCCGTCCTGCGCTCGGCCCTGGCTCATGTAGCATGTAGATGCACATGGTGCAGGCCAGACGCATTCAGCCGAACGCAACAATCTTGTTGTGACGCCTCTCGCTCGTGTTGCGACGTCCAGCCTAGGACGCGTCAAGCGCCCGATGCTTCAATGGGAGATCGCCGCGACGGCGCTGCAGGGACCCCAGCGCCGCGTCCCTAGACCAGCTTGCTCAGGGGTAATTTAGCGGTGCAGGTGAAACGCCCATCTGCTCGCCATTCTGAAGGCTGTCGTACCGTGAAATCCAGCGCGCACCCCACCATCATCGCAGCCATGGCCATGGGAGCGAGGCGCCAACGAGAAGGTCATTGGCCCGCGCCGCGTCTCAGTGCAGCCTGCAAAAATGTGGTTCGCGTGGCAGTGCAACGCAAGGAGTTGGAGTTGGATGATGCTCAGGCGTGGTAGTTGCCTCGCATTGAAGAGGATGCCTGAAACTGATGTGTTGCGTTGCGAGAGAACAACAACTCTTTCTCACCCTCACGATGCGATGCGGAATGCCGAATCGGCGAAGCCCGTCCGGTCCGGTAGTTACTGTACGGTACTGAAGACGACCGACTTGATGCTTGCTGGGGCTCTGGCTGACTTTGCGCCTGCGACTCCACTGCTCCACTGCGCTGCCCGCTCCACTCCACTCTGCTGCAGACCCGCTGCCCGCTACTCATGGCATCAGTGTCGTCATTTTGGAGGCGCGAAATAAGCCAAGGACTTGTGCAGATCCCGCATAACCTCGAATGATCGCTGCTGCCGTCGTTGGGAGCCCTCAAGGTGATGTCTTCCTTGCCCGATCCGCCTAGCTGGCTGCCGTCTTTCTGGGGTACTGCTGGGGGCTATTTTTGGCCGAACGCAATGGTCCGGTCCCAACTTCCATACCGTACCTCTCCGTGCACAACCATCATGGCTTTGCCGCCTATATCCAACCACGGCATAAGTCGAAACGCGCCCGCTGTAATTGTCGGCCTACCATACTCTGACAGTCTGTAGACGATGAGCTGACCAAGCGGATCTTCTGCGGCGCGGTGGCGTGCGGCCGTGGCCGTGCGACAGGTCTCCGGTCAGTGTCAGAATTTATGCGAGCCCACTGTAGATGCTAGACCCGACGACATATGCCCCCACTCTTCCCACAGCCTTGGCACACGTTGAGCGTTGAGTAGGCCTATTCTAAGCAGACTGTCCCAAAGCGACTGACACACAACCCGCCTCCACATCCATCGTCACCTGTTGAATCTCCACCCCAAACACGAAACAGTCAGCCGAGTGGGTAAAGAAATTACATGGAAGCATGCGTTCATGCTGCTGATGCTTTGGGTAGCGCCGTCGCGGACCACCTCTTGAAGCGGGTGCACGCACTGCCCGGTAACAAATAAGAAAAGGGACATAGGGCTGAGCCTTCGTAAGACGGACATGTGTAGTCCACGCAGCCAATCACTTGCCCGCACCGTCGTTCGTTTCGTAACCCCCAGACGCGAGCAATAGGGATGCATCAACGATTGAAATTTAGGGTAAATGGATAAACACACATGTGTCGGCATATAGGGACGTGGGCCCAGGGTTGCGACGGCCAGGCTTCGGAAACCAACCACCTGCTCAATCAGGCCTGTGCTATATATGGTTACAACCAGATCAGATCGAGAGGAGAGAAAGACGAGGGTTGGGGTAAGTACCAGACAAACGTTGGAAGTAAAGTAAGCATGTCGTCGGAGACATCTCCGCAACTTGACATCTACTTTCAAAAAGAACGAGAAAGGAAACGCCGTGTTGCAAACTAAAATAGCACTTTCTGTCTCCGAGGTACTACGTGCAACATGTTTTGTGTGATGTGACTGCAGTATTTTTTGGTTTTGGAGGTCGGGTGTGGAGGTTGTCACGCTGAGTGGAAGGGGTTTAGCGCCACTTACGAGCCACATGTGGTAGGCGCATGTCGGTCGCGTCGCGGTCGCGGTCGCGACTTCCAAAATCACGCGTAGTCCAAGCGTCCTCCACAACGACCGACCCCCACCACGAGCTTTGCAATTGAACATATCGATTACTCCGAATTGCTAATTATTCATTGTGGCACCCTAAGATACTTGTGAGAAGTCACTTTATCTCTCGATTCGGGTCTAGAGTTTCCTAGACAACACTACTGCGTGAGGGACACGACTACATCCCGAATCCGAACATCCACCTACCCCCCAATTACGCACCCAATAACTATACTTAATACAAGGTGCCATAAGATGTCCTCAACAAACGGTTCACCAACAACTACATCAATGCGGACCTCTCCAGCACGCGGAACGGACGCGTCCACCAAACCTCGTCCCAAGCTCCTAGCAGCTCTGCGGAAACGGACCTCGGATTCTTCAGAAAGTGAGGCCGAATCCGACAATGGGAGCTCAACATCTGAAGATGAAGCGCCCATCACCAAGCCTGCCGAGAAGGCCAGCGCGAAGCCCCTTACAATGTCAAGGTTACAAATCGACGATAATGAGACAAACGAAGACGAGAGCGATGGAGAGGATGCATATGAACTCATGAAAAAGCGACTTGCTGCCAGCAAAACTTCAGCGTCGGTCCAGCTGGCACCACAAGAAGCACCACCAGAAACACCAATCGTAGCTACCATTGAAAGTAGTGAGGATGAGGATGAGATGCCCGTGCGTGCAAATGTGCGCAAACCCATCGCTGAAAGAACAAATACTGTTAGCCCCCGTGCTTCCCCATCGCCTGGCATGCGGTCACGGCGATCATCGCCAGGTCTGTTCGTCACTCCTGGCCCCTCACCAGCGAAGAAGCAGCCTCGACGATCAGCGGATGCAGGCTCCGAATCAGATGAATCATCGCGGTCCACACACGATGCCGACCTTCAAGAGCGAGTACGACGCATTCGAGAGGAAAGGCTGGCGAAACAACGGGAGGAAGAAGCGGGGCAAGTAAAGCCGAAGAAGACTGCGCGGCGTCAAGAGGATGAAGACAGTCACTCTGATGGCGAGAATAGCCGGCGGCTTACCCAACATGCTAAGCCAACTCGAAGAGCAGGCAAGAAAGCTATGGAGGCAATGGCTCGCGATCAGCAGCGCATAAGCCGAAACATGCAGCTTACCCACCAAGCCAAGACTAAGAAACGTTTCACGACACAGGATTTGTTCAAAAAGTTCAATTATAATGCGCCCAACGCCGAACCAATAGCACTCCCGACACCAGAGCCGAGTTCGGCGCTCGCTTCATCTGATGCAGAGGCAAATCAGATCCGCGACACTCCTCCAGCAAGCCCACCCAGAGAAGAAGCCGCCCTACAAACAATGACGGCATCTGTGGATCAACAAACACTCATTGCACCACCCGACAACCAAGATCATGCTAAAGTTGACAAGGGCAAAGGAAGAGCTCCCGAGTTCCAACATTTGCCCGCGCATCCTTGGATGAAACAAACAGAGCCGGTCATGGTACAGAATGCCAGGGTGGACATGAAAAATACTTCTGAAGATGCCATGGTAGAACTCTCTGATTCGGACGATGAGCCACGGGTAGAACAGCCGAAGAGCAGGTTTCCTGTCTTTGACCGCCTGCCTACAAAGAAGCAGGATAATGTTGGGACCCATGTAACACTCCGTGCCCTTGCTCAAATCTCAAAGTCTCCACAAAGAAGCAAGAAGGGGCAAAAGTCGGTCACTCGTGCTGAAATGGAGTTGTCATTGGCGCTCAAAGCTCGTCAGCAAACTGCAAGAGCGCGAGAAGAGAGGATCGCCGACCTTGTCAAGCGAGGCCTCAAACCTGAAACCGATGAGGAGAGGGAGAAGCGCCAGGTTGAGATCGACGACATGGTGGCGCTGCTCGAGAAGCAGAGACAGGAAGACCTTGAGCTTGCCAAGATGGAGAGGAAAGAAGCCAAGAAGAACGGCGAAACCATAGATGACCTCCCCTCTAGTGATGAGGAAGATGGCGACTATGTCGCCAGTGGGGATGAAGATGCAGCCCAAGGGGAGGACGAGAACCAAGAAGATGCTGAAGTTGAGCTTTCAGGTTCCGAGGACGAAGACCTCGCAGATGCCGACGATGGTGAAGCAACCGAGGTAGATGAGGCCAATGACCTCATCGATGGCATGGCTGATGAAGACCATGCTGACGAGGACGTCGACATGGAGGACGATCAGATCGATATACCTGTCCGAAGGCAGACTGTTAACCGAGCTCGCAAACGAGTCATCGACGATGATGATGAGAGCGATGCAGAGGCACCAAAGCAGGCTACACCCACTCAACCAGCTACGCCAACGGATGCGATGGCTGCCTTTGGCTTCGGGAAAACCGACGCCGGGCTAGGCCTGACCCAAATGTTTGCAGGCACAATGGCCGAACTCGAGGCTGGTTCGCAACCTGTAGGCGCCGTTGACACTGAGCAAGATTCTCTGGCCTTTTTGCGAAATCTACCAGAAACTCAGCCTGGCCCGAACTTCAGCCAAGCTTCAGACTTTTTGGTTCCCAACAGCCAGTCCTTGATGTCACCACAGAAGCCTTCGCATGCGGTTGTCGAATCTCAGTTCAGCCTGGGCATTGACCAGCTAGCCAAGAGCCCACCTGCCCTCCCCAGCACACAAGTTGAGGACTTTGAACCGACTCAAGATGCAGGCTTTTCCTTCTCTCGTTCTCCTGTTGGTCTTGCTCCGCCACCGTCGACAATTGACACTGTTATGATGCCTATTGCCGAATCACCCATCAAGCAGAAAAAGGGCAGGCTTCAACGCGGGCGACGTGAGGAGGCTGTTGAGCTTTCTGATGTTGAAGAAGATCTCATTGCTACCGAAGAGGATGAGAGTGAAGACGACATTCAGCGCCCTCCCAAGCCTAGCAAACATGCTTTCATGAAGATGCAACAGGCAGTCAAGAAGGCGAAGGTTGTGGAAGAATTCAACAAGAAGAAAAGCATGGCTAGAGAGGCTGTCATGGAGCAGGCTGAGGAGTCTGAAGATGAGTATGCTGGTCTTGGAGGAGCTAGTGATGATGAAGAGAGTGAGGAAGATGAAGAGCTGAAGGAAATGATTGACCACGACGATGTCAAGGTTGATGAGCGCCAGATTGCCGCCTTCTATGCGTAAGTTGATATCCAGTCTCTATTGCGGGTTTAATTTAGTTACTAATACATGACAGCGACAAAACGAAAAAGGACGACGAGAAGCAACTCGCTGAGCTTTACAAGAAGATGAAAAGTAAGGGTGGTCTGCGCAGAAATGGCGGCTATGATGGCTTCGACATGTCCGATTCTGAAGACGAAGCCGAGTTGCGCCAGCGCAAGAAGCGTGCGGATTTCCAGAAGCAAACCAATGCACTTTTGCAAGACCAAAAGGTCAAGGCACTTGCAGACGACGAGAAGAAGAAGGCTTTCTTCAACACACTGGCCGACTTTGCCGACGAGGATGAGTACGACTACCTCAACATGCCTGAAAAGGAAACAGACATGGACATGTCAGACTCGCAGTCACAGTCACAAAACCAAAGCAACGACATTCCCATCCCAGACTCACAAGTCGGTGATTCGCAAAACCTTTCCGCTCCAAACAGTCCATTCAAGCGCAAGTCTACAGACTTGCAAAAGGAGAACCGCCCCCCTCCACACATGCGCCCCACCGCCGCATTAGACACTTTAGCTCGCAAACCGATGACAGTCGACGACGTCAAGCACTCGATTTCCGAGCTCATCGAAGACCCACGTATCGTAATCCCAGACTCGCAACTTTCTGACGCGGAAGACGATGACAACGACGATGACTTGCAGACATCACGTACAACAGCGCGCAAACCCATCATCGACCGTCTATCCCTAAGCCGACAGTCCACAGTTGAGGAGTCCGTCTCCGCAAATAGCACAGCACTAGCTTTCCACGCACCTTCACGCAGCTCCGCTGGCACACCCGGTTTCCGCGTTCCCTCACTCATTCGACAGGCGACTAGTAATTTGTCTATCAGTAGTGAGCGGTCTGCGTCGAGTAATAGCAGTAACAGTGCGAACAAGGAAAGCAGTGTCAGACGTGGCGGCACGGGTCGTAGCAATATCCACGCGCAGGCTAGGGAGGCGGAGCGAAGGGCGTTGCTGGAGAAGAAGGAGGGGAAGAGGAAGGAGGCGTTGCGGAAGAAGGTGGAGGGTGGGAGGAAGAAGGGGGTGAGGAGTGTGCTTAGTGATCTTGGGGGCGCGTTTGAATAGATAGGAGGGTGTGTGACTACGCTTTCTAGGGCTTTGTAGTTAATGTGGGACGAAACGATGTTTTATGAGGGGTACTCGCGTGGCATGGAGGATAGGCGATTAGTGTTAGTATGTAGCATATTTCGGAGCAAGGCCTTGAATTAAACACTTATTATTCAAGTATTCTTCTTGTTTGCCAGAGACGACAATGTCTTGTGTTCTCCGTCAGACACATGTGTGGAAAAGCTCGGTAGAGCTCGTCATATTCATGTAATCGATGGTGCTTTGGTTTGGTACGTCAAGGATGGGTACCGTGGTACTGTACAAGGGATAAAAGCTTCGCACGCACACGAAAGAAATCATTTACTGTATCCCCCCTCAATAGATTACTTGTAGGAGGACAATCTTCTTTTACATACGATACACTACATATATACTAAATTACAAGATTTACAAGCACATGTGCGAGGTTTGTATCATACCCGCTCACTCACCCATATCGCACCTCGACACCCCCCTCGTATGACTTCGGTGAGCAAGTCATATGGTTTTGCGCTCTTAGCATCATTCTCTACAGCATGATCCAAGTGCTCCAACTCTTCATCTCTTATTCTCCTAAGATCTACTATCAACTTATCCAGTTCCGGCCCCAGACTCTCACCCCTCTCCTTGCATTTATTTGCCCAGTCCAACAGCACCCGCACCTGCTCATTATAATGGGTCCCGATTTCTGTCTCTACAGCCTCGGTACATGCCATTGCTGCCTCGCGCCCCATGACAGCCGTCGTCCACCCAAGCATACTCGCGGCAGCCGTCCATATGGGCGTCATAGCCGTGGGCCGTATACGGTGCTTTGATATGACGTCATTGAAGTAGTTATAGTGACCTGCTTCCTGGTCGTACATGTGCTTCATGAGAGGCCGCAGGTGAGGGTGAGAGCGGGTGATGACGGGTGACTGGGCAGCGTATATCAAGATGGCGGCGAGTTCACCCGTTTGGTTCACGCGCAAAGCCGAAGAGAGGAATTCTTGCTGCTCCTGGCTGAGCGGTCGTATAGGGTTTTTGCCATTGTTCTGTGGTTGTAATGGCGGGCGCGATTGTTGCGACGACGGCGGGGGCTGTGGCGCGGCGGTTGTGCTGGTGAAGCGCGGGGATTGGTGTGGTGCGCTTGTGGTGCTGGGCGCAAGAAAGTCGTAGACAGGGTAGAGCAGGTTGCGTTGTACCAGATTACGGGGTATCGATCGCGGTGAAAGTGAAAGCAGCGTCAAAGACATGTTTCCCCTTTTGGCTATTGTATTACGGTGAAAGAGGCTATTGTTGATCCGAATTGGATGAATTCAAGTCGATGCATGGTTGAGATTCGATGCCCTCACCACTCATCGCACGCTAGCCAGACCCACTTGCAGACGCGCAGTGGCCCGAGCTCAGCGAGCGTTTCCCCGACCTTTGGACTTCCCACGCTCCTCTTTCTTTCTCTTTCGCCCCTAAACCTCTCACGAATTTGCTTGCCGTACCCTCAGCGACACCGGTTTCGCCTCCATCGTCTTCTGAATCCCATCAAAAACACCGCGAAACTTTGTCCGATTACCTTCACAATGTCGGCCGACGATATCGACGATGAGCTCTTTGCTCTTGCTGGCGGTGATGAAGACGCAGACGTTGAAGAAGGCGAGGCGTGAGTGTTCCATTTCTCACACTCATCACTTTTTTCATCACCACCCCCTGCTTTAATCGCGTTGCTCTATTCTCAGCCCTTCCTTGAACCCTCTACCGCCTACGTTCACCCCTTTCGACAACATGGCGCTGACTCCACGCAGCTCCTCTCCCGCCGCTTCATCGCCAAACTCGCTGGGATCCGATGCCATGGACGAGTCCGACTCAGATCGCGATGATGACGTACCAGAGCGCACCGCAGATGTCCCCTATCCCCTAGAGGGCAAGTACATTGACGAGTCGGACAAGCGACGCATCTTGGGCTTGTCGCAACTGGAGCGAGAAGAGATTCTGGGCCAGCGCGCCGAGGAGATGAGCAGTGCCAACTTCAAGGCTGAGCTCGCAAGGCGTGCGGCGAATGTGCAAAACGACAGGAAGCGCAAGGCCGATTCGGACGAACCCGACGATGCGACGCGTAAGAGCAGTCGACCCAAGGTGCAGCCCCGGAAGAACGAGAAGCTAGAGGCGTACAAGCGCGAGCGAGAGCAGCGTGGTCAACAGCGGCAACAGAACGACGACCGACGTGGTCGCAGGCGGTCGAGTTCGGGAGATCGTCGTGGTGGCTCGGATATCGATGCTGATGGTGAGAGCGACGTCGAGTGGGACGACAGAGCACCTGAGAAGGCTCGTGAAGAGCAGCCGGCAACACTTCGTGACTTTGAGTCTGTCCGCGTTGGTCGAGGCTTCTTTTCTGAGGTTTGCTTCCACCCAGGCTTTGAGGACGCTTTGACTGGCGCCTTTGGACGTGTCGGTGTGGGCCAAGATCAACAGCGGCGAACTCTCTACAAGATGGCGCAAATCAAGGGTAAGCAGTCTGCTACATCTGCTATGATTATTACTAACTCGTTTTCTAGGCTTCTCATCAGGCAAGCCTTATGTCTTCGAAGGCAAGGACGGCAAGCGTGTTGCAACCGATCAATATGTCGTTGTACAGCACGGTTCAGTCAAGAAGGACTACCAGTTCCAATTCATGTCGAACCAGCGGTTTACCGAGAGCGACCTCGACACTTACCGCCAATCCCTCACAGAGACCAATGCAAAGGTCCCCACACAGTCCTTCCTCAAGCGCAAATACGACGACCTCAAGGCCCTTCAAAACCACTATTGGACCGACGCGGACATCAGCTCCCGCATCGCAAAGTCCAAGAAATACGCCCACCTCCTGCACCGCCCCGACTCAGACACGCGCCCCAAAATTGCAACCCAATCAGAAACAGCCGCCGCCCGCGTCGCGGAACTCAACCGCAAAAACCGCATCCTCGAAGCCGAGCGTGTCCGCAAAGCCCAGCTCGAACAACAGCGTGAGCGCAAACTCGATCAGAAGAAGAGGGCCGCCCAGCAAAAAGCAGAAGAAGAGGCCCGGAAAGCGAAGGAGGAAGCAGACAAGAAGAAACAGACCCTCGATGTTGATGCTCTCTTTGACGGTGATGCTAGCTCAAGGGGTACCACTCCTAACCCCGGTCAACCGCAAGCTGTGAAGAAGAAGACGGAGCGGAAGGGTTTGCCGACGTTTAGGAAACCGAAGATGGATGATGATATCATCGCTAGTATGGATATCGGCATGGATATTGAGATTTGAGATCTTGGACGCTGTGGTGCATGTACGCATCTCCTCAGTCTTGGGGGTTAGAGATTGAGGTCTTGCTTGCTCTACCCTGACTTGCTGACCCCCTTTTTCTCAAATTCTCTTCTATACACACATATATACCTGCTCATCTAGTCGTCTTCGTCGTTGTCGTTCATAGAGACTGAACTCCACGACGAACGAACGAAAACCTACCAGAAATTAGGCCACTTGCTGTCTTTTTTTTGCATATTCCACATCTTCTTGTCTGGGCATTGCGCGGTGTTTTGGGGTGTCGGCTGACTTCAGCTGACAGGGAAAGCATAGGAAAGGAAAGCAAGGGACGACGTGCATGTGAGGGGTTAGTTCATTTGTAATTGCATATTTGGTCACGAAAGAGAGAGAGGGAGAGAGAGAAGAATGATGATGACCATGTCATATACCCCAATTTATCAGAATTTTAAATGGTACTTAGAACAATGAACATGTGCGAGTGACACAATTCTATAATAAGTAGACTATAAACGTTTTACGAGCAAGCATGCTGTATACAAAATCCATTCATTATCATTCCAATCATCTCTACATAAAAAGTCACCATATCCATCCCTCATTAAAACGTAAGCGCACCTCCATTAACCCTTTTATCTATCCTCCCTTCCCCCCCATTCATCTACTCTCTAAAGCTGAAAAACCTCCGTCAACTCCCCAAACTCGCCCCTTTCTCTACACTCCCAATACCCATCCTTGCCCCCCTTGAGCCTCCACACCTCCTCATCGCCCAGAGCAGCCGCCTCAACCGTACTAACTTTATTGAACCAGCGGGGTTTCCACTCCTCGCCACGCTCCTCCAGGACGCGTCTCCGAGCACGCTGACTCTCTTCAAGACGAGCTTTCAGTGCCTCAGCCTGATCGACATCACCGTCTTCCAACGCGCGCTGATCGGGTCTGAGACGTGAATCGGTGGGGGCCATGTGATCGCGTTCAATAGATGTGACCTGATTGAGCGCAGCAGCAAAAGTAGTAAGACCGTAATGTTTCTCCGCTTTGTCAACGAGGTCGCCTACTTTCCAGATTGTTTTGCCCGTGGGCTGGCCATTGGAGGTGAGTTGGAGATCTTGGGTCCATTTGCCGGTGGCGCCCATGGAGAGCACGGAGCCGGTGCTGTCGAAGACTTGGACGGATACTTCTTCCGAGCGGCCGGCGAACATGCCGCCGGCTTTGAAGGTGCAGACTGCTTTTGCGCCAGAGGGTTCTGCGACGATGGTCATGGTGCCCGAGGGTTCGAGGTACTTTTCGCCGGCGATGACGTTGCGTAGGTACGAGGTTGCTAGTGTCCAGGAGTAGTGTTCGCCGGAGGAGTGGAGGAAGATGCGGACGCGACCGTCGGTGTTGATTTCTGCGCTCTTGCCCCAGAATTTCTGCATGGGTGTGGGGGATTGGAGGAAGGTCCATTCTTGGGCTTCGGCTTGACAGGCCATGCGTACGGGACGGTGCAGCACCTTTTCGGCGAAGAAGCGGAAGCCTTTGTCCTCGCGTACGAGTTCGTAGGTCTCGCCTAGCATGGGGTTGAAGGGCTTACGGATTGCGCGGTCTTTGACACGGGCGTTGCTAAAGGCCGAGATGGCAAATGCAGCCATGTAGACAAGTCGCTCACCAGTTTCTGGTGCGGCTGTCACTGCAGCGTCAAGCAGTTCGCTGTATTCCAGCTGCTCAGCTAGTCGTTGGAGGGCGGATGTGGGCTCGTTGGCGGATACCGGCATGGCAATAGTAGACAAGTCCTTGCCGACATTCTTCCTGAAAAAGGCAATCAGACTGGGAGGCTGGACCTTTGGTGCTGGCACGGTCGCCCGGCGCTCAACAGGACTGAGCGGCAAGGGCGAGAGAGAACTGGGTTTTGTGGGAAAGAGTGCTGGTGTCATTTCTCGTGACATTCGCGGTCGGTCTGATAAGACCATACCACCGTTTTCTGATGATGACTCGGACATGCCATCAGAGTCTTCATCGGGAGAGGCTTCGCGTTCGCGCTCATCGTCTTTGCTATCGCGTCGAATGCAGAGCAGTTGGGACTTGCTGGCATCACCATCGGGAGCATCAAAGAACTCGTCGACGGACTCTGCTACTGATTCAAAGCTTTGGCGTGATGCACTAGGCGAGAAAGGTGCTGGTGCTAGTGTTGCTGCTGGCGCTGCCGCTCGTCGCTGCTTGCTTTCGCTGATGAGGTTGGAAAAGTCGCTAACCACAGCGTCCAGGTCTCGCAGCAGAGCCATGCAGTTGTCGTGAATGCTCTCCTCTTGTACATGGCTCGACTGGCTTACTATGCTTGCGCGGGGATTGTGTTTGGGTACCGCGAGTGTGCCATTCGCGGGAAGATTGGCGGGCAGAGGCGGTACAGGAGGGATAGCGCCAGGCGACGCAGCGCCTACTTGTGCAGAGACACTCCTTCTGAACAGACCGGACGGACTCTGGCTAGCAGAGGTGCTCGCCTTGCGCTTCCAGAATCCCGACTTCTCGGCGACCTTTTGGTCGGGGAAATAATCGCCCGCTTCGGTCTCAGACGGCGTAGGAGACATGCCCTCGCTCACCTTGCCAACACCCGTTATCGACGCAGACGAGGAATTGTATTTTGGGTCAGTGTTCTGGGCCAGTCTTCGCACCGCGTCTCTTGTACCGGAAACCCTCCCAACCAATGCTTCAACGCGTGCCCACTCATTCTCGTCCGCGGCAGTCATGGCCTGTGTGAGGCTCTGGAATGGGGAGGCTTGTATCTGTAGGGTTGGCGAGGCCACAGCCCTTCGATCCGATGCCGTTCTTGAAGCACGGTCGAGCGCATCCCTCCACATCTTAAAGTCCTTTTCATTGTTGGCGCGCAGCTGCCAGATCTCAGCGCCCGAATCAACAGAGATCTCCCGGGTCTCCTCGTTGGCGCCGACGGCTGCTAGTGACAAGGGTATGGCGCCGCGCAAAGCCGAGGAATGGTCGTTGCGATAGTACGATAGTGTTGACGATGTAAAGTCAAGGGAAAAGAATCTCCGCGCGTAGCCTTGGTTCCTCTTTCTTCGCTTCTTCTGCAACACACCAGTGAGAAATGAGGATCCAGAGACGGCACCCGGTTTCAGCCCAGCTTGTGATCGCGGTCGTTCAGCGTACGCTTGCGGTAGCGATTCGGAAGATTCGACGGGGCCCATGGAGGGGCTTGATTTGGAGAGGCTCGTCGTGCTCGCGGCCATTGCCGATGCATAGTGCATGTGATGCCCCGATTTAGGCGCGGCATTCGTAGGATATGTCATGAGGACAAAGGTGGCAGTCTTGGAAACCGTCTTACTAAACGTGTTGTCGAAGACCAGGCCGTACATGCCGCCCTCGCCCGCCGGGACGTCATACGTACCCATGGAGACGAGATCGGCCTCGCATTTTCCATGCCAATGTACCTGCTTCAGCCCAATTGCCGACAGCTTCTCCAGCACCACGGTTCGGTCGTTTCGCGACGTCGAGGCTCCGCGACCGCGTGTGACGGGCGGCTCCAGCGAGCCAGGCGTACCGGGGCCGGCCTCAAAACTGGCAGACGAGGGCAACTGGGGAGTAGCGCCTGTTGCATTTCCCGGGTGCTTGAAGATACCAAAGTTGATTGACTTCTTATGAGGCTGGACGCTCCAGGATATCGTGTGTCCAGACGAGACATTCACCCATCTTACGAGGTACGACTGGGCTTTCGATCAGCAAAAAAACTCGGCGCAAAAGAGGAAGGCTGTCACCTACTTTGCTATGCACCTCGATATTCTCCATTCCCGCCATGGCTGTCGCTTGGTCCTACCGGCGGTTGTACAATAGTGCAGCAGCTGTTGTGTTCCGAACCAAGAAAACACGCCGATGACGCGGGGCCGCTATAAATGCGTCGGTAGTATACGAAACGCAGACTTCAACTCGTAAATATCAATCTCTCTTCTCGTGCATTCCGGATGACGGAACTGTCAGGCTCGGGCGAGCTCCCGGGAGAACCTCTGTCAGCAAGCCTGCCTGGTGGCACAGTTGCGAGACGTCGAGGTTGAGACACGAGTCGGAATGCGGAATGCGGTCAGGCCGAGAGTCGGGTGTCGTGGGTTGTTAACAGCGCAACAAATTAATGGGCCGGTCGCGGGAAACAAATTATAGATTACAAAACACGGCGCACGCGTGTGTAAGTGTTTTTCTTTTAGCAAACCAACTAAGATCAATCTTTTTCTACTGTCTGGCTGATATGGTTCCGCGCTACAGGTGTCTGATATGCGGCGGCTGGGACCCCTTCAGCCTTACACGGCGCAGCCATCAGCCACCGTTATTTTTTTCTTTACCCATCGCCTACCGTTTACACTGTCCGTGCTTGATCAAGTAACCGGCTTTTGTCTGTAGTAGCCTCGTATTATCTGTACCTGATCCGCCATTGCCACTATCCCTGTTGCTTTTTCCCGCCATCCACGCGCCTTGGTGCAGAAGGGGCCAAGGACGCGCGCCATGTGCTGATGACGTGATGAAAAGGCCTTGCGACAAGCAGATTGCCAGTCTCGGGTCAGCACAGCCTTCACTCATCTCTCCGCCCGCATCCTTCGGCTTGTTTCCATCATGCCTTTGCTGCGCCCAAGCTGTGGCTGCTCCATCTCGTGACTGGCGGCAGTGGGCCTCGTCGGGTCCGTCGGATGCCGGCTCATTCGTATTGCTATACGCGCCTAAACGAGGTTCCACGACACCCACAACCTCTCGCGGCCCTGACTAGGCTCAAATGGGCAGTATGCTGGAATTTCCACGTCGAAATGTCCATACAAACTATATTGCTGCGCTAGACCCGTTCGGACACGGAACGTCATTCACTCCCGCCACCCAATCTGGACAGGTATAGCTACGCGGAGGCTTGTACTGCACTGCGTACCAGTCCAAAGATTTTCCGTAAAGAATTAGACTTAATGTATTCTCCGCTCTCTTTCCGTCTGTGGGGTAATTGCGTGCAGCAACTAATCTCACACAGACTACATCATTGGTGCTGATGTAGTGCGGACAGACCGGATAGATGGAGTGGGTGGGTAGCCATGCTTCATATATAACAGGTCATCGCTTCATCTGCAATATCTTGATCCTCTAGTAGGTCTCGCATCTCCAGTGTGAGATTCAACAAACATGGTCAAATCATTTACCCTCGCCATGTCGCTGGCTGCCACCAGCCTCGCTTCACCACTAACCTCCTCATCCTCATGGCCAGGATGGAACAACATCCACCACCTCTTCGTCTTCGGCGACTCCTATACCCAAACCGGCTTCCAAACAACCCTCAGCCAACCCAGCGAATCCAACCCAATGGGCAACCCATCCTACCCGGGCTACACCTCATCCAACGGCCCCAACTGGGTTGGGTTCCTCACAACAACCCACAACGCCAGCCGCCTCCTCACATACACCCTCGCCTCTGGTGGCGCCACCGTCGATGCCACACTTGTAACTCCCTACGCCCCCACAGTACTCAGCCTAAAAGACCAAGTTCAATCCCAATTCCTGCCCACCTACGGCTCGCACCCAGCTTCCGCCCCGTGGACATCCGACTCCGCGCTATTCGCCTTCTTCATCGGTATCAACGACGTAGGGAATAGCTGGTGGTTGGGCAACACGACGTTGTACGATGCCATTTTCACTGTATATGCAAAACAGCTGGACGACTTGTATGAGACGGGGGCGAGGAATTTCTTGTTTTTGAGTGTACCGCCGGTTAATTTGGCGCCGTTGACGCTGCAGAAGGACGATGGTGGGTATGCGGTAAAGACGGAGGGAGAGATTATTCAGGATTGGAATAAGAGGTTGGGGGTAATGGTAGATGCATTCCAGGCAAGGTATCCTGGGACGACGAAGGCGTTTGTGCATGATACTTGGGGCGTGTTTAAGAGCGTTATTGGGGATCCAAAAAGCTTTGAACAGACTGCTGGGTTGAAGAATGTTACGGGGTATTGTGAGGCGTATAAGAGGTATGTTTGCTTGTTTTACCTTGCTGGATGTTGGGTATGTGGTAAAGATGAGCTAATCGGATTACAGTGGAACGCCGACGTGGTATACAAAGGACGCGAGCTGCGAATATGCGGTCAATGAGTACTTGTGGCTGAACGAGTTGCATCCTACCTTTCCAGTGCACAATGCTACAGCGGCGTCGATTGCGAAGCTGTTGCAGAGTTAGAACATCAGAGGATCAATGATTCATGAAATGGGAAGGACTGGAAAGAGCGAAAGTGTGTAACAGACGGAAACGCCATGATATTAACGATTAAAATACCACACTATTACCAGGTCCAGCCTCGGAAACAACAAAGTATCGATAACGAAAGACATGAGGAAATCGAAGCGAATGCGAAAACTTCTCAAGAAACACAGGAAACAAAAGAAAGGCTGAAAGGAGCGCTAATAACACCCATCAAATCCACACATATCCTCCACTTTCCTTAGTCGTCTCATGCCAACTTATCGTACCTGAACCGCAACACCGTTCTGCGCATTCTGCTGAAGCCCATGCTGATGTCCACCATTCTGAATCATCTGCTGCTGCTGTCTGCCCTCAAAAGCACTCCCACTCGTCAACACCTCCCTAGCCCCAAAGCTCCAATCCTGCACGCCCCTGAATCCACCCTCCTGGCTCTCAGCCTTGCCGCTACCAAAGCCCTTGGCATCCCACTTCTCAGTTCCCTCAACACCCTTCCACTTGCTCTCGCCGCCAAAGACGCGGAAGAGCTGGGCGTTCAAATGCTCGTACTCGTCGTAGCTCTTGGGCCAGCCGCCGTAGCGCTGGTACGCCAGCTTGAGTAGATGCAGGTGCTTGAGCGCTGTGGCGGACTTGTCGAGCGTGCTTGAATCGAGAACGGCAGTTGGACTTCCGGGCACGTTTGGGTCAACCTTTACGTTTACGCCTTCGCGGGCGAGGAGGCGCGCGGTAGTGTCCATGTCGTCGTCATCATCGTCGTCGGCGTGCGCGGGCGATGCGTGATCTTGGTTGCTGACAAGTACGCGGAGAATGTCTTCGTGGACAAGGATGGCTTTCTTGAAGTAGTCGGTTGCCATGCCTGCGGTCTTCTCGCCCTTGGCCGCTTGTGCCTGGTAGGTCTGGCCCGTCGACGTGTACAGCTGGGCGAGCAGCTCGTACGTCTCGATCGTGACGGGGGCGCGGGGCCCGTGGGCACGACGCATGTTGTAGGCAATGTCTTCGGCCAGACGGATGGCTTTGATCGGGTGGCCGGCGGCGTAGCGGGCGCAGATGAGGCGACGGCCGAGGTTGAGGAGGACTTCGGCGGGCCAGGAGCGTTGGGCGTCGCGGGTAGACCAGAGTTTGGTGAGGAGCCATTCGAGTGTCTCGTAGTCTTGCTGCTCCCCGAGGAGAGCAGAGAGATGGCTCAGCTCGTACAGTTGGACGCGGGCAAAGTTTAGCTTGAGCTCCTTGGCGATGTCGAGGACCTTCTTGACAATGCGGTTGGAGAGGTCCAGCATCTTCTTGCGGAAAGCGGCGTCGGTACACTTCTCGCCGTCGCGGCCGGCAAGGAGAGATGCAAGCTGGAAGCCCATGCTGATGGCTGGTGCGCCCTTGTAGACGTCGTTCCTGTTGGCGAACATGAAGCTGAGATTGGCAACATCGTACGCTTCCTGGAACTTCTTCTCCTTTGTGAGCCTAGAGATGTTCTCGTTGCTGGAGAGGATGACGGAGCGGACAAAGTCCTTGTTGCGGCCGTTGCCCAGACGATCCAGAATGCCAATGATGAAGATGCGTGGCGAGTTCTGGTGGAAGTCCTTGAGGTCTTGACCCTCACGCTTGACAAAGCTGCCAACCGCTTGGACCGAGTGCTCCTCGACCACACTCATCATCTCCTTCTGGTCGTTGCGGCGCAAGAGGAAACGGAGAGGAGCAGCAGCACGAAGCACTTCGGTGAGACTGGCCTCCTTCTTGGTCAAAGTCTCGTGGAACTGCATCCAGTACATGTACTCCATGGTGAGCTCGGCGTAGATCTCCGAGAAGCTGATGCTCAGGTCCTTGCGGAGGTTGTACTGAAGAGACGCAAGGAAGGCGAGCGAAGTGCGGTTGCACTTTGTAAGATCGAAAGACCACTTTGATGCGTTGCGAGTGTCCTTGGCGCAAATCTGGCGGTGCATTTCTTGTGCCAAACTATGGGCAGCGCTGGACTGCTCAATAGCGGTAAAGGTCGACGCGATAGAAGCAGCCGATTCGATCAACTTCTGCGACGAGTTCTCCTTGGATACAATCTCCGATGCCGCTTTGGATATTTGCTTGGTAGCAACGTCAGTCTTTTGCTGGCGTTTGTACAAGTTTGCCATCTCCCTCAAACTAGTGAGCGAGGACTCGTGGCAGTAGCCATACTTCTGGTATGAGTCCTGGAAGTTCGACTGCGTCATGGCCAAGGCGCTCTGTACAATCTCGGCCTTCATGTTGCTAGAAGACGAAGAATGCATCTGCTTGTGGTAGAGAGAAGAGAGTGCCTGGTTGATCTCTGTGGTGGTAGTGGTGGTTGTCACCTGCTTGCCTGATTGGGAGACGGCCTGGTACAGTGCGATAGCCTCGGACAGATGTGCCTCGCTGCTCTCCGAAACCTTTGCCAGTGCGAGCGTTGCGTTTACTGCAATGGACGACTCGGCGCCAAAGGTGGCAGTGGCAGTCTCACGGTACTCCTTAGTAACCTTGTGGAGGTCAGACCAGCTAGCCTTGGTCTCCTCAAGGCACTGGTAGTAGCGGTCGTACAGCTCCTCGATGAACTTGACATCCGTAAAGACCTTGTGCTGCTTGGTTTGGCGAACAAAGGTAGTCCAGAGTACCTTGTAGAAGGTAACGGCTTCAGCATAGCGGCGGTCTTCCCAGTATGTGACAGTGACAACATTCATGGCGTCCAAAGCATCCTTGTGGCAGAGCTCAGAGTCCTTGTTGAGGGCCGTGATAATCTGCAGGTAGTAGTCCAACCAGTATGCATGGTTTCGGGGATGGCTGCGGCATCTCTGGGCTAGCTCGTAGAGAGTGCTGATGGTGAGCTCGTTGGTGTGGCCGAGTCTGGAACGGTATACCACAAGAATCTCCTGGAAGATGCTGATAGCCTTGTCCGCGTAGCCATACTTGTCGTAAAAGTTGATAAGCAGGTTCTTCGACTTGTCGAAAGTAACCTTATCAACCTTCTCGGTAACAAGCACGGCACGGAAGAACCGGTTGTAGACATCCTCTACCTGGTCCCGCTTGCGCATTTGCAAGTAGCATTGTGCAAGTTGTTCGACCAGCTCGATTGACTCTTGCGTGAAGGATGTAGCCATGGTGACATCGTGGATGGAGCTGGCGAGGAAGGAAGACCAGGTGCGCTGCAGAGTAGCATGGATGACGTTGATGGCTGCTGTGTAGTCCTTCTTTGCCATGTATTGAGCAGTCAGCTTCTTAGCAAGGGCGATGGTGCTAGACTCAACCGTGGCCGAGGACGAAATGGTCGTAAAGAACACATCTTGGAAGACAGATTCGGACGTTGTAGTCGTGGTCTCGGTAACAGAGCTGGAGCTGTTCAGACTTTCCTGGACAAGCTCGGTAGATGTCTGCGAAAGTTGCTTGCTAATCTCGAGCGAAGCATGGGACTCCTCGCGGTGGATGCTCTGGTAATAGGAGCTTGCAAACTTGAAGATTGCAAGTGCTTGGACATGAGCCTTCATGCTGCGCATCTCCTTTGCAACAGTGGTGAGTTGAGAGACAATGGTCTCAGCAAACGACAGTTGATGGGACTCATACTGCTGCCACACCGATGTGAGGATTGAAGTAGACTCGCTGGTTCGCTTCTGGTTCTTCAAAAACTGGGCGTAAGAAGTGGCGATGGCAATGTTCTTCTCATGCCACTCCACAGCAAGCACACTGCGGCACTTGGATGAGACCTCCATCCAGAGCTCGACGTACAACTTCTCTACAGTGGCGAACTCCTTGCGGTGGAGATGCTCCTGGATGCGATCGAGCTGAGTGTTGATCGAGGCAATGGTAAGAACATCGACGTTCTCCTCTCCACCATGTGCGCCATCGTGGAACCACGACTGATCATAGCTATCAATCTCGCGATCGCCTTTACCCATGCCAGTCTTGATTTGAATCTCATCGCGCATGTCGTGGTTCGAACGGTATGAGGCATGACCCCAGTTGTCACCGGTTGAATCCTGGATGAGATGCCAGATCTCCTTCGCGCGATCGTGTTCGTTGATGGACGTGTAGAGTTGCGCGAGAAGTTTCTGGGTCTCAATGACCACCTCAGAGTTGCTACCATACTGGGTCTCATACGCAGTGATGAGCACAGTAAGCACCTGCTCGCGGTGTGTCATAATGTCTGTGCGCGTGGTGGAAGTCTGAGTCTCTGATATCTTCAGGAATTGATTGGCGCATTCCAACGTGAGGGGATGGATAGGCGACAATACCTCTTTGCCGACAATGGTGCAGAGGTAGAGGTACTTAGTTGCCTCCGTGGTGTTGGATACGAGCATGTAGCTTGTAGCGATCGACAGGTAGGTCTGGAGCACAGAAGGATGCTTGCGTGTGAAGATGGTTTGGCGGATTGTAAGTCCAAGCTTCTGCAACTCCAACGCCTGGGGGACGGGAAGCTGAGTACCCCAACAGTACGACTCCAAAATAGGGAACATCGTAGTCTCGGGGAACACCTTCTGGAGATCGCCGGTGGGCTTGAATTCTCCGGTTGACTTGGGTGCCAAAGGAGACTGCTGTAGGTGCAGCACCCAGTATCGCACAGCGTACTCGAGGAATTGATGCTTCCTGAATAGCCTGTCCGGAGTGGTCGTCTCGGAGGTGTCGAATGTTGGCTCAGCCTTGGTATCCTTCAAGACGAACTTGGTGTAAGTCAATACCCTGAGGAGCATGTCGGTCTCGCTGTCTTGCAGAGGAACAGGGATCTTGCCAGTGACGGCAAAGTCGTGCAGAGTCGAGTGAATGACGGGATGCTTGAACCGAACGATACGCTGGTGCAATGTGAACAGCGGCTCGAGGGTCTTGAAGGTCTCGTTGGCGTTCACACCCTTGTCGGAAATGGTGCCACGCTGGACATCCACAGAAAACAAGGTGTGAATTTCATCGAGAGTGAGGGGTCGCTCGGCAGCCAAGACCCAGGAGAGCAAAGTCTTTGCGTCATTTGCTGGGTTGAGCATGTTGAACAGCTTGAGAATGAGATCCTGAACCGAGATTTTGGTGGACTCAAAGTTCTCCAGCATCTTGTTGAAGGCATCTGGGGATTTTTGCGCGTTCAGCATATCACAAGCCAATGTGAGATGCAAGAAAGAGCCGTTTGCCATTCGAATGATACGGTCGAGTAGCTGTTCCTGGTCGAGAGGACGTTGGCCATGGAAGTGATGGTTGTGGATCAAGGAACGTAGCGCCACTGCGTGGAGATCGTCTCTAACATCTTCTCGTGTAATCTGATGTTGAGAGCCCTTGGCTGAAGTGGGCATCTTCATAGACGATGACAACGTGATCAGTCGAACACCATTGCCTTGTTGGGTGACTTGGACCAGCTTCGCGAGCAGATCAGCAGGGCTGAAGGCACCGCTGGCCTGAATCGAAGCGCTCTGGGACTCAGCGATCTCATCAAGACCATCAACAACCATGACCAGTTCGTTGCTTCCAGCAACAGGGTGCTCGAGCGCATCGGCCAATGCCTTCCAGAGGCACTCTTCGTAATTCTTGAGGTCCTCCGAGCTTCGGCATTGGTGATAGGCCCTGAAAAGGGCGTAGTATGTCTCCATGTTACCAACGCGAAGGTTGAGCAACTGGAACAACAGCGACTTCACGACTGACAACGATGTTGCAGCAGTTGGAATGTCAGGAGATAGCGAGCAAAAGAGTGTGTCATACTGCTTGCGGTTCATGGGACGCTGCAAGCGCTCGACGATGGATCCAGCAAGTGTCGTCTTTCCAGCACCGGACTGACCAGTGACGAGGAAGACGCGGTTTTCGCTCTGGAAGAACTTGGTCATATGCTTGTTGAACCACAGACAAGTGAACTCCTGTATTATCTGCGTCAGCGTATGAATCAATATATGGTGGAACTATATCTTACCGCTTGGTTGTCCACATAAGTCTCATGGTCACGAGTGATCGCGGCAATCACACGATCCTGTGACGCCAACCATCGGCTCAAATGCTGGACATCAATAGCTTCACCATCCTCAAACTCCTCGTTCTCGATCTGTGATTGCCAAATCAATTCAATCACAGTGTTCTGTCGCGTACGGAACGTCTCAATGGTTTCGCCGAAAAGTTCAAAGATGTCGAGACTCGTGGAGCCAGGCGTCATGCCCTTGACTGTCTTGTAGAATTTGACCGCAACATCAACCACCAGGGCGATGAGGTCAGTGTACAAGAGGCAGATTTGCTCGCGAATTTCCGAGCTTGCTGCCAATAGTTCCGAGCGGTGCAAAACTGAATGGAACGACATGGCAAACTTGTAAAAGACGGAAAATGCCTTGTCAAGAGCTGCCGAGTTGTGGTGACTGAGCTGCTTTGGGTTAGTATTTTGGGTTACTTTATTTCAATTGGAGTATTTACATACCTCAAGAAGTAATTGAGCGTGGCCATAGCCAACGCTGGCTGCATAGCTGCTATCCTGCGCAAAGGGCTGGATAGCTTGCTCGAAGTTGTGCAACTGCTCTGCAAAGTAGAGTGCACGGATGAGAACTTTATCCCAGCGACTGCCCTTGTGGGGAAGGGTGGTCAGACGCTCGGATCGGATCCATTCAAGGAACGAAACATAAGAGACGTCGCTAATGTTCTGGTACGCGCCGACGCCAAGCTCTGCCAAACTTCTCTTCTTCAGAGAGGCAGCGGAGTCTTGGACAATCGAATTCTGGTAGTTGTTGGTACCGGTCATGCGCTTGGTAGGGGATCGCATTGAGCTGAAATTGCCGCTGGTCGCACGGGAGGAAGTAAAAGACGGGAGACGGCCTTTGGAGCGGAAAAGGGTCTGAGGTGATGACGGCGGTGAGAAAGTCATGTTGAGTCCGTTGGCACCATTCTGGCCATTCGCCTGCCCGTGAGAAGAGGGGAGTCTGAGAGACATGTTGCTAGTACGCGAGGCTTGCGGTGTTTGGATCGTAGCCAAGGACGTAACAAATGGGTCTGATTCAGCGGTAAATTGCGGAAGAGAGGGTAAAGTCGGACTATCCTGCTGTTGTGCAACAGGTGTAGTGGGCTCTGAGGTGTTATCCGCAGATGCAGATGATGTGACAGGCAAAGACTCTGGCTGTAGCAGAGAGGTATTTGACTTGTTGGTAGCTTCGAAAACTAACCGCGAGTGCTGTGTAGGAGTTTCGGGCGAAGAGTAGCTAAGCTGTGGGGGAGCTGGTTGTGCCTTTGTTGTTGAAAGAGACTGCTTCGAAGATGCGTACTTGGTAGAGGGAGGGGATGAAGACTGGTCTATCTCAAGTGATGCGATAGAAGGGGTTCGTCTATCTTGATTGTGAGTGTCTTCAGTTGTCAGGGAGCGCTTCTTCTTATGTCTTCCTGTGGGTATGAATCAGCAGAAGCTCCTACCAGTACGAGGCAATGATTGACTAACTGAATAGATTTAGCATGTGGAAGTGGCATGAAGGTTTTACAGCTCTCGTCGTGGCTATAAATCATAAAGTCTCCTCAAGCTATGGTCGTTTCAAGCCAAGCTTCCAGGGTAAGAGCGGGGCTGGTATACCTGGATGGCATTGATCGTCAGTGTGCCATCATGGTAGTATCTACGCTGCCGAGTATGCTCAATGTGTCAGTAGTTTTTGGTATATGCATGTGCTAGTTCAGCTGGACAAGGATGACCTGCTTTCAGCAGCTCAAGTTCAGGTCTGATTCGACATGCCTGTCGACGATCATACATTAAAAGCGATTTTTGTTAGGCTTAGTCGTTTCTTTTGGCATGAGTGACTGCATTAACGCGCATGCATGGTCCAGGAGCTCCGCCGCGTAAAGCATGTGGGAGCGCTGCACAGCCTCTATAGTTGATCAAACCGAAACATTGCAGCTAGTGGTAAAGCGAGTGGGGAACTTGTGGAGAGCTATCGTGGTTGTGATATCACAAAATCCCTCAGCGGTTCGATTAGTACGCTCGAAAGAGAGGCCAGAATGGCTTTTCAGTGTGGTTCATCGATAAATTGCAACCCGCGTAGAGTAGCTCGCAAATTTGACTATAGTGAGTACCAATTTGGGAAGTTGGTTGCCTACTAGAACGAGCACGTGAGGTACGGCAGCGACAAACGAAGTTCTGAAACTATGATCTCATTGCATTGCAAAGTGTCCGATGCACCACGATCCAGAAGTTTCGGTCCGTCCGAGTCCACGCTAAATTGTCGGAGAGGGAGATACCAGTAGAACGGTATCCCATAAGACGGTTCGGGTCAGAGAGCCGCGTATCACATCCATCTTGAAGAATTGATGCTAAGCATTTAGCGCGCTCTCCACAAGAGGCTTGCTATCGGCAAAGCAGTAAATGGACAGTGACGGGTTCTTACTGGAAAACAGCAAAATTTGAATTACTGGAAAACCCATCATTTCCACCAATGACCTACTGACAGTTGCCCACACCCCCCATACGGGATTCCTTCATTCAAATCTAAGCGAGAGGGGTGACTTGTTACTTCCTCAGACTTTGGTCGGCGACCACGTCCATTAGAGGTCTGGACAGTATTGCGCGCAGCCTTGCTAAAGTCTAAAATGGTAAGCTGAGGGTGGGGACGCCCGCCATCCTGTAACATGGGTCATGGTTCACGGCTTTGTCGATACAGGCCATGCTATAGATCGGCGGAAGAAGAAAGGGTGCTTCCGCATTTTGATTAAGCGGCCCATTAGCATTGCTTCTCAGAGCCAAGCGCATGCCCTGGGTTTGATCTGCTCCTGGCATCATCGATGTACGGCCCGCTAGAGCAAAGTTTGATGGCACATGGATACTGGCCGATTCAGCGGAAAACCCGATGACATTACACAGCCGTTCGCCGCTTCAAGCGACCATATGGGCGACAGTTATGATCCAAGCGGATACGGGTATGTCCCAGTCTCAATTGAGCTGATTGACGTATCTTTGCTCTGGCTAGCGCCATCTTCCTTTAGCCTTTCCTAGCGATACTCGCTCCCGCCAGCGCTCGCTTATCGTGCCTCGGGGACAGCATGGGTGAGAAGGTTGAGCCGAGTATGTACAGCAACACCGGGCGAAAAGCTGCCGACCGGATGTCCCGAGTGACAAAAGCAGAGCATGGTATGATTAGGGGTTAATTTACATGAGATAAAAAGTATATTTGTTGTTGTACACCTTCTTCGCTCGGAGATGTTCCTTTTCGCACGTCGCTGTGATACGTCATATCTCGGAAGCCCCGGTCGCAGATCAACACCTCCACCCTTCCCCACTTGGCTGCATCGACTATTCAGGTAGCATCATTAATGCAGTATGCCTCTTTCGGGACCCCAGCACAGCGGCAAATCCATGTTCAGCTCTTCTACCTGGCATCCCCGGTCATACCGGCAATACCATGACGCTGATCCGGTATGCATGGCTGATCACCATCACATCACTTTCAAAGTGCTCAGGCATATGCCAGTTACGAGCCGTGTCGATACACGCTGAGGACAATCTTCAAGATGCGGAGATGCAGCTTGACGTACGGATCGGTACTCTAGACTACTGGCTCAAACCTGCAGGGAGAAGTCACCATTACTAAGCGACGCGGACACTGAAGCTACCTAGGTACTGGAACGCCACCATTCATGGACGACGCGTGTGCCCCATACCCTCAGAACTCTCCGTAGCGTCAAAAACTGCCGCCTGTCTCTATGCCACCCCTCTTGTGTGCATGCGCAGGTGTGCAACGCCGAAGAATGCATAGAAGACCACCCATCAAGGTGCCAGTTCGCGTTTGAAAAAGCCCTGGCTACGCGGCCTGATTTGCTTTTTCGCAGAGTAACACGTGAACAAACATCCGTTCACGGGTACAGCTGCCAGAGCTTCAAACATTCAAGGTGCCATACCATATGCGCCAGCTAGCCATGTGCCATCGATGAATCGACGGGAACAGCTCGCCTAATCACGATATGCGGCCCCACTGCACAGTAGCATAAGGCGATGCAGATGCGATTGGCCTTTACCCATGACATTTCGAAATTGTACTGCATGATCAGTGTGGAGCGATTCGCGCTGCCCAGGCGTCGATCGCATCGGACGCAACACTGGCTCAACTGAACCTAATCCCAGCTGAGCATGCGCTTCTCAGCTGAGCGGTTGGACGCCACGAGAGAGCGCGGCGCTGGTTCAGGCACATCCATCGCTCGTGCCGTACCGATTCTGTCCTTTTTGCGCGCACGTACACTCCAACCTTCCTCGCTAACACCGACTCGTGGAAACAAATGCCCCTCACGAACGTGGTCATAATGGACTTTACCCGATGAAGCACGTTTAGCAAGCGGACCAAACCGCACACTGTTTTGCGACTCAGACTGCTGGGTGGTCTCGACACTCTAGCGGTACAGTTTCCAGCCTTCAGTGTTGTGTTTCTTGTTGGTTGTGACATCAGCATGACAATTACATGGAAATTTACCCCTATATCTTACACACTTCGATGCGTAAGTATTTGCCATCAGAAGAGATGGATTTTCCATGCTTTTAGCGTCAGGCTGACTCGCTGATGTAACAGCCTGTTCACTGTTTTTGTTCTTGCCGAGGTAAGGTAAAAAGCAGAAAGTATCCCTGTAAGGGTTTGATTGTGGCTTCGTCCTGGGCAACCATGTGTAAGCTGGAAACGCGCCGTCTCGTGCCGAAGTTGACCTCTGTGTTGCCCGGGTTTTGAGAGGGGGCCACATGCTGTGGAATTGGATATGTTACGGTATCCTACCCAGTGTCTGTGAGATGTCTGTCAACCACCACTATCAAGTTTCCTTAGCGTAACGGAATCGTATTCTTGGCCCGTCAACTCGAACAAACATTGAAACCACTGCATATATGGATACACAAGATGGAGCATACCTATCTAACCCCAAGACGATGCGAGTGCATAATGCAGGTTAACCTTGGCGATGACCCTACATGCTTACATGCAGCAAGTATTGGCTAGCAACTGCGCGAAAAGCATCAAGACATGTCACGAGTGACCATCTCTACGCTGTCAACGGTGCGACGACATTGAACGGTTCGGACGAGATGTGTCAATGGCAATGCTAACGATAGCAAGGCTGCCCCGCGTCTGTGCCCCGCATCCAGAGCCGTAGCCGGACCAACCACGGCATTATCAATAGTAAACGCCCTACACTCGCATGATAGCAATCGGAAAGGTTTCCGATAACACTGCTGATTCATCCTTCAACGAGCAAGGCTTGCGAGTTAGTTCCAGAGGAAGACGGTTCCTGCATGCAGAAACCGGCAGCTAATTGCCACTTCTACACCTCTGCTCTTTCCTTGTACAATCAACTTCACTTATCAACCTTTCCTCATTCTCCTGCAACATCTCCATCATGTCTCCTCCATCAGCAATCGAGCCACAGGCAGGTGACGAGACGAAGCCAAACACAGTAGCGCCAAATGAACCGGGCTTAAGCCAAAAGGATGGCAAGCAGGAGATGCTCAAGTTTCCGACGCCACCCAAGTTCGATGATCCATACAAGGAGCGTGCATACCTAAAGGGCCGACTTGCTGCGGCATTCCGCATCTTCGGCAAGTACGGCTTTGATGAGGGTGTAGCCGGCCATATTACCCTCAGGGTTAGTTTGTCGACGTATAGATGTATGAGACGCTGACAAGATGCAGGATCCCGTAGACCCAACGACGTTTTGGGTGAATCCCTTTGGTGTCGCCTTCAGCTTGATGAAGGCCTCGGATCTCATCCTCGTTGACGCAAAAGGCGAAGTCATTGACGGCGGAGAGTGCCGACTTCTCAACACGGCGGCATACATGATCCATCATGCAGTCCACTCAGCTCGTCCCGATGTAATCGCTGCAGCGCATTCACACTCAATCTACGGTCGCACATTTTGCTCGCTCGGTCGCAAACTGGATACCATAACTCAAGACTCGTGCGCCTTCCACGACGACCACGTCCTTTACGAGTCGTTCAACGGTATCGTGCTAGCAGAGGAAGAGGGCAAGAACATTGCCAAATGTCTGGGTGACAAGAAGGCGGCACTACTCCAGAACCACGGCCTGTTGACTGTTGGTAAGACGATAGAAGAGGCCGTGTTTTGGTTTGTCAGTTTGGAGAAGTGCTGTCAGGCGCAATTGATGGCCGATGCTGCGGCTGCGGGACGGGGCGGGGAGACTGTTAAGATTACCGAAGAGGACGCGGTCTATACGCGCAAGACCATAGGTAGTCCGCTCGCGGGCTTCTTCAGTGCAAAGCCGATGTTTGATGTCATCCACAGGGAGTCGAATGGAGAGTACCTGGAGTAGTGGGCATCTCATCAGAATACATGAGCCCTGTTAGTCTCTTACGAGTGGCGAAACACGTAGCCAAGTATATAGCTATGCCAGCGCAACAATCATGGCGCTAGGGCATATGGAATTGTGAGAGCGTGGACGCGCAAAGATTAGTTGAGCTACATGCTCGGTATATATGGATTAATCATCACGTGAATCTCGCCGTGCTGTCAAGGCTCTTTCGAGTTCTAGCCCCACCATGCCCTGTCAACTTCGCCCAGCGTCGGCAGAAGATCAAGGCACGAAGGTCGGAAAGATTATGAATCGCATTGTACCCCCACGTCATGGAAAATGTTTCCAACGGTCGTTATGAATGTGCGAAACATGCATCTGCTTATGGCGAGACAAAGCCATTGAAACGATAGCAGGCCGCTCACGACAGTCGGTTGATGGTGTCATAGCTTGCTGCAGGGCGGACGCAGCTTACCTTGGTACGGGAGTCCTGGGAGTCGGTGGCATCACTCGACAAATTGCCGCCAGTTAGCCGGCTGCGCTTGAAAAAGTTGCAGAAGAGTGAGGTCAGAGGCTTGACCTCGGGATTTACACAATAGCTACGCGCTGCTACAATCGCCCAAGTTCTCCGAAAGCAGCCCACCAGACGCGAGACTGTTAGTTAGCGGGCCATGGCGAAGGGCCCTGCAGTTGTAGTCATCGCCAGGTACGCTCTCATACGCCTTCACGGCTCCACATTCCGAATCTGTGCCTAATATCCTTTACAGACATGGCGCACGCCTCGATGCTGCTGACAAGTCATGGCATCTTACTTCTCCGACTCCTTACGACCCACCCCTCACATATGGCGGCTGGTCCCAGGCAAAGGCTCTCGGTCAGCGAATAGCCGCACTGCTGCACGATAGGGACATCCAACAGCAAAAGGCGGAAGAAGCCAAGAGTGCTACAGACAGCGACCCCGCACATGTCGACTTGAGCAAGTTGAGCATCGGAAAGGATGGAAGTGACGGACTACATCGGCCCAAGAAGAAGAAGCGCAAGATTATCATACATTCAAGCCCCTTCTTGAGATGTGTACAGACCAGCACAGCCGTGGCAGCGGGCATCTCGCAGTATCAGAATCCGACTACTCCGCAGCTGGGAATACCTACACCATCCAAGGCGAATGGTGAACCGAAAGCACCGCGCGCCAAAGCCTCATCATCGCAACCCCGGACCTTTGAACGCCTCGCCGACCCCAATCTCGACATATTGCCACGGCCAAACACGGGCCCTGAGAGGGTATTACTGCGTATCGATGCTTTCCTGGGAGAATGGCTGTCGCCCGAGTACTATGCCGACATCACAGCACCTCCCAATTCGACCATGATGGTAGCTGGCGCCAAAGCAGACCTGCTACGGAGAGGCGACTACATCCAGGAACAGCCCAATGCGAACAGTAGCAAGGGCCACTTTCCGGGCGGTTGGATGGGAAACAAAGCAGCTGTCAACAACACGGGGACTGCTAACAAGACAGCGTCCTCAGCTAGAGGCAGTCTGGCTCAAATTGCCGCCTTTCGCGAACGCTCGAGCAGCTACACTGGTCCGCTTGATCTGGAGAGAACGCGCTCGAAAGAACCAGTCGCACCCCTCGCCACGCCCATAGCAACACCGGTTCCCACCACCGTGCCCAAACGCGTTTACGAACCTCCGAACCCCTCGTACTCGGTCTCTCCAGCCGACCCGATACCGCGTGGTTACGTCGCGCACGCACAAGATGCCTGTGTCAAGGTCGACTTCCAATGGGATAGCATGCGTCCACCACAAAACTGGGGCGATGGCGGCGAGTACGGCGACGAATGGAGCACCATGCACAAGCGCTTTAGGAGAGGCTTGGCTGGTATGATGGACTGGTATAGGACATACGGTACAGCACCGCCCAAGGAAAGCTTCCCAGGCTTCATGTTCAAGGAACCACTACGTCTCACACCACCCATCTCGCACGCCAAATCAGATCCCTTTCCTGCCTTTGGCGAAGACCCAGCAGTGGAAGAGGAGGAGGAACTAGTACTCATCTTGGTCACTCATGGCGCAGGCTGTAATGCTCTACTAGGCGCCATCACCAACCAACCCGTCCTCATGGACATTGGCCTCGCCTCCCTATCCATGGCAGTCCGTCGCGACGTACCGAGAAAAACCTCAACCCCAGCCACAGTCCTCGAGCGTCGACGCTCCGTCGCAGACCCAGGCATGTCAGACACCTACGACGTCAAACTCTCAGCTTCGATCGACCATCTCCGTCCTGGCGTCGATCCTTCAAAGCCGCTGTCCGCAAAAACACCTTCCTCCGCTTCCCCGGTTGTTACCTCCAGCCCATCGCTAGAGTACCGCCGCCGTTTCACCGGATCGTCATCTACAAATAGTACCCTCGACGTACCGCCCTTTAGCATAGGCGACGCGCATCGTACGTGGAGTAGCTCAATGAGCAGTGCAAGACGCACGATGAGTTCGGGTTCCAACTCGCGCTATATGCATGGCCACGGCGCTTCTACTACTGGTACTGCGTCGCCTGCTGGGGGGTTGTGGTCGGGGACTAGTACACCGGTGTCCGAGGCTGAGGGGCATAGTTTTGGGGGTGCTGTGGTGGGGAAGCAGAATTTGGCTTCTTCTACGTCTGCGTCTGCACAACATCCAGAAAAGAACACTGCTGCTGACGCAAACTATGGACTTACGCGACTGGACTCCAAGGAGGAGAGGGAGGTGGGTGATAGGTTTACCCCGCTAGTTAGCGCTAGTGCGGCGCAGGCGAGGAAACAGAGTACAGTAAACACGGCGGCGTCTTCTGCTGCTTTAGCTTCTTCAGGTACTGCTGCTACTTCCGGTGGCGGCAGCGGTGGTGGTCTTTGGGGCGCAAAGACGACACCCAAGGCAGGGAATGGTCTTTGGGGACCACCTAAACTGGATGATGTGTATGAGCATCGTCATGGGCCCAAGAGGAGGTGGACGGTTACGGAGAGGGATGAGTGATGTTGCGGGAGGTTTTTCCTATGTGTTTGAGCGTTTGAGGATTTGGGTGTGTGGGTGCCGGGGATATGGCGTTTTTGTGAGCAGAAATGGGAAGGGATCGGGTTGGTTTGGGGGGTTAATTACTCTGCTCATTCTATCACCAGCTTCATTATCATACTTCACTGGTGCATGGGTTGTAGTGTGTTGGGATGTAATCTTTTCCTTTACACTACATCACACAGTTCAACACACAATCTCATCTGTAATATAACAAAGCAGTCATAGAAGAAAAAGGTGGAACAATCCAGCCCAGTACCACAGCATATTCATCATCTCCTACTCAGCCACCCAAACAGCAGCCATACCCATACCAGTACCAATACACATACTCGTAACCCCGACCTTCTGCCCAGTCCGCCTCAACTCCGTCAACAGCGTACTAACCTGTCTCGCACCCGTGACACCCAGCGGATGACCAAACGCAATCGCACCTCCCTTGGGATTAACCTTCTTCTGATCGAGACCCAGCTCATTAATGCAGTAGAGGCACTGACTAGCAAACGCCTCATTGATTTCATAAATATCAACGTCCTCCTTGGCAAGGCCCGTCTTCTGCAGTACCACGGGAATAGCAGCAGCAGGACCGACACCCATGAGTAGCGGCGGCACACCGACGATGCTGGCCTGAACGAATTTTCCGAGAATCTTCTGGCCGAGGCGCTGGGCCGTGGAGCGTTTCATGAGGAGGACGGCGGCGGCGCCGTCGGAGATTTGCGAGGCGTTGCCTGCGTGGATGGAACCGTCTTTTGAAAAGGCAGGGCGGATTTTGGCCAGGGATTCCGCGGTAATGCCTTGTCGGATGCCGTCGTCGGCCGCGACGGTGATGGTCTTTTCTTCATCGGTTTTGGGGTCTGTCCACTTGACTGTCAAGGGCGCGATTTCCTCATCGAACAAGCCGTTCTTCTGCGCCTCGACGGCTTTTTGGAACGAAGACGCGGCGAAGGCGTCTTGTGCAGAGCGCGGAATACCCTTCTCCTTTGCCATTTTCTCGGACAAAACACCCATTGGTACCTTGCAGTTTGCAGCTTCCGTGTGGCCGTCGAGAAGGGGCGAGAACTCGCTCACAGCCCCGGGACCATACTGCGTACTCATGCTCTCAGCGCCTGCGCCGATGCCGATTTCAATCATGCCGGATTTGATGGCGTTGGCGATGTCGACGCAGGCTTGGAGGCCCGATGAGCATTGTCGGTTTAGAGACTTGACGGCTGTAGTTGTGGGGAAGCCGGCGGCGAGGGCTGCGGCGCGGAATTCGGTTGCGCCACCGCCTGGGGCGAGGACGGCGCCGACGGCGATGTCTTCGACGAGGGAGGGGTCGATGCCGGAGCGCTCTACGAGGGCTTTGTAGGCGCCGTGGAGGAGGTCTGATGCATGTGTGTCTTTGAAGCCGCCTTTGCCGCCTTTGGTGAAGGCGGTGCGGAGGGCGCAGGTTATGACGATCTTTGGGGGTGTTTTGTCAGTGAAAAGAAGACGGATAGGTGGATTTGAGCGATGGAGTTGTAGTGGTGGTGTTGGATACTTACATCATCAGCCTTCTTCTCCAATAGAGCGTTCTTGCCCGTCTTCGACGCAGCACCAGTGAGATGGCCTTCGACCTGCGTAAGGCGCTCTTGAACTACATGTATATCGTCAGTAACCCAGTAAACCAAGCAAGCTTCATCTCAGACATACCTTTGTTAGGAGCCTGGTTAGCCATGATGAAGTCGTGTGATAAAGCTCAAAGATATCACTCTCACACAAACAAGATGTGAAAGAGGAGAAGTCAGAAGGATCAGAAGCAGTGAGAAAGAGAAGAAGACGCAAGTGACCAAGGCAAGACAGTTACCTCGGGCAAAAAGACGCTGTGTGAACGAAACGGCGCTGGACAGCTTCTCAGAAGCTAACTAGCTAGGTCACATTCGCCTCTTCCTCTCAGAATCGCCGAGGCAATGCCTTGTTGTGGTTTAGCGCTTTTGTGGGGGGGGCGCGTCATGGGCTCCCTTCGGGAACTATTGTCCGCCCAGGCTTCCGGGGTAGAAACTAGACTTTCACATGCTAGACAATGGGGAGCCGGTGCTGTTGCTGCGGCTGCTGACTGTAAGCATGACCTACGGATGGCACTTCACATGTCAGTGAGCGAGCAGGGCACATCTTGGCTTGTCATGTGTTTGTTTCGGATGGGGTTTGTAATCGTGCGGTCGGCTGCGTTTGGTTGCTCCGCTGCTGATGGATCATGTGCAATGGTCGGAGTAATATGCACCTCGTACATCATAACGTAACTCTTGATTAAAATGCGAATACGTGAATTTATAACAAAAGACGGCTCTAGCTGTCAATCGTGTAATGCTGTGCGTCGCGGTGGGTTCATGGGCACATTCACCTCGGCCGTGCCAAAAGCCGAATCCATCCCAGAACGCCCTGCTCATGTGTATCTCAACCAATTCTTACAACAACAACAACAACAACATCTCCCTGTTCATCGCTTCCCCTCTTCTCCGTCTTGCCAGGGATTTTCCCGTACCTGTCTTTCCAGCGCGTCCGCAATGCTACCCCTCTGTACCTCCTCATAGCCTGGCGGTGGATCTGATGGCGGCTCAAAGTGTCCTGATTGCGTCCGTGGGCTTGACAGAGGCGGGCTCGATGTTCGTGGGCTGGTGGGCTCAGATGCCGCGATAACAGGACCGCCCATAGGGCTATCTATGGGCGGACTAGGGAGCGGGTCGGGGACCCGAGCATGCTGCCGACTCTCCTCGTACGCTGGTAGGTCCTCCAAATGTACGTTGTTCATGTTGACACCTCCAACGCCTCGACTTGCATCCACGACATCGCCGCCACTTTCCCGAGCTACATCCACAGCTTGCCGTAACCGCTCCTTTAGTCTCTCGAATATGCTTGCGAAATCGAATGCACCGCCCTCCTTGAATTCCATGACGAGATCCAGTTCAGCGTGTTGAGGTGGTATGCCGCCGCCTTGGACGGGCTGGACGATGGCCTCCCACTTGTTGGCGCCGAACCATGGGGCAGTTACGCGCGAGTCTGTGACGTTGAGGATGGGGACAGCGAAAGACTGGAGTTGAGGCGTGGGGTTGACAGGAAGGTAGATCATCTGACGTTGTTAGCACCCAAAGCTCACGTGAAGGTGACATGATAATCATAGACAGAACTATCCTACCCTTCGGTTTGTGAGAAATACAACGCCAGACTTGCATTGTTGTGAGTACGACTCGCTCTGGTGTTGTCGGTTGGTAGTCTGTAAGGAGAGGGTAGTTCGAGGCGGCGACTGATACAGCGTCTGTTCGCCGGGCAGAGGAGTGTAACCGCCATTCTCGGCGAGCATAACCCAACTGGACTTGCGGTTAGATTTTATCTTTTTCATCTTCTCCGACCTGAAGCCCATGTTGCCAACGCTAAACGCAACAGCCTCGTTCTCTAGATAGACGACTGGCTCAGAGCTTCTTGGAAATGCGCGGGGTAAGAGGGGCAGCAAGCAGTAGCAACAGCAGCAACACCAAGTACGAAAGACGGGAGAGAGAGAGAGAGGAGAGGAGGTACTAACTTGACAGACATGGTTGAAACGGGCTTCCTGCAAACTTGTTCACGGATAAAGCGTGAATAGTTCGCCCACCAACTGTCAATGCAAGTCTGGCTGGGTACGGGATGCGCTAAATGTGCCTGCGCGTGAAGCGGCCGCCTGGATATCTATCGGCCCGACCGCCGCTGCCTATCACAAGCCGTGTGCGAATGCGAGTGATCTGTTTAGCGGCTGGTGTGGGGACGAACGGTGGGGTTGCTGAGGTCTCGAAGTTTGCCAGTGCTGCTTGTCGCGGCGAGCGCGCTTGTCGCGAGTGCAAAATACTCCCTGTGTGAGTAGGTTGGCCGAGGACTGAATGTAGCTGGGGGAGTTTGTGAGAAGAAGACGTCGGATTAATACGCACATGCACGTCGGATGCGGCTTATACGAGATCCGATAATCGAACGCCCTGGAAGAGATGACCATGCCCATCCCGTGAGGCGAGCCTGCGGCTTGCGTCACCCATCACGCAGACGGGTAGAACATGCAGGGCCCAGAAGCACAACGAACCCTGCACACATTTATGCAACACGACTGATTTCGCTGCATCATCTACCAAGATCTAGTAGATGGGATTTGCATCGGTTTACTATAAATATGCAGACGACTTCTTAGCGCAAAAAGACCTTTGAAAGTTTAATAGAACATCATGAATATTAACCCGAATAATGCCCCTGCGTATTACATGACGACGACGACGCACTCCTACCCCATCTCGTACCACGGCTGCAAACTCGTCGGGATCAAGGATACTCTTTATTGAGTGCCTGACTTGCCCTGTCTTGTGCATGATCAGCAGCTGGTGTGCCCATCCCTTCTTTATGGCGCTGCCTTTCCGGCCTTGCGCTTCAGAAGCCGCAACTGCGTTTGCCTGGGCTATGTAGTGTTTACTTGTGAACCGACTTTCCAATGTCTATGCTTCAGCCTGCGTCGATAGTATACTGGTATGGCAGCTCGCCCTCGCTGGGGTTCGGGTGTAACCTGATCACACTCCCAGCGCTCCCAAAGGAACTGGTGCTCGAGTTTGGCAGCAGAGTACTTGGACTTCTTTGCGGCCTCCCGTGAACCACGACCGACCCCGTCTCCGACTCTGAGCCTGCCAACGATCGTTGTGAGGGTGTACCGAATATTGTCGAGGTGCGGTGTGGCTGTCGGGAGGGCGCTGTGCGAGCGGTTTGGGGCGAATGTGTGGTTGAGTCGCTGCTAGATGTAGACATGGAGCTATTGAAGGATAACTGGGAGGGCTGACGGCCAAGCTGTGGGGTGCGGTAGGGTTCGTGCGAATGCGATGAGCTGCTCGTCTCAGAGCTCGATTCCGTGGGGGCCAGACTGCGTGTATCTGATTCCATATCCTGCGCGCGCGCCTCCTCTATGACTTCGGGGTCCACTTCTCTCATGCCGTTGAGTATCTCTGCAAATATGGCCATGATGTCTCGGAATTGCGTTTCGGTAAGGCTGGCTGTGGAGAAGCGCGCGTATTCGTATTGGGCGAGGAACGTGGGGCCGAGGGACGGTGGATTGAGTAGTCCAAATTCTGATAGACGGGCGAGGTACTCTCGTAAACCCATTGCACGCGGTCGCTGCAGGAGGGTGACGATTCGCGCGTCTGGTAGAGGCGGCGCATTATCAGGGTATTGTTGCATGCTGTCTTCGAGGACGGGATCGGGTGGTGCGAGAGACACAGCTTTGGCCTCAATGAGGTTGGGCAGCTCGCAGATGACGCTCCAGTACTGTAAATTCGGCAGGTCGGGCGACGAAGGAGAAGCCCAGCCAGGATGCGAGACATGCCCCCAAGGGGGTGAACTGGCAGAGACTGGAATGATCGTCGCATCAGGCGCATGATGGTGTCCCTTCTTTTTGTGCGATTTTTCCTTTTCCTTTCTGCTCTCCGCTGTGATTTGGCGCGACAGCTCCCCTTTCTCTGCGTCCACGTCCTCATCCCGGATATCCCGCGGCCTGCTGTCCCACGCAATAACGGCGCTTCGCTTGAACTGCTCGACTACCATCCTCCTCACCCCTTTGCCCACTTCCCCCTCTTCGATCGGCACATAGCTCTTTGGTATCGCCGCAAGCACCGTCCTATTGGTGTAGATGCGCGTCGAATAGATCAACAACACAATCAGACATGTGAGCAGATAAACGCCGCCAATAACGAAGAGTTTCTGTATCTCTTTCTTCTTAATCGACTGATAGATGGTATCGGCGGGGGTGACGGCGAGGAGTATGAGTAGGACTATGAGAAGAGCGGTATAAGTGGTCGAGTACCAGATGCGGAAAAGTGGAATGCGCATGGCGGCAGTAGTGGCGGCGTAAGGAGAGTATGCATCAGAGTGAAGATATTAGAAATTAGTGCTAGACAAGTGGTGGCTACATGACTGAAGGGAAGATGAGGATGGAGCCATGCAATCAAGGCGCGTTGGCCGTTGAAAGGAGGGAAGGCGCCAAGCTACTGACGCACGAGGCTGCATGCACGCACGACCCACGAGTTCATCTATGCCTTCAACAATTTCACCTGGACTATGCTGCATCGTATTTAAGAGCGATTTTCTTATGGTGACTGCCTCTTAGTAGTCTTGATACCTTCGTATCATCTACCCATCGTGTACGCTCACCTTAGAGAACCCCTCCGATAATCCTTCGAGACGTCATCACTCCACCAACGTTGATCGACAACAACAAAAGCTATGCACATATTGTTTTGTTTCAACGTCCAAGGCGCCAGTTTCGAAACGTTCTGTCGATTGGACAGATGCCAGTACTTGCAAGCCTCCAGTCGCCAAGCCGCTGAAACGTGCAGCGACGCAAGTCGTCTTCTAGCCAAAGCTTACGCTGCATAGCATGTCGCCCAAAACAAAGAGTGTGCCGGGAGCGCCCCTGCCGTAGTAACTCTGCCTTGATTAATATTCCTTGTGCCTCATTTCTCGGCGTTGTTCATCTCATCTTCTTTTTTCTTCTTTTCGTTATGCTGCATCATCGCAAAGGTTCCTGCGTGCGGGCACCCAGACGCTTTGGCGCACGATGGTCTGGACTTCTTCTTTGCGTATCTGTTTCCTTGTTGCTTCTCTATCGGCTTCATCTCTCTTCGTGGTTCCTCCCTTATCCGTTATTCACTTCTTCTTGTCCTGCTGCTCCACCGTATCCTTCTCTAGTGGCCGAATCTGATCATAGGTTCGACTGGACCACTACTACTCAGCACCCCGTTGAAAGCTTTGCACAATTGCCGGTTCCGGAACAAGTCCATCTACCGAGGATCCAGCATGACTTCAGCAGACGTGGAGCAGGGTTTGCGGATAAACAGTTGCGCTTACGACAACGAGCAGCCGTGAAAAGAACTTTCCACCACTTCTGGGCCTCATACAAGTCTAAACATACATATTCCGGGGAAGCTTTTGACAAAGGCAACAATTTGCATGTGGAAAGCCTTGATACACTCTGGATCATGGGATTAAGGAAAGACTTTGAACATGCTGTCACAGCCATTACAGACCACGATTTTGCACCCAGGGATGAGATTATCACCATGGCTGACACAGCACGCCACTTGAACGCTCTACTCTCAGCATACGACCTCACCTTCTGCAAAGATAGACGCTTACTATCCGCAGCCGTGCAACTAGGCAACATGCTCTACACCTTCTTCGACACGCCAAACCGCCTGCCAATCACGCACTGGAACTCGACAAAAGCCACGCACGGCGAGACTCAAGAAACAGCACAAGAGGCTACAATCGCAGACCTAACATCCTGCAACCTCGCCTTGACGCGATTATCCCAACTCACAGGAAACATGCGCTTCTACGACACAACAACACACATCACACGCATGCTAGCCTCCCAGCAAAATGACACAAAAATCCCCGGTCTCTGGCCCTCATCCATCAACCCGACGACCGCAGATTTCACATCCACCAACGCATTCACCCCGGATACTCTGTCGCACGCCCACCTAGCGCAAATGTCGCTGCTGTTGCACCAGTACCACCCGTCCACACCCCACGCGTCTATGCTGCAAACAGCGACGGAAGTGACGATACGGGATATACTCTTCCGCCCCGTCACACCAACAAACGAGTCTATCCTCGCCGCCTCCTCTGCGTATACTATTGTTCTGCCAAAGACGAAAAAGCGACAAGTCACGCTCACGCACAACATGACCGCTTCTTCCTGCTCGCTCGGCGGCACACTCGCGCTGTCCGCTGCGTTGAGCGATGGTGACGAGAAGGCTAGACTGCTTACCTACGCGCGGCTACTCACACAGGGATGTATATGGATGTCGCTAAACGCCCCGCCCTCTTCTTCATCTTCTCAACACACCGATGTCAAGATGATGCCAGAGCTCTTCTCGGTGCTAGCCTGTTCGTCGTCTATGCTTGATAACATGGATGAGGACTGCTCGTTTGATCCGACCGTGTGGCGCAAACAAGAGTACCCTGGCTTTGAAGTTGTGTTTGATCCGAAAAAGCTGGTTAGGCCGCAGCTGATTCAGAGTGTGTTTTACATGTGGAGGGTGACAGGGGAGAGGGAGTGGCTGGATGTGGCGTGGGAGATGTGGGAGACCGTTGACGAGGTTATTAGCAAGGGGCTTGGTCATGGTGGAGACGACGAAGAGATGAGGATGGTGGTGCAGACGCTCAAGTACTTTTACTTGCTGTTTAGCACGCCGAGTGAGTTGAGCCTGGATGAGTGGGTCATGGGTAGTGATGGGCATGCATTCAGTATCGGCGCATGAGCAATACAAGTCACACCACGTCACAAGACATCATGCGCATTTCGGCAAAACATTATGATATCGTGATGGCATTACTGCCTAACCTGTCTCAAGGCCAAGCGTCATGTACACATACACGATGGATGCTAGAAGCATATTCCATCTATGAGGAGCTCTGGTGTCGTATCGTCAACCATAGCGAGCCCTCGGTGCGAGCTTTTACGGTCGCACATAATCAACGCTCCCTCGCGTTCCGTCCCGTCCTTTCAGTGAAGCAATCTCGGTATCCCCTCGCGCCAGCCGCCGGCGTAATCGTACCATAAAGAAAAGAGAAGAGTTGAAAAGCCTTCTGACCATGATTAAGAGAGGTTGAAGGCACACCACGTACAGATGTCTAATCGTGTCGAGGGTATTCTGAGTTTTGAAAAGTTTGAGAAGTAGGAAAGGGAAACCGCCCACCGTAACACCATGCAATGCCGCAAATAAATGACAATAAGAGCAGGTTGAAGTCGTAGCCAGGTCATCGGATAAGATGTGTAGTCAAGGCTAGTTGAAGCTGCTCATAGAAGAGAGGGTGCTCAGGACTTGCGGAAGTCCGACAAGACCGGGTAGATGAGTTCAAAGGCCTGGTAGATCTCCTCACGGACTTTGGCACCGGTAAGGACGATCTTTCCAGAGACGAAGATGAGCAGAACGATCCTAGGCTTCATCATGCGGTAGATGAGACCGGGGAACAGCTCAGGCTCGTAGGAAGAGAAAGTGTGATGACGCGAAGCCAAGCCCTCGAGACGGATAGGGAAACGAATGTCGCAAGAGCCGACAATGTTCTGGATCTTGAAGTCCTATGGCAATGTTAGCACGGGATTGCAAATACTTAATCCGACGCGACGTACGGTGAACTTGGCACTGAACCCCAGCTTCTGAATGATCCGCGCATATTTGCGGGAAGCGAGACGGCTATCGTCCTCAGACTTGGCACCAGTCACAACCATCTTCCCACTCGCAAAGACCAGGGCAGTCGTCTTGGGCTCGCGGATACGCATGATAACGGCAGCGAAACGCTTGGGGTTGTACTCAGCGTTGCGGGCGTGGAGAGCGATAGTCTTGAGGTCAAGGCGAGCGGAGAGGTTGACGGTGGCGACAATGTTCTGGAGAGTAGGCACGATACCAGAGGGGACTTGACCGTTCTGAGTATCGGGAGTAGCCGCAGGGGTCGCAACACCGTTCGCGTTGTCGGCGACGTGCTGAGTGGGTTGCTCAGCGGCCGGGGCAGCCAGATCTAGGTTCGCGCCATTGGGGTACGACAGAGAGCCTGGAGCCACGAACTGAGGGCGGATGTTAGAACAATTTGGCAGCGGCAAACATCACAAGAGCTTACCGTCTGGGCCTGTAGGGCGGTGGACGGGTGGGAGGTGAGAGAGTTGGGATCCATGATGAGATTATTGATTGGATTTGGAGCGATAGACTCTTGAGAGATAGGTATCTTGACAGACTGCGCAGGTCAGAAAGTGTGCTTGGACGGCAGCGACGGTCAAGTCGGGCTGACTACGAGATCGCGAGAGTATAGCGAGGTCGGTCGACGCCAAAAGGTATGAGTCTATGAGGAGGTGGAGACGGTACCGGAGGCAGGAGAGCTACAAGCGAATGTGTCCCTCGCGAACGCTGACAAGTATTGCCTTCGGTAGTAGGTGGCTGTCGTGGAGACGACGGCGTGTTAGTGTAGAGATTAGGACCAAAAGCGTATCCAGCAAGCCTTTGGCGGGGTAGTCGAGATTGCGACTGAGGTAGAGGCTGCGCACAAGGCTATCGCCGGCTGAATGGAGCTAGCGTAGATGACAGGTGCCTCGGGCCTCTGAGAGAGTGGATATGTGCGATTTCTGCACAAGAGAGGTCTGGAGTCGCAGGTATTAGTAGGCGCGCAGGTGAAAATCCGACTTTTCGATCTGCGGCGTGGATGGTGATGGATAGTTGTGGGGTTGCGACAGCAGCGGGCAAGGCGGAAATCTCGTCAAAAAGATGGGGGGAGGCCGAGTACTTATAGTAGTGGGAGCCTGGCTGCCAAGCCTCTAGCGCCGCGCTAAGTCGCAGGGATTCTGCGGCGATTGGGGCTTAGCTTCACGGTTTCGGTAGCGAGAAGATTCTGCACTGAGTAAAAGGGGCTTCCAGCCTCATGCGCGACCCTCGTTTCCCCTTCACTCGCCAGCTTCACCCAGACGCCTATGGAGCGCCTGGCCGACGCGATGCAGTTACGTGGCGACCACCCAGGAGCGCCTATATTCACCAACTGCGCCCTTGCGCGGCGCAACGGTGCAGCAGCTGGGTGTTGCAGTGTGGTGTTGCTGCCAAACTGATTTTCGCACGTCGGGCGGCGCCTGCCTTCATTACCAACAATGACGACGCACTGGCCCGGATTGAGCGAAGGCCCAAACCCTGACCCGTCCACTCGACCCCTTCGCCTCACTTGCCCCATTGTGGCCACCTTCGACGGCGCCAGATGGCAGCGCAGAGAAATTTCATCACGACACGTCTGCACAGCTTTCGTTGACTTGTCGCCTGGAATGCATCCGACCTTCTGAGACGGGTGCGACAGCCTGCGCCTCCCCGGCTTTGTGCACCCATGCATCCCCCAGCAAAAGCACAAACGACGACATACACGATAGGGCAACGACAGAGACAAGGAAACAAAACAACAAAGCTGGGGCGCAAAGTGGCATCTCAGCTGCCGTGATGTTGGAACCGTGGAGCCTGATGGCAATGCACGGCGTGGCAAGCATCTTTGGCCGTATGACTCACCTCGCCTTGACCGGAAATCTGTCCTCGGCTGTCCCGACGATAGCCATCCACGCAGCATGCTCGCATGCGCATAGTAATCCTAGGTTCTGTAACAACATATCCATGTCTGAGAGGTGAGAGTAGTTCGTCGGTTGTCGCCATCCGTGCGCCTGTGCTTCACGTCGCATAGCATTCATGCAGTAGTCAACGGCTTAGTCAGCGCATTGAGTAGGGCAGGCTGACTACTTTTTGTCTTTTACGCAGTATCTGGTGCAGCATTTTCGGCGACATGGTTAGTATCATGATACTCACCTCGCCGGTCTTTGCCGTGAAGTATCGCAGACTATTACTGGGTCATAGGGAATTGGTCCTTGTACTATCGCCGTAGGTGCTGGAGCGCGTGGGGCAGTCATTTGGACACGGTTTGGACAAGCATTCAATTTGCATGTTGGAGTAGTGGTTGGGCCTGCTGTGGTGAAGCTGCATCGAATTTCTGATGTAGAGAACGCGATATTATATGGCTATTAAGCCAAACAGAACAACAACGGGGTACTTCAACGTAGATCATGCTGTATTACATCTTCTTGCGATATTTTCTTGCAAAAGCGGCGATGTGACAGCAACGTTGCTTTTTTCTTACTGGTGACGTGGTGAGATGTGATTGACCATATCGGCAGGGTGGGGTTGTAGATGTTCTAGATGTAGATCACAAATGCAGACCTACTCCAGCGTCTGCATGTCTATTGATCCTGTAGAATTGGACATCTGGCCATTTGGATCCTCGTACGTGATCATTATCTGTTCTCATTATTTCTCGGACATTCTGAGACATGGTGGGCAATACCTCAACCCTGTCCCCGCCCTCCCCGCGTAAAAGCATTTATCCTCTTATTCCATCTAGAAATACCTGAAATAACTATCTTTCCGCTTGTCATTCATCCATCTCCCATTTCAGACGCTCATTGTCCCGCTGCTACTGCTTCTTCCTGACTGACACCTTCCACAAACACCACACTCCTTCCCAACCCCCTCCTCCTCACAAGTACCCTCCACTTCAATCCCATACAGCCCCGGGGAACCCTCTCACTAATTCCCAGACTACTTCCGGGCACATACTCCATGTACCCAATCGAAGAAGTAAAGTCCTCTGACACCATGTCCCTCACAGCGGGCGCACCCATATCGCGGATCTCCAAGAACTCCCTCTCCGACGCATAGCCGCTCATCTCAAAACTTCCCTTTTCCTGGCTAGCTGTGGTGCTGAAGAGGCTTGCCCGGCACATGGGACATGTGTCGCTCTTCTCTAGCCAAGTTTCTAGACAGTCGAAGCAGAAGCAGTGGCCACAGCTTTTGATTTTCGTCATGTAGTTGTGGCGGGACGAGGATACGCGGGGTTTAACGGGTTTGGCGCCGAGGCAGAAGACTTTTGCTGCTTTGTGCATGTGTAGTACGTGGGCGGAGAAGTGGTGGATTTTAGTTTTTGTGGGGATGTTGTTCTGGCAGATGGGGCACTCGTCTTTGTGATTGGTGGTGGGTTTCGTACCGCTCTTTAGGAAGGCTCTTTTGGAGGTGTAGGACATGCTTGGGGTTGGGAGGTGGCTTGCATGTGTATAGGCAATGGTGGGAAGGTGTGAAAATGAGGACAAGGAGTGCTTTTTAAGGTAAACATGGGGATATGTGGAGATGTGAGCTCATATTGAGTTCCAGACAATGCGGTTGGCTGAAGATAATCGTTTTGCGGTATTCCTTTGGGTCGCATGTGGCCTCATGCGGGGAAGACTTCTTAGTGAGCCGAGATGTACACTCCGGCAGGCCTGAGTCTCGGAAACGACTTCTGCGCTTAGACATGAGGAGAGATGTGTCGAATACAGCAACAAAGTGATTATCATGTTGCGAATGCATGGTGCGGAATCATCCTGTGGTTCACAGTGAGCTGCCTAGGTACCCAAGACCCCAGCCATCATCTTTATAGCTAAGAAGTGAGGCTTTCAAATAAACATATCGTGAGAAAGAATTACAGAAATCAACCTCAAACAGGCGGTTGAGATGCATAGCTGTTCATCGTGCGGAAATGTTGGTGGTCTTTTGCGCAGGCGAACACTCGTAATGTGTGGCGCATAATCTTGCGCTAATGACAAAGCCCCCCACTTACCAGCCACATGTCTGCGTCTTTCTCCAGTCTACCCATACAGGCACAGCGGTTACTCTTCGTACAAACTACATTGCCATAATCCATGATCTAGCCCTGACGAGTTTCATCACCGACCATAGCCATTTGAAGTGCGAGTGGACACGTGTGCATCTACTTTGAGTACCTAGGCGCCAGCGTTTCCGGGCATGTCGGTACCAAGGACAGATAGGTCGATACCGGTACCCTACTTCAAGCGCACATACATAGCCACCTAATTCTGCTCTACTCAACTTGTTTCATCCTGTTCACAGCGTCATCATGGCCTCGACAACGGAAGATGAAGCCATGGCCCCAGCCCTCACGCCTCATCTCCAATTTCTTTACGCGGCCTACGGATCAGACCTTGATCCTACAACAATCCCAACCTCGCTGAGAAGCGATTTTGATCAGCTAGTTGAAGCCGCCGATGTCAGAAATATGCGTCCAAAGGTAGAGCCGTCATACTCGTGCGCAGAAAAGCTGGCCTTGGAAAGCTGGGCAAGTCAAGTCAACCACCAAATACGGACACGCATATTGAGTTACCAATGTCCTACAGCATCAGCTAGTACTTTCGATAGCGGATCATCATCATACACCCAGCGTCCTATATATACCAGCCGTTCTGAGCATCAGCTCTTCCGGATTCCGGAGCTATTGGACACGGTTCTCGGATATGCAGGACCTGTCGCGCAGATGCAAGCATTGCGAGTATCTAAACGCTGGCGCACATCGGCTCTTGACGTTATACGCAGTCGCAAAAATTCCGACGCATTTCAGACACAGCAGCTTTCCCTGCCCAAAGAATATGGACAGACCATCGACGATGCAACAGGGATACCTCTTCAGCCTAGCTCTGAAAAAGTTGAACAGTTCGAACTGTATGTCCATCAAATCATGGCAAGATGGCCGAAATCAAAGAGCTCGAAGAGCATATATTTCCCGGCAAAGTTCACTCAACTGTAAGGTTTGAACAATTCCACGATTCAAGCCTTCAACCACTTAGATCGTAATCAAACCCGCTCCGCGTTTCGTGGACCAGTTAACGCATCCCGTGATACCGGGTTATATTGGCTGGATCTAAGCCAGTTCACTATCAATCCCTATCTTCAGGCGTTTTTCGCGGAGAATGACCAAATTACGCACCGACTGGGCCGATGGGAAATCTGTCTGAACGCTGCAGCAACTCCGGAAACACTCACATTGAACACTTTTCTCTCAAGCAAGGTCCTGTTAGACGCTGTCGCATCTATGCACATCACCAATCCACCATGTCGGGCTATCGGCCTCTACCACCATAATAGCAGTATGATGGCGAAATGCGGATGGAAACGGCTCTTGGCTCGGCTCGGGAACAATGATGATATACGTATTGGCGAGCTTCTGGACGCTTTGAAGCGTTCCGCACCCACTGTGCTCACAGCATGGGTTCGGAACTCCGAATGGCTTGCGTATGGGATACTGCAGCATACGCATTGGATTGACGACGTGTGGATCCTCCCCGGGGTACCTACTATCGAACTCCACTTGGACAATGTCGATATGTCGGATAGCGCCATTCACATCGATGAGGTCAAAATAGGTGCAGCAACAATGGACACATTCAACGCTGCGGCCACTGCTTCGCTGGGCTTGCGTAGTCATGTCACCCGCATTGCAGAGATGAACGCGATGCCGTTCAGACGATCGAGAGAAAGGGCATGGATATCAGAAGATTTGATTGAGCCTGCAGAAAGCACCACAGGTCGACATCCTATTAATTGGGATATGTGAACGTGGAGTCGGTAGCATAGCAAAACAATATAGGAATTCTCAACAAGACCAGCACCATAGTTTCATATTGTAAAAGAATAAAGGAAATAACTATAAAATATCATAATCAAGTGTCGGGTCTGCATGTTCTCCATTATCCAGTGCACTGGGACAAATCTATGCTACGTAGCCGGCACATTCTGTGACGATGGTTGACTTGATAGAACCATGAGCTATGGATGCCGCAGATTGCGACTCTACCAACGTAGCGACGCAGGCATCTGAGATGGTAAACGAATCGATCCCATTTCGAGGCTCTGCGACTCCATGACAGAAGCAGAAGAAGATGGCTGGTAGTTTATGCAAGACGACGAGGCTCTAGGACCGTAGACTCGGACATGAAACACGGAAGCACAACTAATTATAGATAATTACTGGGAGATCAAAGACATGGGACACATTTCAAAATGACAGCGAAAGGGGGATTCGGCGCAAAACCTTGTAACCGCGAACAGTTCGAACAAGAATATGAGGAAGAAGATTCATGTTCGAGACGATGGAGAGTACGAAGAAGCTATCAAACTGCTCAAGAGTGGAAAGTTGTTTGAAAAGCCCACTGGCTGGACAATTAGAGCCCATGGTGTTGACAACAGTTTCACCGATTTGACGAACGAAAGGCTCAATGGTCAATGCTTGGATACGGGATATGCACAATGTATTGTGCCGAGCGAAATATGAGGTTGAAAGCGGCATCCATTTTGACAACGTCGCCATGTTCTTCTTTGGCGAGCTTAACCAGTTGCCCTATGTCGATCACACCAATCTGTACACCATGTCCACCGATGAATCTCAATTCCCGCCATTACCGGCACAACTAAAGGGTGGCTTCGGGCTGTCTCTGACCCATCTGACAGAATCAACAACCTTGACGAGATTATGCGTCAGCAGAAAGTGGAAGAGGATGATATCAAATTCGTCGTTACTCCTTGTAGAATCCGTACCTACCCCACAGAGAAACAGGATGGGGGTTGCTAAAGTTGATTGATGTTTTTGTTACTAGCAGGCACAATCGATAACAGCGAGCTAGCTGGTCAGCTAGCGGATCTCAGTGATGATCTGTCGAAAGCACGACGTTCCCCGCGAGTTCAATTTACCTGCGGGCCTAGGCAGTAGTCAAATCATGCAACGAGACGTTCAAAGGATCCTTTTGGCGTGAAGCCTGACCATCGCTTCATTATCCAGCCAATGAAGGCCACCCATCCCAGTCCACGTCGGGTTCTGGAAGCACTCCACACTCAATACTCAACAATCAACCCCATCACAAAACCACAAGCCGCCCACCACCTGCGGGACATGGTCAGTCCTACGCCACCCCAAAAATATCCAGCCCATCCGCGACCTGCACGATCATCTCATCAAAACGACCCTTCGCATGCACCCACATCCTCCAAAATAGCATCGACACCAAGCTCGTAGGCGTTGTTCCTGGTATAGCACGCTTCGATCCAAGGTATGAGGCGAGAACTTCTGGCAAAGGATTTGCAGAGCCCTCAGCTAGATGATAGCCTGATAGTAACTATCCCGAGGATTCTTCTCGTCTAGCTCAGCCTTGGCGTCGAGATGTTATTAGACTACCCGGGAGCATGCGAATGGTCGTTTTGATGATATGATTGTGCAGGTCGTGGATGGGCTGGACCCTTAGCTGGCGGCATACACCTAGCTGCGCAGACTATGCCCTAGTGGGGAATTCAACGTTAATTAGTACCTGATGTTAAATTGTACTTACTGATCTCACTGCTGGATCCTCATGGGCGGGGAGAAAGGAGTAGTTTTTTCTATGGCTGTTGGCTGGTGAGATGGAGGAGAAGGGCTGGGGTGGCATTGATATGTACCTACCTAACTGGATCGAGCTAGAGTAACGAGTGCTTGTGCAAAAGTATCAGCGACTATGAGGCGGGAACATGCGTGGTAAGAGTGATCGTGATAATGGGTAACTCTAGTTGAAATCCATCGCCGTATGCCATTGTCGCGTCTGGATGCTATGTATTTGGATGAGGTTGCGCGTACAGACGAGGACGAGGAACTGCGCAAGTAGATGCTTTGGTGAAATCAAAGACAAGCAAGCGAAGACATGGCGAGTGCCTCCGTGTGGATGTGTAGGTTGCGCATCGCGTTCTAATTGGGGCGAAGGTGAGGTGCGGCCTACAACAAGTCAATATTACGCGGGTTGAAAACATGAGCTCAGCCAACAGCCTACCTATGTCAAAAGGTCATAGCGGTGGCACTCTGAGCAGCAACTTATTGCGCTTGTGGCTCGGTACACGTTCATTCCCCGGCAGATGTGTATAATTCATGCGTACAATGAGACCACATTGTCGACAGACCCAGGCATGTTCGGTGCCGTGATGGCGATGGCCAACAAACCTGAGGGCTAGTGAATGATGCTATATTAGCTTACCGCCGTACGCTCAGAAGTGATGACATACCTACCAATTGACGATGTACTTGAGCACACATGGCCATAAGATTTTCAGGACGAGGTGAGGAATCACCTGGCTCAAACAGCAGGGCGAGGCAAGGAGAAGGCAGAAGACATGTTGCGGGGCGCACTGAATCATAGTCACATGCGACGAGATGCGATTCTGCGCAGCTGATGTCGCGCGGACGATGAGCTACAGAGGAAAGCGTTAGGTGGTGCAGGTGGATCTCTCCCGAGGTCCTGAGATCGCCATTCTACGCTAAACACATACAGACGAGTTCCATACTTGGACCGTGGAACACAAAGGACAGCTGTACTAGCTGAATCTTCGCGTCTTACTTAATGACTGCCCGTCAATATTCTCTTCGCAGGAACGACAACAATCGTGGCGCCTTTGAATACATCTGTATCGCGGAAGCCTCCCACCGATCATTCGCTTCAATGAACGCAACCACCATGGATAGCCCTTCTCTGCGCAAGCCTTGTGCTGAGGAAGAAAAGACAGAGTTGGAAGACGCACGAACTGCCATACTACTTGCCTTGTATGGAGACTCAGCTACCCTTGAACCGAATGAGCAGTATAAATTGACTCATTTGACTCATATGATCGGCTCAATTGACGTCCGCACGCAGAGCCTGGATATTCGGACATTGAGCGGACAACTTTGGAAAATTGGCGAAAGCAGGTACAAGATCACATTTTCTCTCGTATTTGAAATTACACTCTTTCGATGCAGAAAAAACCAGATACTTCGGATATGCCAAGCAGCTCTGTTCGGCCCCCATTCAAGCAGCAAACACGCACGGAGCATAGGCTCTTCCACATCACCGAACTACTGAGCATGATTCTGCAGGACGCTGGCCCGGAAGCTCAGGTTCAGGCTTTGTATGTGTCACATGATTGGCGCTCTTCCGCGCTTGCCGTAATTAGCAGCCAGATAAATCCTTCTAGGCTCGAATTCTCACGTGTTCACGCCCCAGTCGAATATGGCCAGTCCCTGGATCCAGATTTGTCGATAGTCTTGCAGCCAAGCCAGCAAGAGGTTGCAGAATTTGAGCTGCACGCCAAGAGACTGTTAGAAAGGCGTCGCCATACCTCTCTGGATAAGACGCTCTACTTTCCTGCACGGTTCACTCAGTTGAACAACTTATCCGATGATATCAATGCAGCGCTTAACAAGATGAATGATGACAACACACACCAGCTAGAGGTTATGCTAGCACCAAACACTGGCCCTTGCTGGTTGGATTTCAGTCAGGTCTCAACAAATCCCTACTTCAAACAGCTGTTTGACAAAGGTCACCGCTTTGTGCAGCGTCTCGGTCGTTGGGAGATAACACTGCGTCCTCCAACAGTGACTGGCGATCTCCTCACGATGAAGAGTGGTATCATTCGCACCCTCCAAGATGCCATCGGTTCAATGCATGTCACATGTCCGCCGACAAAAAGCCTGGGAATCTGTCACTTTGATCGAACAGGAGAAGGATATCCCAGTCAGAGTGTTTTAATCACACGGATATGTAGCGATGACGGGATACGCGTCGCTGAACTCCTCGACACCCTCGAAAAAATCGCGCCCAAAGTACTATCAACTTGGATGACGAACGCTCAACATCTTCGCGATGAGCAAATTCCCAGCTCGCACTGGTTTGACGACTCTTGGCGTATGCTTGGCGCGCCAAAAATCACCATTCATCTTGATAACGCCATGATGCCCTCTGCAGAAGTCGACTATGAAGCCTTCCCAAGACCCGACTTTGACAACATCACCATTGAATCCATTCTGAGAGGGGATTTTGATAGAATTGGTGACTTCAAACGTCATCGTCAGGCTAAGATGGGCTACGGCCATCACGTTGAACGGGTGGGATATATGGTATCTGTCCCATTCAGGGCCACGAGAGGACGAGTGGATCCCCAAGGAGCTCTTCGAGCCTATGAAGTCGGAGACAGGGCGGCATCCTATCAACTGGGATACCTGAGGAGGATCATGTGTAGTTCATCTTTCCATCGTGGCTTTCGTGTCCGAGGAACTACAAGGGGGCCACGCGTATCAGAAAGGGCCTTGGTGACAGACAGCATTCTGTCTTCTACCGACTAGGAACTTTCCCCTTTCTTTTACGTTTACTTGAGACGAATTTGAGATTGGCATAGCTGTATGCTAATCTAACTTGATATAGTGGAAATGCACGCGTCTCTTAATTCGATCATGATTAGCCTGCGATACTACCTAACTACTATCACGACTTTAGCCGTACATCCCTTAGATAGCATCAACACTTATACAGAAGGTGAAGTGAAGTGGCCGCCAAATCTATAAAGGTTTCACATCTGGCAGTCCATTGCCTAGTGACTACAAGTGGGTATACAACTACTCGGTCGCTAATGTGGCTTTCCGTTGAAATCGAGACAGCTCAACGTTGCATCAACTCCAGTCATGTCGGATCGGCGTCTTTCTTTGGTCCACAATCCCGGATATGCCACCTATGCAACTACACTATCACCCGAAAGGATACCTGGGTACACAGAATGTCTAGGCTGCTGTCAACAGATGATTTGTCGGGACTCCGAGCTAACGGCCACATCTATTCTTGTGCTCAATCAGGAATGTGTCTGTCTCTGGTCTGTAGATTTGCTTCTGTCGCAATGTAAATATTATTCAAGAGCTAGCACCTCTATTCGTTACCAGATGACGAAGTCCACGATGTGTGATGCTATGATGCGTAGGTATCACGGCTTCTACGTCATACATTACCTATGTAAGCTACAATCGGCTAGTGCGTAGGCGGGGCAGCGTTGAACTTTGGTCCGTGATAAAGGACATCTTTCCGACCGTGATATGTACTTGAGCATCTTCGGTCTCGGATGAATGTACGTTAGAATCCTCACAGATTATTTGAACCATGGCCTCTTCTCTATCCTATTATGGCCCTACGACCCAGCAAGATGACATTTATGGCCTTGCGGCCCAGCAACTTTCTATTCAGCGGTCTGTGGATCCGCAAACTGCGCTGCTCTTTGCCTTACATGGATACATGGACGCTCGCCTTGTGCCGCCCACGCGCTACGACTACAAAAAGGAAGAGTGCCGTCGTAAAGATGTTTGCAACCAATGACCGCTCACCAAGCTAAAACGCTCTGCCCGCGAACAGTCAGTTGTTGAGTTGTGGAGACGGCAAGTGCACGCCTACATGAGAAGTCGCCTCTCTTTTTATGAAGATCCGGGGTCAGAAGCAGCAAGGCCGTATCTCAGCGACCTCCAAGGAATGTTACTCACGAGCATCGTGTCCTCCGTGTATCAGAGCTTTTGTGCTTGATCCTTGGATATGCGGGTGCCCGTGCTCAGATGGTCGCTTTGGATGTATCTGAGCGTTGGCGCTCCTGTGCCGTCTCTATTATTAGCAGCAGTCGGAATGCTGAAGAATTTCGCTTCCCGAGTGTATGCGAACCTATAAAGTATGGCCAGCTTATCGAATTCGAACTGCCGGAGCTCAAACCTGGCCCGGATGAGATCAGCGTGTTCAGGGTACATCTACACCGACTCCTCGAACGGCGGCGAAACACCATGAACCAGAAATACCTTTACTTTCCGGCGAGGCTGACACAACAGCGCGACCTTCCAGATGACATCGCACAGACTCTGAATGCATTAGACGTTGAGCAAATGCACGAGTTACACGGAGTCATCTTATCAGTATCGCGAGATACCAATGTGTCGTGGCTTGACCTTAGTCAGGTACACATCAATCCGTATTTTCATCACCTCTTCGCACGCGATGGCCGGATCCAGCATGTCTTCGGTCGATGGGAAATTAAACTTCGCTCGCCATCGGACATTCCACTCATCAAGCGAACACCGAATACCAATCTCCTGATCGATTTGATTGGTTCAATGCACATAACCTACCCACTATGCAAGACACTGGGCATCTATCACACCGTTATAGGTACAGAAGTGATGATGTCTAGTCCTAGTCAAAACGCTTTTATATCGAGGGTTCATAACGACGACGGCATTCGTGTCTCTGAGCTGATCGATGCTCTAGAGCTCTGTGCTCCTGGTGTGGTATCTGACTGGAAGCGTGACGTCGGCCGGTTTCATGACTACTTAGTTGATGAGTCACTACCCGCTACGCCGACCATCATAATTTGCATGGACAACTCGCGGATGCCCGCTGCTAAATTTGACTACCATAAGGCATCGCAAATCTTCGGGAGTTATGAGGCCAGAACAATGGGGTGGGTTCAAATGGGTTACTCGGCGCATATCACGCGTGTCGCCTACCTGGCAGCTCGACCATTTCACGCAAGCAGGGAAGGCGAATGGTTACCAAAGGAGCTCTTTGAGCCTATGATGACTGAAACTGGTCATAGCCCGATAAACTGGGATACGTAACGGCTGCATGTGCGACATTAGTCTCACGGTTATTTGGACTGGTGTTGGTAGATCTAGTGAGTTCTTCGCTTGAGCTTATCATTGCGTCTAGGTTAGCGTTTTTGTTTGGTGGGTTGGCTAACGGTGTGGGATGTGTAGATCGGCCGAGTTGCGTCAAGGTTGAGGTTAAGGAGAGGGTTATTTGCGATGATGAGAGATGTAGGATGGTTTTGTTGACGGCGGATGTTAAGTTACCTAGCGAGTTGATCGTGGACGGGCATGAACGATAGTGCCCGCCATCACTGTAATACGTTCACCACACCAAGAGTAAGCAGGAAAATGAACACACATCAACCCAAGCCCAAAACTTTCCCCCCATAACATCTTAGAGCATATATACCCCCATCCCACCATTCCCCACACCATCCCTCTCAAATACACACCCCACCATCTCCCCTGCAACACCCTTCCCCAAAACAGCTAGCGCGCGTACCACGCGATCACGACATAGTACCCCAAGATTTCGTGTACGGGCCGAACGCCATTGCCGCCATCATATGCAGCAAAACAAGAAGGTACTACGCCCCATCAGCATCGCCGTCTGGCGCAAAAGCCAAATGCGCCCCAATGACAGTTCACCATTAGACCTGGGTTCTTGCACTCGTACCCCTGTCCAATGACGGTGGAGGAGGTGCTTGGGGTGCTTACATTACGTTCTTGCATCATTTGGAGCTTTGGATGCTAGGTGCCGAGGATATGGTAGGTAGGTGGCTGGAAGGGTGGTGCTGGGAGTGAGATAAGTAGGGGTGTTTGTCGCTGCCATACTGGTGTCTTTCTGTTTTCTGTCTCGAGAAGCATTTGCACCGACGAATAACATTATGGTGTCTGAGACGAAAGACGCACCTGCTGCTGCATCGAGCACGTCGGGCTCCGATATCGAGGTCTTGACAGGCGTTGTTAATGAGAAAAAGTTGATGAGGAAGTTGGATTTGAGATTGCTGCCTGCGGTTTCCATCTTGTATCTTCTTAGTTTTTTGGATCGTAGTAATGGTATGTTTATTCCCTTGTATCTTGACAGGGAGAGTTCGGGGAACTGACAGTTTTTTGTAGTCGCCAACGCGCGCATTGAAGGTCTTACTAAAGATCTCAAAATGACTGGGAATCAGTATCTCACTGGTCTGACACTGTACTTTATCGGTTACGTTCTCTTTGAACTCCCGTGCAATATCATTCTCAAGCGAACGACGCCGAAGTTTTGGTTGCCGACGCTTACGTTGGCTTGGGGAGTGGTTGCGACGTTGATGGGTGTGACGCAGAACCGGGAGGGCTTCTTTGCTGTGAGATTCTTGTGAGTTGTCTTCTTTGATGGAGTTGAAGGGGGTAGCTAATCGGTGGCAGTCTCGGTGTTACAGAGTCTGGGTTGTTTCCTGGTGTGGTGTATTATTTGAGCATGTGGTATAAGCGAAACGAGCGCCAATATCGCATTTCGCTGTTTTTCAGTTGTGCTTCGCTGGCTGGCGCGTTCGGTGGTGTAAGTTCTGATATCAAGAAGGGGTATCTTTTTACTAACTTGTATAGATCTTAGCGTATGGCATCGCACATATGCGCAACGTCGGAGGATACGCTGGATGGCGATGGATTTTCATCCTCGTAAGTCCAACAATGTTGATCATCTCCTTGCCTAACCACGAAAACAGGAAGGTCTATTCACAATCCTGGTCGCAATCATCGCGTACTGGTTCATCTCAAATTACCCCGACACTGTCAGTTGGCTCAGCAAAGACGAGCGAGCCTTCATCCAAGCGCGTCTCAAAGCCGACAGTGACGCAACAAACGAAGAAGCGTTCTTATGGTCTGAAGTTCTCATCGCGGCCAAAGACGTCAAAGTCTGGCTTTACGCGTTCGCTTTCCATACCATGAGTCTGCCACTCTACACACTATCTCTATTTTTAGTATGTGATACCCTTTCATGTACAAACTTCTCAGCCTAACAAACCCCCCAGCCAACAATCATTCGCGACATGGGCTACACATCCGCCCAATCCCAACTCCTCACCATCCCACCCTACGCTGTCGCAACACTCTTCACCATCTTCTGGGCCATACTATCCGAACGCTACGCCCGTCGCGCGCTCTTCATCTTGGCCACCACGACCGTCGCCATCATCGGCTACATCATCCTACTCGCCAACACAGATCCCAAAGCGCGCCCAGGAATCTCCTACCTCGGAACTTTTTTTGCGGCAGTCGGTATTTACCCCTCCGTTGCATTGGTTCTCTGCTGGCCCGCCATCAATGTCAGCGGGCAGACGAAGCGAGCGACAGCGAATGCCATGCAGATTAGTATAGGTAATCTGGGTGCTGTACTGGGTACTCAGTTGTATCGCGCGAATTCAGGGCCGCGGTATGTGTTGGGGCATAGCTTTGCACTGGGGTATTGCTGTTTGAACTTGGTGGTTGTGGGGGCGTTGTTGGTGTTGCTGAAGAAGGAGAACAGAGAGAAAGACAAGGTGCTATTGGAGAGGCCGGAGACAGGTGGGTTTCACGATAGTGTTGAGGATTTGAAGATGGGGGATCGGCATCCTAGGTGGAGGTTTCAGGTTTGAGCGATGGGTGGATGGCGATGGGAATACGATAGATGGGTTGGACTCGTTGGCAGTGGTCAAGCCGAGTGACTCTTAACATGTCCTCATCTACTTATCAGATGCCTATTTTTAGCGCAAGCAGGAAGCCTATGCTCAGCTATTCTCCTGCGTGGGGCCGACATCGTCCTCTGACCTGATGTTTTTCCAGTTTGTAGAGGGCTGGGATGTGCTACGCTGGTCCTCGTAGGCTCTTCACTGCTTTTGATACACATGTAGAATATCATTCGGTACATCTCGTCGACTATGAGTCCCTGATCTAAGCTCTTCATGCAATCAGCGCATGTATTCGCATTGGGTCTGGCGTGGACAGCCGCGTCAGACTTGAACTTAGAAGCGACTTCATCATGTCCTTGCGCGTGAAAATCACCTAGGTCATCGCGCTACACTCCGTAACAACCATAGGCTTGTCCTCTCTGCCATCACGTTCTTCACGGATGTCATCAACAGCGATTCTGAATTAATAATTACATGAATTACTTCTTCATATATACAAGTACACCCTGGGTAGCCCGAAAACCCCAACAATTCATCTCTCTCGCCTATCTCACTTCTTCTCTACCTTCACAGTCCGTCCCGATCGAGATACCAAGTATGAAGTTCGAATTGGCTTACTACACTGGTCTCTCCCTTCCTTCACCAGGAGCGTCAGGTTGGCGCACATCTTCAGTGCGCTCTCACTAGGCTTTTGCTGAACACTCAGCTGCTTGGAAGCCGTCCTGATCTCGTTCATCACTTTTTTGATGGCCTTTTCTCCCTGTTTCTTTTTCTCCATCTTGAGTGTTCCCCATACCTCGTTGAATTTGCCTTGAATTTGAACGACGTATGGGCTCTCGGATCCACACATGACATTCTCGAACATATTCAAGGCAGCTCTGAATGAGTGCTTTTTACACTCCTGATCTGCTACAACGTCCTTGTAAAGTGATGACATTCTACCGCGGAAGTAGTCGCCGTTGCTGTCTTCAAGAAGGCGTCCTTTCTGTTGTTTCAGGCCACTCCGGATCGCCGACTCAATCGTGTCAAACGCTTGCTGCAATGCGGGCCCTTTGTTCTCTAGGTTTTTCTTGAATGCCTTGCTGTCAACGCCCTTGATAGAATTGCGCAGGCCGTTCATAAGAAACTCTATCTCTCCTGCGACGAGCTTCTTCCGCTGTTCCACAAAATCTTTGGTCTTCTTGTCGATGCTGTTCCAGACTGGATCGAGGTCCTTTTGCGGCCCACTAAGGAGGCTGGCGTTCCAACTGGGCCCATTCGACTTCTTGGTCTGATGCTCTCCTTTTTTCCTCAAAAATGCCTTCATAGTCGTACCGTGCAACTTCCGCCACCCTTGAATTAGGTTCCTAGCCTTCAAATTCCATGTTGGGATATAGCCGCTGATAGCTTTAGCCATTTGATTGATGAGTTTCACCTCGAAGTCATCTAGAAGACTGTAGAGCTGCTTTCGGAAACGGTCCTCATGCAAGTCAAAGTCGAATGTGACGGTATCATGGGCTTTGGCTTCCGTGATACTACACAAGAAGTCGACATGATCGAGAAGATCTGGTAGTGTCTGCTTTTGAAGCTGTACCAGGCTCGTCTCTAGTCGGTATTTCGGATTGTCAGCAAATTTCCTGACCAGCTCAGGAATGTTTGTCGACTCGACGGATAGAAGAAGTTCAGGTTTATCGTTCTTGTCATACCCTTCGATATGTAGCATATAGTCCATGGCGGAGACCGAGAGGACCAACAGCTTCTTATCGGGCTGCGAGTACTTGCGCATTAGTTTTTCGCCAACGCGACGACCGCGTTCTCGAGATACAATCTCGATTTCCTTCAGTTCGATGAAAATAATAATGTTGTTGAATTTGTCACGTCCGCTACGATCTCACGCACCGAGAGCCTTCTTCTCCTTTATGATCTCTTGTTTCCAGACGGCCAGATTATCGAGTGCTCTCCGCTCGTGAGCCGTGAAGGCCACATTCATGCGATTCTTGACATTAAGATTTGCTTCGCTTTTACTCAGTGCGACGATGACAAGTTGGTGTGGCCTTCTTTTATGACACTGATCCAAGAAATCCGCAAGAAACTGGCTGTCGGCTGCCCGACTAATCTCTTCGACGACAACGACTGCTTGGGATTCTCGTAGGTACCTGTTTGCCTTGGTTTCACGATCTTTGTTGATATCACCGAGCCCCGGGCAATCGCCGATTGAGAGCTTCAGTCGAAAATCCCCAATAATCTCGATTCTGTCCACCAGCAACGAGGGATTGAATGACAATGGTGAGTTGGCCTGGAAATCTTGTTCGTTAAAGTCTGCGTATGGTGCGAGTTGAGCCCAAAGGTCCTCAACCTTGGCCGCAAATATTCCGTGTTTGGTTTTTGTGGTAACCTCTTTGCATGAATCCTGGGCCCATGCGATACATTGGTTATAAATCTCATCTTCCGATTTGGTGGACTTGGGGGAGCTGGAGTTCTCAAACCCCATGAAGGAGGAAATTGCTTCATCAGTCGCAAAATCTGGCTGACTGCGAAACAAGCCTTTGAGTGCTGCCATACTCTCGTCTCCTTGATCTCTATGGTCTGCAAGTACGGTCATATCCTGATCTTCTTGGTCCCCATCATTTATGGTGTATACACTGTCGTATTTGTCCAGGCTTGATATGATGTTGGCGATATGTAGGCGTAAGGAATCGCGGATAGTTGCTATATCGCACAATTGCACCCTCGCTTCGTATTTTGCTACCGAGTCCGCGCGCATGGATGAGTATATGATCAGTACACGGGTAACAGCTTCGCCACTGGATCCCTGAGAGTGTATTAGAAACTACCAAGTAAGAGCTTTTGGGGACTGCTCTGTACTATTTTCGTGATCACGGGCACGCCTAGCAGGGCTTCTATCAAGCTTGATTTTCCTTGTCCCGTCTTGCCCACAACTGCTACGTTCTCGGAAATACCTCGGTAATTATGCAGAGCCTCTTGTGTCCTTGATTGAAGTCCCACGGCTAGCTCAGAGTGTTCATCTTGCTTCACGATTGTGATAAGCTTCCGTAGAATCTGCAAGCAGCCCTCTTCAGTAATTTTGAATTCGGGCTTGTAGGCTTCTGCACCAGGCGAAGACTCTTCTCGGGGATCGTGATGATAGTGCTCACTCTGAGGGTCCGTTTTGATTCGAGTGTTGTATTCGCTTATTCTCTGGTCTATGCGTCCTTTTATCTCGGGATCAATACTCCGTTCGGGCGATGCCTTCTTGCAGGGTTGCGGAGGAGGATGCAGATGATCGGGCGCTGCACTTATTAGTGCCCACCTTTAAGTATACACAAACTATGGGCTTACCTGGTCGTTTCCTTGGGTTTCGCATACTCTTCTGAACCCGACCGGGGCTAACAATGGGAACTACTCTCATAACTCCTATACTCAGCAGCAGATGATCGGTATGATCAGAAGTGAGGGACCCTATGGCAACTGTGTGAGGTGAATTGTGCTATACAGGCATACTGTCGGATAGATCAGCTTGTGTGCAAAAGACGTCTTTTTGCGTAACGTTTTTAACAGATAAATAAACCCGCCAAAGATTGGCGAGAGCAGTAATTCAAGTGAAACAAGTGGCCATTATGAAACAACGTTTGTAAGCTCTGGAACTCTGTAGAGACAAGCACAAGACACGATCAGATATGCCCATAGTCTTGTGCAGACTCCGCAACAATCAATCGGATCGGCATGATTGATTCCTATCTAGGTTAAAGGCTGCCTAATGAAGTAATTCTTTAACCTATATAGGAATCAATCATGTCAATCGATTGATTGTTGCGGAGTCTGGTCTTGTGCACAGATCACAACAGTGATTGTTGACAGATGGACATATGTGCTATTTGAAGGGGTTGCGAAAGCACGGCGCCGCTTAAGGTGGCGAATAAACACGAGAAAACGTACTGGGTGCTAGCAAATGTGACAGGATAATCCTATGTGAGTTACAATACTCGTAGTTCCAGAACGCGACAGTTCAGCTTGCCGGAGCAAGTATGTGTTCACGTGGAGAGCAATCGGCACATGCGCTAATATAGAAATTCAATCTGGGAATGTAGCTGGTGGAAGCAAAGTCGAAAGGTATTCATGATTGCACAACATAACAGGAGACAATTTAATTATATTCGGCTTCGGTTTCATCGTGGAGGGGTCGCATCTTCTTGCGGAATAGATTATCGGTTGGAGTGTAATCCATGCCCAATTGCCCCCTAATTAGAACAACAGCGGACGTGAGTCGTTCGTTGTAGAATAGGGGGTTGGGAGTACGGAGGTGCCTTTCAAAAGTTTTGTCTACCAAGAATAATTCAGCCGAAGTATAGCCGCCTTACTCGAGGCTTATCTCTCCTCTCGATATACTTATTGCTACCTTGTAGTTTAATTATCTTTAGGATATATATAAGAATTCGCTCAATCCAAGCTTGGATCTTAAGCTGAGAGGGGTCTCTCTAGTAGTCCTGCCAGACTCTAACTGCCTCTGTTCTTAACTGCGGGGCTCCTTTCTTCGTAGTCTCTCTCTTTATATAGAACTAGCATAGCTCGATATAGTTAGAGTCTGGCGAGTTACCACACTATAGTAGTCTCTTAACGTTATAGAGGCTATAGACTATGTTCTAATACTAGTAGGCGTGCGTAGGTGCCTTATCCTCTATTACTACTATATAAGGCCTACTTTGGAGACAGTCCTTAGCATACTTGTCAACGAGCGAGCCGGCTCGCTCAGCTCGCTCGGCTTGGACGTTTTGACCAAGCCGAATGAGCTGAGCGCGCAGTGCGCGCTTGCAAGCCGAGCGAGCTTAGGGATAGGCGCTCGCTCAGTCAGCTTGCTTAGCTTGGTTGGATGGGGCGGTTGGAAACTTGGGGCTGAAGGACTTGGTGGAGGGGCAATCTCACGATGATTTTTAGGTGTAGTGCGTAAGTTCGAAACCTAGTTATAACCTAAAATACACTCTTTTTTGCTATATTTCTAGCAAATAAGCTACTAAATTTCCGGCTAACGGCCTGGCAACAATATTCTCCTTCTGCGACACTTCACTTACTACTTATCACCCACCACACTCACCTATACTCCATCAACGCGTCTCTATTTGCAGCTATTATCTACCTCGCCGTTGCTATAATGCCAGCAAAAAGAACACGCGTTAATGCTCTAGAAATCGCGACAACTTCGAAGCGCCCTAGAGTCGCAGCGCGTCATCGCGGGACTGCCAGCCAACCTGTGCTAGTCGATACTCGGCCATTCTCACCATCTCCACCTCCTCCACCGCTGTCGCCGCGTCAAGCTCTCGTCGCCGCGCCACAAGCACCAAATTTTGAAGCGACCCTCCGAGAGTCGCGCGCCGAAGAGACAATCATCCCACCACCTGAGGGCAGCGAGCATGCCACTGTTGCAGCTTCAGGAGCAGCTAGCGAGGCTGTCGACGAGGGTTTCGTATGGGTAGAGGACAAATACGACGGCTTTAATTGGAGTCGCTACCCAAAGCACTGCAAGCCGCCCACATCACTTTCGAACCGAGCAAGCTGGGTATACAGCCATAGCTATCGCATCGCCTTGCGCAGCAACGTCGCAAAAGTCACGTGGATCTGCCACTATTGCTATAAGCACAAGTTCACTACTGTTGGCCGTGGCATACATGACGTCTCGCAGTCTCCATCAGCGCCAGCACGTCATCTCGGAGAAGACAAGAAAGGTCATGGCTTGAAGCCTCCAAGTAAGCGCACTACCGTCGCTCCTCGGAAAGAAACTCTCCTCGAACGCGCCCTTCAGAAGGGCTGCTCTCAGGCTGTTGCCAACGAGCTTACCAACTTCAATATACAAGAGTTTAGGCTTGCGGCCGTCACCTGGCTCGTCGAAAACAACCTCCCACTCTCACAATTCGAATCATCGTCTTTTCGCAATATGATACAATTAGCTAGCGTAGAGGCAGAACGAGCCCTGTGGGCATCTCATAACAGCGTCTCACGATACGTTATACGCCTGTACAACTACCTGTTACCAAAGGTTGTCGCAAGCCTTTCAGAATCAATGAGCAAAGTCCATATAAGCTTTGACGGATGGACGACAAAAGGTGGCAAGCGCGGTTACTTAGGTATCGTCGCCCACTACGTTGATAGCTCTGGCGAGCTCAGGGACTTGCCTATTGCGCTCCCACAACTGACAGGTGCCCACACCGGCGAGGCCATGGCTGAGGTCGTGATGGCAATATTCAAGCAGTTCGAAATCACTGTGGGCAAGCTCGGTTACTTCGTCCTCGACAACGCACATAACAACAACACCACGATCAACACTCTCGCCTTGCAGATGGGCTTCAGCGCTACCGAGCGTCGCCTTCGCTGCGGTCCTCATACGCTTAATCTCATTGGCCAGATGCTACTCTGGGGTGAGGAGAAAGAGTCCTACGACAACGAGGAGACTGAGCGCGTGAACGAAGCTGAGAACATGGCTACTTGGCGAGGCGATGGACCATTAGGAGTGCTTCTCGCGGTTATCAACTACATCAAAACACCACAACAGTACGCTCTTTTTGAGAAGTATCAGAAGCTCGCTATTAGGGACCAGCCTGTCAACGCGCCAACAGAACAGCACAAAATCAAGGAGCCCGTCAAGCCAGTTGTTACTCGCTGGAACTCTTACGTTTCGTGTTTTGAGCGCGCTGTTGAGTTGCAATTAGCGGTTAATGGGTACGCCAACTACCATATTCAGAAGATTGAAACTGAAGACGCGTACGCCCGAAGTCGTAACAACAAGCTGCCTGCAGCGCCGGATTGGATGAGGTCTGATGGGATCAATGCCCATGACTGGCAGGTGATTACTGAGTATATTGATGTGCTCAGGCCACTGAAACAAGCTACAAAACGGCTTGAAGGCCGCGGCAAAAGCGGTGCTTTTGGAGCAATCGCTGAGGTTATTCCAGTATTTGAATACTTACTTGGAGTCTATGAGGACCGCTTGCAAAGCTATGAAGACGTCATTCACGATGAGCATACAGAGTCACCCGAAGACCACCTTGCTATCAACCTCCGCGCTGCCCTAGTTAAAGCCCGCGAGTACTACAACAAGCTCGACCTCTCGCCAGCTTACTATGCTGCTACAATCCTTCATCCTCGCTACAAAAGCTACCTTGACGCAGCGTGGGCGGATAAGCCTGATTGGCTAGAGAGCAGCAACCGCAAGTTTCAACATTTGTGGGCGGAGTACAAAAGCTTACCGAAGCCGCGCTTACGCCCCAAAGTCAGGCACAATGATATAGACGACGCTATCAACAGCTTTATTGAGCCTGCAGGGCTTACGGAGAACGAGGAGGATGAATATGAGGCTTGGAAACGCAGCGAACCGATCGCTAGCGAGGGCGTCGACCCTATAAAATACTGGGTAGGACTCCGCGATCGCTACCCCAGCCTTAGCAAATTTGCTATCGACATGCTATCAATCCCAGGCTCAAGCTGTGAGTGTGAGCGCTTATTCAGCGAGCTGGGTGACCTCCTCGAGCCCCGTCGGCGCAGCATTTCTCCGCAACTTCTAGCAGCAATACAGTGCGATCGACGATGGATAAGAGCTGGATTTGGCAGTGGTGAGGTGCCTGTAAAGGAGGCTATCAGCGATGAGGAGATGGACGCGAAATACGGTGTACATAAGTGGGATATTAGCTGAGAAACTCAACACCAAGGTTTCTATATAACTTTCCTAATCGGGACTGAGCCCATCAAGCCGAGCGAGCTGACAGCCCTGTTTCAGCCAATCCGAGCGAGCCGAGCGAGCTGCTGGCCTCCGCTCAATTGGCTGAGCAAGCCAATTGGCTGAGCTCGCTCAGCTTGCTCATTGACATCTGTGGTCCTTAGCGAAAGGAAGTAGCTTTAGGAGTAAAACGCAGGTTTGATATCTCTACCAGTCCACGCCACCTCCAGACGTACGCACCAGCTTACCCGTTCTCTCTGTCCACCTCCACTAAGGCTTCCTACCAGGCTTATTGCGTAGCCCTATCCTTCTTATAGATGCAGACAGCTCCCACTCCTCTTGCTGTAGAGGCTCAAGCTCAGCGTTCAGCTGCTCAATCTTCCGGGCAGCATCCTCTCTCTCTGCCTTTGTCTCAGGTAGATAGACATAGCAGGCGTCCTTCCTATCATAAGAGAAGCAGCCCCAAAACATTAAACTTAAAGTACTCTTTCCACCTCTAACGGATACAGCTCTTAACTACTCTCTTATTGTCACGAGAGGCAACGAGCAGTAATCTCAGAACTTATGAAGTTTGATTTGTGTGCTAGGTACAGTACTCAAGTGTAAATACAAGACGTTGCGTGAAGAAAAGAAGTGGAGAATTCCACCAGAGAAAGATATATAGCGGAAGGAAGCTTGTGTGACGTCATACAGATGTCGAGGCAGTAGCATACTGTCGAGGATAGTACATTGCGCTGTTGCGACAGGAGCGTACGGGTTAAGAGCAGGAGCGCATGGGTCAGAGGCAGGAGTGTCAAGGGGACCACGGTGGTTACCGTGACACTTATCTACCTTTCTCTAGATCCTATAGCCCCCACGTCTGTAGTTAATCACTATAGACGTCTCATCTGTCTAGATAACATTCTTCTAGTTCTCTAACATCTAATCCTTGTGTTTAATCGCCTACCTAAGACGAGCACTCCTCATCTCCTATGTTAACCTAGGCTTCCTCGTTAGCTTAGTCTTCCTGTATCCTGCTTCTCTCAGCACCCTCTAGACGGTAGAGGCAAAGATCTTAACTCCTTAGAGACTAAGCCCACCAGTAACGTTAGCGCAGGTCTTCTCTCGCCTGTATTTATCGCGTCGTACTTGTTAGGACATCTACTCCTTCACCTCCTCTATCTGCTTATCAGGTCTACTAGAGCGAGGAGCGTCCTAAACATGCTATAGGAGGATCTTAAGAGGGAGGACGTTTACCTTAAAACTAGCAGCAATAGCTCTACTGTAGATACAATTAACTATACAAGGATAGATACTAGTTAGCCTAGAGACTTATGACGTAGTCTTGCTAATAGCAGGTGACTTTAACGCTACGACTAAGGTGCGGGTATATAAATTAGTATAGGGAGCTATAGTAAGAAGATATCTAGTACGTAGACTAATTAACAGCTCAGCTCGAAGGTAGGAGTTACGCCAAGAAGAGTCGTGCCGAAGCGTTAAGATTAGCGTCAGACAAAACTTTTGAAAGGCACCTCCGTACCCTTGCCTACGACGCTGGTACTCGAATAGAAACCAAGTATGCTCAAGGGTTGAGTAAGCCCTAGGGCTCTCCGCCTGGGTGGTGGGGTGTTGAAGAAACTCTGATATCTGGGGTCTTGCTGCTCCGTGTAGATCAGCGCATTATTCAAGGGTCTCAGTCCCAGTTGTGATTGTAGTCGCACAAAATACCCCATTGCCAGGAACATTTAGAGCGGTATCGATAGAGAGGCTCAGGCCAAGCCTGTTTGACATTTATTGGAAAATTTCTCCAAACATATTACACGGTAGCAAGCGAAGGAGGTCGTTTTGCTTTCGTGTGTCAAGTAGCGGAGGCCGGATCTGACGGTACACAGAAAGGAAGGGGTTGGGGATGGAGTTCGTGCTAAGCGAGAAGCCAATGGGAGAAGGGCGGCACAACTGCCGGCCCGAGATTAGCGCGCTATGCCATCTCAGTTCCAGAAACTTCTGCCTCATGTTCCCCTCTACGTACATAATCCGCTTTGACAGCTTCTATTCTTCAAACACGACCTTTGAATTTGTGAGCTTTGCGTCCAGCTTCAGCTCCAGCAAGTACATTTTGTGTAAGTATTGCACTTGTTCCCCACCTACCTTTGAATGATGAGACACAAGCTGGCACCAGTCTGAGAAGACTTGTACTCTTTGCATGCGGATCAGCTGCTTAGACTTTTAAGTCGCCTTCTGACAATATCTCTTTCTACACATATGTTCGAGCATTGTAGAGGAACATGGCTGACAAGCTCATGACAGAATAACCAATTGAGACCGAGCGCACACCCCGCTCACCACTATCGCCATGGTCCTCCACAACCCGAACAACTGGCATTGGGTGAACAAAGATGTGTCAGGATGGACGCGCGAGTATCTTGACAAGGAGCTCACGCAAATATCTGCTGAGCAAGATGGCGTCACAGCGAAGATTGACAAGGTCGTGAGCATGGACGGAGATGTGGACGTCAGCCAGCGCAAGGGCAAGGTCATTACCATTTTTGATGTGAGGCTGAAGCTGGAATACTCAGGTATGTCTTCCTCTCGTTTGCACTCTTGGGCGAGCTGATTCGGTCGGCAGGCAAGAACAAAGAGGGCGAGGAGGCCAGCGGCACGATTACCGTCCCGGAAGTCGCTCACGACACGGAGGAAGACGAGTATGTCGTATGTTCCCTTCGCTCACACCCTTTGTCATTTTCTACATTATTCTCGGGGTGGTTTCTGACGATTTGTAGTTTGAGGTAGATGTCTACTCCGACGACAGCAGTAAACAGCCTGTCAAGGACCTAGTACGATCCAAGATCCTACCGCAATTGCGCACAAGCTTTGGAAAGCTAGCGCCAGCGGTCATGGCGGAACACGGAAAGGACATTCAGCACGCGCCAGGCACCAATCCTGGTAGCGGCTTCACTGCTCCCAAGGTGTACTCGAGCTCGAGCGTGAACAAGTCTACTGGCTCCAAGGCGGAAACGTCGGGCTCCCAGCAGAGCAGCTCTGGTGCGGTTGTCAACGTAACCACAATCACCGACAGCACAGAATTCCGCACAGACGCAGCCAATTTGTATCAGACCTTCACGGACCCTCAGCGCCTTGCCGCATTTACACGAGCACCACCGAAGAACTTTACCGGCGCAAAACCCGGAGGTACATTCGAGCTCTTTGGCGGAAACGTCAGCGGGGAGTTTACCGAGCTCCAGGAGCCTACGCACATCGTCCAGAAATGGCGACTGGCGCAATGGCCGGCGGGTCACTACTCGACACTATCAATATGGTTCGACCAGAATGATGTTGATGCCGTGACGGTCATGAGGGTTGAGTGGAAGGGTGTCCCAGTCGGTCAGGAGGAGCCTACAAAGACCAATTGGGATCAGTACTATGTTCGCAGCATCAAGACCACATTTGGATTTGGCACAGTGCTATAGCCGAATGTGAGCCTTGGTCGCACGGTACCCGGAATGGAGTAAGGGGCGTTGTGGGGGTTTACGAATGCACATGCAGTGATGGATACTGAACGATTCCAATGACAGCCTTCAGGCACACAATGAATAAATTATCAAATCCTGAAAGTCCAATTGCCTGCTTGCTTTGGTTAGTGACGGTACGATTTTTGCCAAGCCCGCTGCTTACCTTATGTGCTTACCTTATGTGCTTACTCTATGAGCACTACATGCGTCTATATAACGCTCGTATCATTAAGGATCAGGAACATTGATTATTGTATTGGCGGTTTTGCACCATGACAATGACCATATTGGAAGATCCAACTACAATTGTGTTGGCCGCGGCGTATCGTGTGTCTAACACCAAAAGAAAGAAACCACACTACACCTACAGATCTTTGCACGGCAGACAGCAGCAATCATGTCACAGCAGGGCATGAGCTATCCCGGTCCTCCATGCAATGGCAGGGCAATGCCGTGATACCTGCCCTATCATTACCACCTTCCCGATTAGCTATAGCTCAACTAGCAGCTATCGCTAGAACGGCCATTAAGCTTGCACAAGCCTCTACCAAGACTTCCGCCGTATGCTTAGAACAAGCAGTGTGGGGACAGTTTCTCTCGATTTCAATGCTCAGAATGACGTGCATGAAGTTGGCCATGCGCTGGAGTTGCCCCGAGGCTCGTCTAGTAAACTGGCCAAGGCATCGATCCACAGTAAAGGAAGTTCGCTCGACGCCAATAAGGTACCACACCGGCAGCCCGCTCCCAGAAAAACGGCTCTCTGGCTATACCATGACGTCGCTAGTCCGAGCAATGAATAACCGAAGGCCTGAGCCACCGTCCGAGTTACCGACCGAGAGGAGCGATTGCTTAGCCTACACAGGCAGGTCCAGCGCTGGCTATCGCATTCGTTGCTCTAATTCTGGTGACGTGCATAAGCTTCGAAAATGAATGGCGGTTTGTCAAAAGGGCAAGTGCTCTGCTCTCGATTTTTGCTCACCTCCTCACCTTTACTCAACTTCTTGGGTCGGGCAATTTTACAGCAATCTGCTCGTCCTAATTGCTGCACAAACCGTCAAGTCAGAGCAGAAGAGACGTTTGTATTGCTACTCACACAATGAAGAGCGCGATTAAGCTCGTCGCCGCGCCTTTGTTGGCAGCTGGGGCTCTTGCGCAGTTTGTACCCGCACCTACAGATCTGATCACCAAGGAAGGTTATGCAAACATTAGCGTACGCTACAAGGAGGTGCCTACTGGCATCTGTGAGCTAGACCCAAGCGTAAAGAGCTACTCGGGATACGCAGATGTTTCTGAAGACGAACATATCTTTTGGTGGTTCTTCGAGGCGCGCAACCAGGACCCGACGGATGCTCCGTTGACTGTACGTAAACCGCAAAGTTCAATTGACCTTTACTGACAGCGCACAGGTTTGGATCAATGGAGGACCTGGATCCAGTTCCATGATTGGACTTTTCCAAGAACTAGGACCGTGTGGTATTGGCCCCGACATGAAGCCTTTCAATAACCCCTACTCGTGGAGCAACGCAAGCAACATGCTTTTCATCGACCAACCTACAACCACGGGCTTCTCATATTCGATTCCAATTCCGGGTTATACAGACAGCAGTGGCAACATTATTCAACTGCCCAACGCGACTTGCCCTGATTATGCTCAGGCAGCAGGAACATGCGGCACATATTCGAAGCCAGACGTCACCTTGACCGCCAACAGCACGTTGGGTGCGGCTCCCAATTTCTGGAAGACTCTGCAGGGCTTCATGGGCGCTTTCCCACAATATTCGCGCAACGGCTTCAGCTTCACAACAGAGAGCTACGGAGGACATTACGGTCCCGTATTCAACGCCTACTTTCTCGAACAGAATGCGAAGAACATTTCGGGTGCGCATAAAATCGACCTCGAGAACGTGCTCATCGGTAACGGCTGGTTTGACCCGCTTGTTCAATACCAGGCCTACTACAACTTTTCTGTTTACCCCGGAAACACGTATGATTACGACCCGTACAACGACACAGTGAAGGCTGAGTGGTATAATAACCTCTATGGACCTGGAAACTGCGTGGACCGCACCAAGCAGTGCTATGAAACCGGCAACAATGCTGTTTGCTCCAGTGCCGACAACTTCTGTTACAGCAAAGTAGAGAACCTGTACGATATCTACAGCGGACGTGATGAGTACGATATGCGGGAATTGACGCCCGATCCATTTCCCTACTCGTACTTTGAGACGTATCTCAACACGCCCGAGGTCCAGAAAGCCATTGGCGCATACCAGAACTTTTCTACAAGCAGTGGCACGGTCAGTACAGCATTTGGTAGTACTGGCGACGACGACCGTGAATCGGGTACAATTGAGGCTGTCCAGAAATTGGTCGCTGCGGGCGTGCAGGTCATCCTCTATTATGGCGACGCGTAAGTTTGTATGGCTTCTCTGGGAGAAAATCGCTAACACGATCAGTGATTACAACTGCAACTGGCTAGGTGGACAAGTCGTCGCAGAGCTCATCGATGCGCCCGGCTTTTCCAAGGCGGGCTTCACAAACATCACCACTAGCGACAACATTGTACACGGCCAAGTCAAGCAGGCCGGTCATTTCTCCTTCATTCGCATCTACGAGTCGGGTCACGAAGTACCCTTTTACCAGCCGCTCGCATCTCTCGAAATGTTTGAGCGCGCGCTAAAGAAGGTCGATATTGCCACGGGCGCGGAGAAGTGCGGACAGGATTACTTGACGGTAGGTACTCCAACCAGTACCTACCGGGAGGGTAATGCCACGATGCAGTTTGAGATGACACCGGCGAATGCGACGTACAACACGGCATTGAACGGGCCTGACCCAACACCCACGTGGCCTGCTGGTGAGCTAAAGAAGCGCGAGGCGCGGAGGATTGCAAGGCCGAAGATGTGGAAGGGTGGAAAGCGAGTTTGGTGAAGATTGAAGGATAGCTCTAGCGTAGTAGCTCGAATGAAATGCTGAGTCAAAAAAAGCACTTGGTGAAAATAGTCGCACGGCTAGTGCAGCGAGCTTTGTGTACATGCAGCTTCACATGCAAACGTCATCAGGGTCTCGATGTAAACGGACCGGTCTGCTGTCAATGGAGTGACATGTTGGGGTCAGTTTTTTCCCGATGCGGATATGGGAGAATGTGCAGTCATTGGACCAGCGGATTGTGTAGTTGTGCAGCCGTGTTCCTAGCGGGCAGCGAGTGGGCGGGAAGGCGGCCGTTGCAGGAGCGTTCCAAAGAGCACAGTGGGGACGGACTGGTGCGGGAGGAAGCCCCTGCTAGCGGCCAAGGCATGAATCTTTGGTGTTGGGAGAGTCCCAGCGCAGACGCCTCAGCAGTCGCGGGAAGCCTCCAAGAAACAGCATAGCACCGTTTTCCCACCTGCAGCCTGGACGAGACTGTCGCATCCGTCCGCTTCGGCACCTATTTTCCCTGTTCGCGCCCTGCACATCGCCGGCGCGCAATTGCATGCCCGCGCCGCCAAAGGCCCGTACGACAGTCGGAATCCCCATCACCAACTTTTGCTTTCGCCGCTTGATAAGGCCCGTCATATACCTTCCTCTCCGCCCAGCTATGGTGTACTTTGGTACATGGCCTCGCTGAGAGGCACCGTAGTCGCCCGACGCAGCCCCAGCTCGTCCCCCCACTGTCACTCCCTGCCGCCGCGTCAAAGTAACACGAAACACCGTCATGGCGCCCTCAGGTTCGAGCATCTTCTCCAAGCTGAGGCCCGGCCATGCGAGGCGCAATGCTTCGACGCTGGCCTCCCCAGAGCCTGTCCCAGGCCCCGCGGCCTATCCTTTGCCTTCGCCCGCATCGCATAACACCGATTACTTCCTTTCACCGCGCCTCAACGACAATGCCAGCCACGCCTCTGCCTCGCCCATATCGCCCTTTCCGCCTCAACTCCCGCCAATTACGCGCGTCGCCTCGAAGCTTGAAACGTCTGCCTCGCCTAATCGTTCCCCATACACGGCTAGCCAGCATTCGCCCAGCACCGGTGGGGGAAGTAGTGGCAGCAAACCTCAGCATCACGGTATGCTTTCTCCACCCCAGCGAGCTCAGGACCCCTTGTCGCCAACCCAAGAGCACAAGCTGCTCTCTGTACCGTCCTTCTCGGGAGCCATGCCTGCACCAGGTCAGGCCATGTCACAGTCCGAGACCCCGTCGCATTCTGTCATATCCCCCAGCTATTCTACTTTTTCAAAGTCACAGACATCGCTACTGAGTGGAATCAGCGACAAGCTCACGGGCAACTCGCGAACATCCACACCTACAGGAATGCCTACCAAGTCAAAATCCAGAATGAGCCTGCGCAATCCCATGACGCTCCTCATGCGACGGCGATCCGGCCAAACACTAGATCCACTCGCAGACGAGTCGCTCGTTACCCAACGCTCGCCCTCGAACGTCCCGCCCATGCCTGATGACTACGACCCCAGGATTCGTGGAAAGATTGTTCACGACTTCAATGCGCCTAGGCTCAACAGGGCATATTCCAGCAATGCAACCGAAGGAGGCGAGGTGCAGCAGGAAATCAATCGCGCCAGCCCACCAAAGATGGACAAGGAGCATACACCAGTCTTCCACGAACACTTTGACGACGACACCAGCTATGAGCAGTCGCAAGCCGCTATACGAGCCGAACAGTTGGTCAACAAGGATTTCCTCGCCCGGAACTCTGCCCAGCTTGCACCACCTAGACGATCCCCCCCTCCCCCACCACAGCCCAAGAACTCGCCGCCGCCGCCGCCCCCTCAGACAGCACCTCCTCCTCCTCCTCCTCCTCAATCATCGCCGCCGCCCCGGCAGTCGATGCATACCTTTGACAACGGGCCATCCATTCTTTCGCCAGTACAAGAGTCAGAGTCGCCGATTGATGTCTCTACTGATGTCACACCACGAAAGAAAAAGTCTACAAAAACACCGCCGCCCCCCGCACGATCAAGAGCAACATCAGTCACAGATCCCTCGTTTCAACCGGCTGGTCTACCCGCTCACTTCAGCAGTCGAGCCTCCAGATTCAGTTTCCAGACCTCAGGCGGCACCGACTCTGCGCAAGAGAAGCTCCTCGAGGAACGACACAAAGCGAAAGAGGCGGAGAAGAAGCAGGCGCGGATATCCTCCCATTCTGTCGAAGACGAGTACGATGACTATGGCATGGATGACTACGACATGGACGGTGGGTATGATGAGGAGATACCCATGTTGGGTGAGGAAGATGAGTTTGGCGGAGGACTAGGAGACCAAACGCTGGATTCTGGCATAAACGCTTTCGATTTCTCCTCTTTGTCCATACAGTCAGGCATGAATAATCTGCTGAGTCCATTAAACCCACTTGGACAGATGCCGACGCCCGTCGACATGCATGGGAACCGTATTGGATACGCCATGTCGGAGCAGATGATTCAGCAGTTGCAAATGTCACCCATGCCCGTCCAATTTGATGGACAAAGCGCAGCAAATATGCAGACACATGGTCTAGGTTTGGCAGGCGTAGATGAACGTAGCAACTCTTCTCCAACCAAAGCGACTGATGCGCCAGCGAATACCATGGCTCCCAACAACCAGCGAAGCCTCAGTAACATCGATCTCGACGACGACATGTACTTTGATGACGGTCTTATTGGCGATCAAGATGAGATCGACGCTGCTGAATTCGATGAAAGCGTGTTCGACGATCCGAACGGGCCGCTATACGAGCGCAAAGTTAAGTTTGCTGAAGGCGAATCAGCGCCTGCTGTTCAAGCACGTCCTTACGATCTCGTAAACTCAGAGACTGGATATGATGCGGATGACGACACAGTTTCCAAGGGTGTGGACAAGTCACATCCTTCACTTGCGCACAAGACGTCTGTTGCGCAACAGAATTCAGTGCCCAGTTTCGACAACTTAGCCGCATACCATAGTGCTTTGGCGGACGCAGCGACTCGTGCTCAAGCCGAGGGCCGTTTTTCTAGAAAAGCAAGCGTTGATGCGGGCCATGTTAGCTCTGATGCGGACGAGTTACCCTCGCTAAGCAACTCGCGACCCAGCCTGGTCCCTGACGACGGCCGCTTTAGTGTCGACACAATCAGCTTCCCAATGGACAATGATGTATACGGTATGGACTCTAGCTTTGTAGACGACTACGAGTACAGCGACTTTGACTCTGCCTTGGAAGATGATCCAATCATCGCTGCTGCAAACGCCGAAGCACTGGCCTATGACGACGAAGGCTTTTACGGGCAAGAATTTGGTTTTTATGCTTCCGCAGCTGGCGAGTCACCCAGCGCTTGGGGTGGCGTCTTCGGCCCATCAGGAATTGGCCGAACCGTCAGTGGGCGCAACGCCGTGCGTGAACCCAACTTGACGCCTATTACAGAACGCAGTGAATACAGCACGCGCAATTCATTCATCAGCCTCAACCAGTTCCGCGACGGGCAACAGCCTATTACTAGCCCCGGTTTGGCACATCTCGCTCGTCTCAGTCCGTATGGTTTCCCCGGGACGGATGAAGAAGAGCTGAGCCTTGACGCACTTTTGAGGTTACGCAAGGGGGCTTTTGGTGGCAGTGCCAACAGCTTACCCGGTAGCGTGTCTAACAGTCCGCGCACTTCGTCGCCTATGGGCATGCAATTCCTTCCTCGGACCTCAAGTCCTGTTGGCAATCGCATGAGAGAACATCCGTCCAGCTCACAAGAAGGCGAAGAAGACCAAGGAGAAGACGACGATGGTCTGACGGACGCTGTTAATGGCGCGTACGAATCTGACCGCTCGAGCGAACAAGATTCAGAGGGCGAGGACCGTCCAGAGAGTCCTACACTGACAAGCAGTGACTACAACAGCATGTCCAGTCCAATGAACTACACCGTCGGCAATGAAGCGCCACTTCTACCCCCAATCTCCGAGTTGTACGCCCAGCACAACCTCAGTCTCGCCATGTCGCCGACTGGAATGCCCATCTCCTCACCCTCGACCGTTTCTCTCCCCATCTCGCCATTCCCAATGCCTCTCCCGTCGCCCTACCTCGCACAACATCACAACCGGCCACCGAACCCGCCTTCCATCGATACCTCGCTCTCATCGCCTTCCGCACCCACCGTATCCACGTCAGCAGGCGGACCGCGCCGGCCCTCGATGGGACTCTCCCCAATATCAAACTCCAGCCCCATCACCCCCAACGGCAGCGGCGGGGGCTGGAACCGTGGACACAGTCGCAAGGGCAGTGCGGCGGATAGCGTGACATATGTACGCGAACACGACGAAGCCGGCGAAGGAAGATGGGTGCTCGAACGCAGACGCACTGCTGAGAGTGGGGAGCTAGAATTGATCGGCAGGCAGATTGTTGAGGGTGGTAGGATATAATACTGTTGGTGTATTATTGTGGCGCAGCGAGTGGAACTTGCGAAAAGAGCGAGTTGGACATGTTGAATCTTGCATGCATTGCGCGGCGTTTTTTTCGTTTCGTTCCTTTTGAGTTTAGCATGGCCATGGTGCCTAGGATTGCGGGCTTGTCTTTTGGATAGGCATGGGTTGGTATATACACATGGGCGCGCGAGATCGGCATCTGGATATGCTTTGTGCGGGATGGAAAATAAGAAAGAGGCTGGTTCTCTTGCTTCTTTTTTTTTGGTACGACGTTTGTAATGATGGTCATGGAAAGGTATGGGAAGGGAATGGGATTACTTGATACCTCTGTTTGGATGGATGCATGGCAGGAGTGGCCATAATATAGCTATTAGCATACAAAATAATCAATTATCAAAAGCCTAACCGCGCGTTTCACTTGCTGCATGTCCTTTGACTATGACGGGTGTTGAATATCAAGATGTCCGCGCGGCTTTCGACCTTCTCCTATGCCCATGTTATTCTGCCTCACCTCTGCGTTTGCACGCGCATCCGTTGCTAGGCCCACCACGCACGCATTCGCTTTCACTCACCTCCACACCAGCAAAAAGTCCCTCACCTCACGCCTAATATAAACAACGTCTATATATCGCAGTTAACTCAATAATCTCCCATCAGAAATAGTCAAGTCAAGTCTTCCCATTAAACACTGGATGCGTGTTAGGGGTGGATCCTATCAATACCGTTGTGAAAAGAAATCTTGGCGCAAGTTCGACCCTTGTAGCTGGCTGTTTCCTTTTCTTTGCTGATTTTTTTTGTTGGGGGTTCGGGGGTTTTCTTTTGGTAGGTTATTTGGTGGTTCTACGGAGGCCCTTAGTATTGTACGGTCTAGAGTTTGTGCTAATAGAGTATACAATAACTACTGAATAAGTAGTAATATATACAAGTAGTGACGATGGCTTCGATCTATTACGCATGTGCGTACGTGTCTTTGTAATAAGTAGGAATTAGAAACTCTAGGGGAAACGTACGATTCACATCAGCTAGACAACTACCGACGTACCCCACCAAACGGCTTATGCTGTCCTTATCCTCATGTAGTCTTCCGGCACACATAAATTACCAGGGGAAACGTAGGGGTCACACCAGCTAGACAACTACCGACCTACCCTGCCAACCAACGTATACTATGTCAATCCTCATGGTGTAGCCATACAGGCGTACACGGATTACGAGAAGGACGTGTGTTCCATACGAGCGAGGTAACTACCGCCCCGAATTAGACACCAATGGTGTACGGTTATATAACACTAGGGCAAATACCGGCGTATACTATATGTATAAAGATGCCTGGAAAGTCACGACTTAGAGTGATTTGAGACATCGGAATACGAGCTGTTTACTAGCTAGGCAGATACAAACCGACATATGATATTGTCTATATAGATTGGTTACGTACTAGCTGGGCAAATACTAGCGTACGTATATCGCCAGCTAATTAACAATTCTGCTGGTAGGGCAAATACTAAGGTGAGTTTGACACTATCAAAGGACCATAGCTATATACTAGCAGGATAAATACCAACGTACGTACATACATCATCAAATGATAGACAGTTCTGCGAGCGGGGTAACTACCGAATTCAGCACAACACTAGTAGGGTACAACGTTTGTACGCTAGGGAGGCAAATATCGACCTATATATATCACCAAACCACCGATAGCTCCACTAGCGAGGCTACTACCACCACTCTAGACTAACAGATCAGATCGATTATATACTAGCGAGACAACTACAGCCAGTGTACACCAGCAATTTTCCTTCTTTAACAGAACCCAATGGAGGGAGTCTATCAATGAAAAAAAGGTTCCTACCGCACGGAGCATGTCTCGCGGAGGATATACTGCAGCGTTTGATAGGCTAGTAAAGGATCCCGGTTGCTTCCAATCCAACACCAGCAGCGTTTACGTTCAGAAACCTCTTTCGAGGTTTCAGTGGCTTATTCACTGCACCTAGAGTAAGGCAAACCCTCCGGAGAGGTCTCATGCCATGTCTAAGTGCTGATAGGCTCTGGATTACTCCTGTACCTTGCCAATAGCATTAGATGATGTCGAACCATTCCTATGTATGTTAGCGAAACGCCCCGAAAGTGTTTCATACGAGGGTCTAGTTGGTGGTGGGGTTCCTCTGTACTACTAATTCTGTGTGCTATCTACAGCAACTTACCTGTTCTATACATCTAGACTATAGTAATCATATTAAGTTGATTTGATATGGAAGTCCTAGGCGGCTACATCGCCTTCGAATGTGTTCGTCGCACTACTCTTGAGGAAGCCAGGCGACGACGAGGTTGAAGTTGCTTATGTATCCTCTCGTACACGGCTCTGCTAGACGCAGTCATTACGCTACTATTTAGATATTCTCGGAGAGAATTGTAAACAATATGACATGCAAAATCCTTCCCAAGTCGCAACTAAATGCTATGCATTCTTAAGAAAAAGCTACGATAGTAACGCCAAACATTGAAGCAGTGGTACGGCGGTATTTTTCCCGCTGCCATAACATTCGTATACGTCGAATGCCAAGTATAGGCCTGTATGACCTTAAGGTCCTCGGGGCTCACCAGGTATACAGGAACACAGTAACATGGCGGATACCATGGTCAAAACACATAGCAATATACCCAGGAATCATACGAAACGCAGTTGGATAGCTCACCCATGCTATCTTACAGTGCCATCAGCATCGACGTATTCACACTACGCGCAAGTTTTCTCGATCGGGCGGGATAGTTGAACCAAGGCTTTATTCGAGACATGATGGTACAGCGAGTGCGCGTAAAGGGCTTAGATAGGTAAGGTTATATTGATATGGGTTATAGTCTAGGAATCGTTGCGCATGCGGGTGGGGAGAACGACAAGTAGTTTGGGGGTTTGCTTGCTACCGGCGGGCGTGTCATTCGAAGTCAAGGTAAACAGCAATCCAGGACCACGAGACACCCTCTGGTGTCACTCTTACCAAAACGCACAACTTAATGTCGCAACCACAAGTTTTACAGCTCGCGCGCAAAATAGCACGACGTATCGTACTGTGATCTGAGAAAACATGTGAAGTACTCCTGGATGCCACATGACATAGCTCATCTTCTGCACAATGACTCGGGGTATGAGCCGAGCTAGGACAAACCACTGAGTCTATACTGGCGGCGTTCAGCCACGAATTCCTAACATGGCGATGTATTGAAGTCTGCGACAGGTCATCCCAGCCTACAGTCGGCTGCCGTACCATGTCGATGGCGGATGAGCGAGCGTCAGCGAGCTCGCCGCCATAGCTCGCCGCGCAGCGGCGCCGCTAGAAGATTAGCATGGCCCCTGCACTAAGGATGACACGCTCAATCAAAGAGAAGCTACCATTTTTTTTGCCTTTGGCCTTGATCTTGCGACTGGATGGCGCAAGGAAATCAAGGCCTAGAGTGGCTTACTGCATAGTATCTATGACTTGTGTGTTGAGTTGCTGAAAGAATGTGGTGGATAAAAGTTTCCGAGGTTGATGTTCCTGGTCCGGGCCGAGCTAGCGGGCTGGCAATCCTTTGCTGGCAAAAAAAGACGCAAGAACACATAGATGAGTTATGGCACAGATTCGAACTCGCGCAAAACAGCAACTTTCCAAGGAGCAAGTATCAAGGTCAAATGCAAAAAAAAAATGGTAGCTTCTCTTTGATTGAGCGTGTCATCCTTAGTGCAGGGGCCATGCTAATCTTCTCTGTATCGTTTCAATTGACCAATTGCCCGAAGGCGAAGAATGATACAATTAAGTAATTTATATAGTCGATGTCAAAATAACAGCTCTAAACCAGAAATCAAGCAGGCAACTGCATGTCGATTAGAGGGCAAACCGTGGGTGAGATTATATGCCGATCCCAGTTTTTCTTAGCTCACCCGATCCGCTTTGCCCCCCTGCGCATGACTCATGGGTAACAGCTAGCGATCTCTTCCATACTTCTTGTCTCTCGTCTATCCCAACTCTTGTTGCTGTTGCTGTCGTTCTGAAAAGACATGTTTTTTTTATCGAAATGAATAAAACAAATGTATATTGGCAGACACCAACGCTGTTAATCCGCGAGCAAAGCTCGCGTTAACAGCGTCGGATGCGCCAATGGTGAGCCTGGTCATGGATCTGGAGATGCTGAACCACATTTTGGCAGAGGTACCCCGACGGCCGCAATATCGACGATTCGTACAGTTCAGAATAGCCAAATCGAAGCAATAGGTCGTATAGAAGGTACACATGCTTATTAGGGTAGGGCAAGTCTCCATGGTAAATCGTACATCGGAAGATAATCCTATACATGTTGTCAGCAAAGTTCATGACGGCAGCCTTTCTACCCCTACCTACTACGCAAACTGTATTCCACAATGCATGGGGTCTCTAGCGCATGGTGTGTTTGGAGAGCGAATTCGACTTTAGATGACGGTAAGCGTATACTATGCTCTTGGGTTGCGCGTGTTTCGGCGAAAGAGGGCGTAGTTCAATCGTCCTTCCTCTCCCACAACGAACTGGATATCTGGGCAGGAACAACCTGTAGGATCAGCACTTGGTTCCTTCTATTTACTTGTGTCGCCCAAGTCATACCTACCTGAGGGCTGGAAGTATGCCCAAGTGAGGCTATGGAAATGCGCTCGTAGTCAACCGTGCCTTTCGTGATGGGGTCATGACATGTATCTTATGAAGTCTGGGGCATGCGCATGAAGAATTCTTGGGCAAAAGTAAATAGGTGAGGTGAAGATTGTTGGGATTCAGGTATCAGAGTAAACTTATTTTTGTTCAAGTCGTCTGCGCTCCTGCCTTGTTCATGATCCTCCTGTGCTCCTGCCGTTGTTTGTCTTCATTCGCCAACCCATACACCGCTGCATGGTTAACTACTACTCAAAGTTAGGCAAATGAACAGTTCTGGTCGGCTGTTACATTCCATCACGGCAGCATTCACAAAGACCGACAGAATCATTGCGACATCTAAGAGTAGGACTGGGTATCATTGCTACATCTACTCGTCCAACAAGTCCATCACCAACTGTGGAATGACTTGCACACCTTCTCCTTGTATCGCACTAATCGGCACAGCTTGCACATTCTGCTTCCATGCATGCTTACGGTTACTTGGATGCGCCTGCGTGCCCTTGCTCACTTCACCCAGATACTGAAGAAGAGCTTCAAAGTTGGCCTGCGTGTCCGGCAAGTCTGCCTTTGTCGCAACCACAAACCATGGCTTTGAAGAGATTGGTGTTGTGGTAAGAAAAGGGAGAGGTTTAGGGGATGGGTCCAGATGCGGCGAGTCGAGGACATCAGACGGGTCACTGGGTGGTGGGCTGCGGCCAGGAGGCCTGTAAGTCACCATTCTGCGCTCCGTCTCCGCGTTGAGCTCTTTTCCGCGCAACGTCTCGTATTCGGATACTTCGCGCCAAAGAAGTTTAAGCGCAGCTACAGCATCGCCAGCAGACAAGTCAATGACGAAGGCGAGTACTGCAGCGCGCTCAATGTGTCGCAAGAAGCCCAGCCCGAGTCCCTTGTCCAGATGCGCATCTTCAATCAGCCCTGGCACATCGGCAACGGTAAAGTTCTCTCGCAGCTCCCCATTCGGTCTACGTGACGTGACGAGTGGTCGACCCTTGTGGTTATCCAGGACAACAGTGCCAACGTTCGGCTGCAGCGTCGTAAAGGCCCAGTTACCCACTCGTGCCCGGCTATTGCTCAACGCGCGAAGAAGCGTGCTCTTTCCAGCATTGGGGAGACCAACAAGACCCAGATCTGCCAGAATCTTCAATTCCAGCTGCAAGGATATCTTCAAGCCTTCATCTCCCCTCGTAGCTATCTTGGGCCTTGAGTTGTATGGTGTCATAAAGTGTGGGTTGCCCAAGCCGCCCATGGCTCCTGCCGCTATCAGCATGGGCGTCTCCATGTGTTTGTCCAAGTCTAGCCACATGGGCGCTTCGGGTTCGAGGGCTGCGAGATGCGATCTCCGTGGTGGAGGGAGCTTGGGGAATTTCATCCTGCTTAACTCCGAAGGTATAGTTCCAGGGTAGACCAGCCATCGGTCTTTCCTATAGCTGGGTGTCCCCTCCTCCAATTCCTCTTCTCCTACCTCTTGCTCCATCTTCCAATGTTCCTTCTCCATTATCGCAATCGGGTCATGTCTTTGTAGTTCGCGCACAATTGTACCTACTGGTACTGTGATCAAAACGTCAGTCCCTCGCTCGCCACCTTTGACTTTTCCCTGCCCATTGCGCCCTCTACCGGCCTTGATCTGGCGTCTTCGAGCAAGCTTATGCAGCGACGTCTCGCCCCGGATTGCTTGTATATATACATTCCCTCCACTGCCACCATCTCCACCATTCGCGGGCCCCTCTTCAATGTACTTTTCGCGCAAAAATGACACACACCCGTGACCACCTGCACCGGCCTCAACCGTGAGGATGCATCGGTCAGCAAAGGGCGTGAGGGAGTAATCGTCTGGTTCAGGGTCAAGTCGTGATGCTTGCGCATTCGGAGGAGCTTCCGACTGCTCAGCGGTTGTGGAGGCGCATCTAAATGGCGGCGGAAATCGATTGTGAAGCGGGCATCTCCGCGCAACCGCGACGAGCGGTCTTGGAAGAAATGCGGGATACAAAAACGGCGTCAGCGTACCGCTTAAGCAGTATGACCGGGCGAAAGACATGCGTCAGTTACAGGGCGGCGTGAATGGCGAACGTTGTCTACTGTGCCATGCCATGGATTTCTGACGTACACAATCGCGTCGCGAAACTAGCGAGTGGCGGACCCAAGCCCCATGATGATCTACAGCACTTGCATACCACTACTCTTCGTGCCTCGGTATCCAGCAGAGTTACATTATTTCTTGCCAGACCTTCGTTGAATGATAATCTTATTTGCAGTGGCTCCCACCTCTCGAATAATTTATACAGAGAATCATCTACATATGATACGACGCCCAATACAGCCCCATCATTAATACGCCTCTCGCCCCATCCTGCCCCATCATGATTCGATGTGCCCTGCTCACTCTGACCTCGGTCATACTCCGAGTAGCTAAGCCCGAGTTCCTGAGGCTGGGCGGTAAGCTCGATCTTTCCAACAGTCAGCTTACAACCATCTACTGGTACCTCAAGTGGGCCTTGCCTTTGTGGGCTATAGTGGACCTCAACTCGGGATTGAATCGCTGGGCTGAGAGGCGATGGATTTGGAAGACCGATAAAAGTGGTTGGGACTGGAAGCGCGAGGTCGCTGTGGTCACTGGCGGCTCGGCTGGTATAGGTGCATGCGTGGTCAAGAAACTTGCTTCCCATGGCATCAAGGTCGCAGTTCTAGACGTCAGTCCTCTGTCAGATGTCTTCAACAAAGGTACGTCCGCGGCACAGAAATATTGGGTCGCAGACTTATGGGGGCGCAGATGATCTAGCTCTTGTAAGATTTTACAAGTGCGACATAACATCGCGGGACAATATCCATCAGGCAGCAGAAGCTATACGCTCAGATCTAGGCCCGCCGTCAATACTGATCAACAACGCTGGCATCGGGAATGCTTGGACCATTCTCGAAATTCCCCAGGATAATCTGAAGAAAATGCTCGACATTAATCTCACAAGTCACTGGAGCACCGTTCAAGAATTTCTGCCAGAGATGCTCGCGAAAAAGAAGGGTCACATCATGAGTGTCGCAAGTCTTGCTTCCTTTGTCGCTCTCGCAAACGCTGGCGACTACAGCTGCACTAAAGCGGCGCTTCTGGCCTTTCATGACGGGCTTACACAAGAGCTGAAGCATCGATACCAGTGTCCTCAAATCTAGACCTCCATCGTACACCCCAACTGGACCAAATCGGACATAACATCGCACTCGGCGATCGAGGTCGGACTGAAAAGCGTAGGGGCGAAAATGCTGGAACCAGGAGACGTCGCGCAGGCCATGGTAGACCAAATAATTGCAGTAAAGAGCGGCCAGTTGATTCTTGGTCCAGCGCTGGCTCCCAAATTGCGTGCATTGCCTCTTTGGCTGCAAGAAATCGTTCGCGATAGTCAAGCCAACATCGTCAGTGGGAGTGGTTCAACGGCGGGAGGCTAGGTGCATGAACTATTCCTTCTCATCAATGATGGCAGGGAAGAGCCGCAGTGGACGACGCGGTACGGAGCGGATCTACTGATCCTTGGGGCCAGTAGGGTATAGGTCATATCCCGAGCAGAGGCCCAGCGCCACATTTGGCGAGGCCGGTTGTATGCAAGGCCGACGAGCAACATAGACGCTGGATAGATAGCAGCGGCTTCAGAAGGCTGCGCCACGTTCATTTCCAAGTTGGCCATTGGTGGCGCTTCGTGTGCGACTCCAGCAACGACAAATAGGTACGTTACAAAAATGTCATGTTTCACTCCGCGACATTACGGATTAAGGGACGAATCCCGAATATGCGAAAGATCCAACGCCACAGCCGAGCCTTGAGCTAATGATAGCTCACGTCTTGGGTATTCTTGGTGTTGTATGCAGGCGGTTGCGGACTCAGCCCCACGTTCCTTTACTAGGGCCATGTCAATGTACCTCACGCCAACCCCAACCCGGCCCGGACAAAGTGCATCCATGCGAAGCATTTTGGTCTTTGCGCAAGAGGCGCGGGAATCACTACGTATATACTGTCGCCTTATTTTTTGTTTCATACTTCCAGGGGATTTGTATTATGTGTTCAATTTGCTGTTGTATTGCTCGTTATCCAAGTCATTCGGTTCGAACCTTGTGGGCATGCAATGGGCTGGCTAACGGAAGTCCTGACTGCTTGTTGCACTGCATGGTCGATAGTTGAAAGTAATGTGGTGGCTGATGTACAAGGTGGGTGGATGAACATTTTATCTTTGTAACTACTTACACTCGTTGCATAGATGCAAGACTCTCTAATACTCACTTCACAAACGGGAAACGTTCTATAATACCACGGCATGGTTTGTCTTTTCTTAATGTTACGATATCTCCAACAAAGCTTGGGATTATTTCACAGACGCCTGCCACGTCCACTGTGCTTCCCTCGACGGCAGAGTCAGTTGCAACATCACAACCGAAGAGCGATGCATCAGTATCTATCGATCGACATCTTTCAAGCTCATCTTCTAATTCTGGATCTACATCATTGAACTCAGCGCTCGCATCGGAAACGTCGGCCAGTATAGCTGACAATGCGCCTTCAATGTCACATCCCATGAGCCATCCAGGGACCGCATCACATACCATCACGGAAACGCAAAAGATATCCACGGCAACCTCAACTTCTGTCCCGATAACAGTACAAGGGTCTGTTTTCACGTCGATATCTTTGGGTTCATCTGAGGTACCCTCTTCTGGGCGCGCATCATCAGCAGTTCAAGAAACATCATCTGCTTCAGGAACTAAGTTTAGCGCGACCATCTCGAGAACACAAATATCCTCAAATCATGCAGAGTCGTCGCGATTATCAAATGTTCAGCCATTAACAACGGCCTTCAGTGCCGAAATACCCGCATTGAGCACTGTTGCCACCACCTCATCGTCGACTACGAGCTTCGATGGGCCACTGGACGACACCCGAAGCGCCATTCCAGTGCATACGATATATACGATTGAGACACAACCGACTATCCTTGCACTTCCAAATCCGGGATCACCATCCTCGGGTGTTCTGATGTCATGGAATCCACACGCTTCATCGACCGACACAGACATGGAAACATCGAGCGTGATCATGCATCCTATGGTGACTTCTCTGACTGCCTCGTTGGGACCAGTCATTCATTTAGACTGGTCCATTAGCCCACCTAGCTACACACCCCAGAGTTCGATATTCAACTCAGTCAGCACCGCGAGCCCCACTTCCACTCCAGATGGTGCAACTCTGTCCGTCAACATGTCACTGTCACAGGTTTCCAGCACCCCTACAGTCACACAACTACTATCGCATTCGTTCTTGAGCCTACCCGGCTATTTGAGCTTGACCCCTACCGTAGCGGTTGTTGTTGACAGCAGTGACGCGTCCCCGCTCATCAATACAACCGTCTCAGTGGATACTGTGACACCCATCAGTATCACAGTCCCATCGAAACAAGCACACAATGAAGGGAACTCGTTGGACCTACCATTATGGCCCCATTCGATGCTGAATAGCATTGCGACAGTCGATCGCTCGCCCACACTCGCCCTCGAGACCCATACTGGCTCGCTGACGCCTGCTCCTTCCGTCGTCGCCAGCTTTCAGACAGCCACTCCGTCTTATCCGACTTCTTCAATAACAAACAATACTCTAGCTCCACTGGGTTCCTCTTCGAACGACGGCTTTTCATCTACGATAACTTCGTCAATCCTGTCGTCTGTTCCGTTTTCCGTGAGCTCAACGACCAGTGGCAATGATCAAGTCTCGGAGTCGACCGCCCCCAGTTACTTCGCGGCTCCAACCAAGACAGCGATATTTGCCGTCATCTCCACTTTCACTAACGCTACAGCTATCCCCAGCTCAAGTAGTGATCTTTGGCCGCGACCCATCACCTCGACTGTTACCATGGTCCCAGGAAACGATACTGCATCGTTCTCGAGAAGTCATGCCACGCCTATTCTGGGAACAAACAGCCAAGAAAATATGCCAGCGAGTACATCATATCGAAGCGCGACCGAGACAAATTCACCGCTCTCGTATGGGCTCACTTTGTCAATGCGAAATACTCCTAGTTTTACTATCAGTCAAAACTTGAGTACTTCAGTCACCATTCAACCCACAAGCGTCTCGGAGGGGTCATATCAATCGAGTGCTGTCTTCACTAGGCTATCAACAAATGGCTCGTATACTCCCACGACAGTCTCCATCTTTGTTCCACCTTTCCCCGCGATTTCGACTTCCAGCAAATTTGGCATCAGTAGCTTTATCACAAAAGCTTCCGGATCATCAACTCTTCCCACTTTCACTGCCAAATCTACCACCCTAGCGACTCGCACGTCACTCAGCACTTTCGAGATACGTACAAAGACACAAAGTTCTGGATCGAGTACACGTACTGGCCTGATACCACAGGATATTGCCGTCACCGCCACTGAGACCGCATTCGCAGCTGCTGCACCTCCACTAAACACATCGCAGACCGCAGGGGTTGCCCTGGGAAGTACCGCTGGAGTTCTCCTGGCTATCGTTGCCGCACTCTTTGTTGCTCGCCGCTATCATGCTACGCATGCAGTAAAACGAGCCTCCAAGTACAATCCAGTGATGAGTACAAAGGGAGGTCCAGGCAGCAGTCCAAACATGATGGCCCGACTGGTCCCTTTTGCATCAAGGCGTAAGAGTGGGCGATCTTCGAGAGTATATCTTGAAGAAGCGTATCTGTACGATCCCTCTCTTGGTGGAAATAGTGGCAGAAACAGTGGAGATGATGAGGCTTGCATGTCTGGTGGTACAGGCGGACTGCTATCCCATGGAATCAGGCCTCCGCCTCCTGCACCACACACTTCTTTCGAAGACGATCACCGCCCTAGCGTTTATGACTACCTTCACAGTGGCCCTGGAACCCCACTAAGAAGCCCTGGCAACCCTTCCCTGAACTGGAGAAGTAGTGATGCCATTGGGAAACCACGCGACCATGCTTCCGCGCTCTATGCTGCAATCGCGGATTATGGTGCTGGTCCTCAGAGACCCTTACCTCCTGTACCAAAGACCTCGTCAACGCGCGCCATCCGCGATCATGTGATTCCGTCTCCGACACTGAGTCCACTCATCAACAACGAGTGCGAATTACGTCGCAGCCATGCTAGATCGTCAAGCCGAAGCAGTGTCAGGAGCCAAAGGTCTTTGAGGAGTTTCCATGCATGTACTTCTCCGAATCCTGCATCGAAAGACTATCCGCCGCTTTCGCCATATGGACGCATTTCAGGACAAGGTTTGGGATCTATAATAGAGGCTAGCTCCCGCGAGCCGTTCATGTATCCGGGAGAGCCTGATCTCCCCTTGCGAGTTCTAAGGTCGGAAACACCAGACTCAGTGACGTTCTATGCGCCTATCCCAGTCCAAAAACCACGAAAGAGACCGGTACTGACCACGCTGTTCTCCCAAACGTCTTGTACCGTATCTCCGTTGTTTAGTCCCACACACGCAAAGTCACCACCAGCGGCCAAACCGCGGTCTACCGGCAGCATGCTCTTTTCAAGGCCAGACGACTCTTCGTACTCCTCACTCACACAGGATGTCCCATCGTCACCCGCTTATCTCCAACGACCAAACAGTGACCATGTCATCACATATCCGGCCAGCATGTCACCCAGGTTTCAATTCCTGAAGCCCCAAAACAAGGGTTGGGAGGACATTAAGCGTAGTTCTAACCGCTCCTCAACTATCACCGCCCCATTGCCTACGCCGACACTTCAGTACTTCACTCCACCCCACGCAGATGCTTCTCCCCCAGCACCTCTAAAGAAACGTTCGTTTCTCAATCTTGGCCGCAACACACCCTTGACCGCCGACCGCCAAGCGATGTCATCACAGAACCCGTACTCTACACTTGCATTTAATGCAAGCTTTACGTACAACAACTCAAATGCGAGTTTCGAAGGCCCAAGAATGAGTCTGTTCGCCAAGCTTCACGGCATGAATGAGGAGCAAGGGAGTTTGAAGAAGAAGACCGGGGTAGCATTGGTATATAGGGGCTCGGTGGAAGCGAAGAAGGAGATGGCACCAAAGTGGTCTCCCGATGCGATGGGCAGTAAGTTTTGATGTGGACATGGGGTTTGAACATCGCGATCATGGATTTTCTTTCATTGAGTTGTTCGGGCCTACTTACCGACGTCGCTTCCACGACTAATCGGTCGTATATCCTAGAGTATTTCCAGCAGATCTCTCGGGCGCTCTTCTATCGGCCCACTGCTACATTATCCCGCACCTACCATTGCCAAAGCTACCGGCCAACGCCCATCCCATTTCAAACTTCATTCCAGAAAACCGCTCATTACCCGTGCGTTCCGTAGCATCCCGCGTGGCAAGCTTTGACACTACCTTGCCAGTTGAGGTACCCATCCCTGCGTATCATCATCACATTGCGCACATGCGACTTTTCCTACTTTGATTGTACATAATTTCTATATCCATGGCAAGTACCTGATATTACAGCACACGCCAAGAAAGCATATTCATAAACACAACACAGGCCAAGGAAGGAAAAAGAAAAACCACCTCCCTACCCATGTCACCAACCCCCACCAAACCATGCATGCACGCAACGTCTTTTTCTTTCGGACCGAAGCGAAATCTCAGATCGGAAAACTCTACATCTGCCACCCACGTCACGAACACACGGTTTACTAATCCCCACCCACCCCCCATGCAAGCCACCCATAAACGCCGTGTAGTTTGTTTTCCCAAAACGCTCCTCGCATACATACATAATCCACATGGATGTATACGATAGAAACGAACAAGCAAAACAACCAGAAAAAAAATCCTGGGCAAGCATGACATGGCATAATGCATTACTGGACCTGCATATACCCATACCCATTACCCAGGACAGAGAAAGCGACGGAGTGAGTTTTTGTTTTAACAACGCTCACGCCATGCACCCCCTCCACACACACACTCTCCCTTTTTTTCTTTGTTTGTTTGTTCGTGTTCACCTATCCCATCCTGCCCACCCCTCATTTCCCACGGGCGGTTTAAGCAAAGAAGAAAAAATAACGCTCTCACACCTACCCACCCCACACACATAGGCACACACACACCTACCCACCGCTCTCCGCTCTCGCGATCGATCCTGCACCTGAAATGCAAGAAATACATGGCGTAACTAACTCGAAAAGGAAAACTCCGCTCACTGACTGACCGGTCGACGTCTTTTTCCTTGTGCAGACTAAGTAAGCCAAGAAAACAGCTCGAACGGGTCAATGGTATGTCCGCACGCTTCCCTCAGGACAGGGCACACAAAGCAGAGTAGAGAGGCAGGGTCAAAGGGTCAAATCAGTGGGGACCAACTGTTGCAAGTCTCAGGTCATGTCATGTCATGCCATTTTCCGAGGGTGTGGTCATGGTCAAGATTTTGAGCTTTGTTGCCTGAGTCGGGGAACGTGGTCCGCCGCACGCAAAAGCTTCCTTCCCGCTCCTTGTGAATGTTGGGTACCTGTTTCTCTCTCGACGTGCATGCGTGCGTGCGTATGTCTATGTCAAGGGTAAATCTCGGAGCCCAATGTTACATACGTACGGAACGGAAGCAATCGAGTGACCATATCATGGGCTACAGGGCGGGCAGTTTTTACGCAAACTTTATTTTCCTCATCCTGTGCGTCGTCTACATTGTAAAATTTTGCCCAGAAATTTTGTTTGGTGCGGTTCGGGGGTTGCATGCCCGAGAAGGTACGTACGTTAGGGTCATGGCAAAAAATTATGATGGCATTGGTTTTAGTGGGAAAATGAGTGCCGCGGCAGGGTTGACGCTGGAGCGGCGCAGAGCAAAAGCCCACCTGCAGCCTGGCGTGCCGGAGTGTGGGTTTTTGGCAGAAAAGATTAAAAAAACAAAGTGCAGTTGCAAAGTTGGCGTCGATGGTTTAGTGTCTAGAGTAGCTTAGGCATGTATAGCGTGAAACAGAGAATCCCGGGACAACATTCGATGACATGCGATGCGGAGTTAGTAGCTCTCTTGCATTAGCTTGCATACAGCCAGGCTTTTGAAAGCTCAGCCACTCCAGCCTCACCCTGCTTTTGCCCCATTTCCGAAGTAGGACCCGTGGAGAAAGGGTGTTCAGCCGAGTTCGGCCGAAGTTCCCCTACGAGCAGAAGCAACGAAAGTTTCCGAACACGCAAAAAGCAATTGAGGTACGTCACCACGTTGCATGGATGGTACGAAATGGGAGCACTGCCCCGTCTTGCACATGCAGGGGAGTAAAAGGCAATCATACATGCGGGAAGGGACAATTTTGTAGAGTTTGGTACGGACAATCATAGATCACTATGCGGGATCGTAAAAATCCGGGGCTACAGAATTTGAATCCTAGCGAGCACGGTTATGCTGTGCTTAAGCGGACAAGATGTTGTCGCTTGTACCCTTGGACCAGAATGTTCCAGAACACCATGGCCATGATTCCCATCTTGGTAGGCGTTCCAGATCATCATAGTCTGAGCTGCATCGTGGAAATGATTCCAGATCGTAACAGCCATGAATGACCATAAAAGCAAAATCGTGACTCCAGCACATGGTCGCCTTTACCATCATCCGCTCTCCCTAGCACTTGCCTGGCCGTCAGCATCGAGCCAAAAACAAAGGCACTGACAGCCGTCACTTGCTTCTGACCACTTCTCTCGGTAGCCGGCAAGCTGTCAGTCATCGCATAGTGCTCAGGCTAGACGCTCCAGGCCATCGATGCCCTTGCGTCTGGCCTTTGTGCGGTTCCACAAGTCGATGAGCCAGTCATGCGGAAATTCCATATCGATAGGGCCGGGGCAAAGCGGAAGCTTCTGTCGGTATTGCATCTCGTATTCATGCACACCCGCGTGGAAATTCAGCTCCTTGAACATGTCGGCTTTCAGCCTCTTTTCTTCTGCGCATGTATTGGAGATGGTGGTGCCTATAGTGCCCTCAGCTACAAGCTTGATGTCATCTTTGAGAGCATGGGTGAGCTTGTAGAAGTACAAGCGATTGTAAACATCCATAGAGGTGTCTTGGGGAGGAGCGAGACTTCCGAGCTTGCGTATAACGATCACTGGTCGCTCTGTGTAGTTCCAGGTCTGCGGGTCATGGATTGAGTTGCGATGCAAGACCTGCACGTCGAGAAGATGCACCTTGTCAGCGCCCACTTGGACGGAGTTTTGCAGCTCTTGTCTTAATCCCTTGGCTGATAGACTCGAGTTAAAGATGCGATTGGTCGAGTCCAAATCAACACTCTTAATTTCCGCCTTGGTAACACGGATGCGAAGAAAAATCGTGTGCAGCTGTCCTAGGTGTAGCTGCGGGACTTCCTTACTTCCAATACACTCTATAATCTTACAGCCCGTCTTCGTGCGGAAGTCAAGGCTTATGTCGGTCAACTCACCCACGGGTTCCACAGATCTGGCGTCCTTTATGATGCTCTTGATCCGTGCGGATGTCAACTGATATTTGGACATATTACTGGCAAAGACCTTTTTGCAGCAAGAGATAACACAGACCTTGTCCTCGAACTCGGGGGCGGGACAGTAAGGAAGAATCGCAGGATTGATCTGGTGGATGTAAAGGTCTGGAAAGTACCTCGACACCCCATGAAGAAGATGGGCAGCAGGAGTCAGCACGATGAAATGGGTACGGCTCGCCTTTAGATGGTCGTCCTGCATAGACCTAGCTATGCAAATGATGACTTCTGCCATACATGGGTTGGGGCGAGGCGGTTGCCGAAGTTGGGTACCAGACCGCATAATGTAGTGTGCCAGTTTTTGGATCTTATCGCCAGTATCCGTATATTTGGGCCGAATGGGAAGCATCAGCTCGGGACGGTTCCCAGTGACCCGATGGTGAGTACAGTGCGTGGTGTACAATGCCAAGCGATCTCCATGAGCTAACTGATCCTAAAATAAGTAAATATATGAACCTCACAAAATTAATTGATGACGTGACTTACATAGGTTCCTTTGACAGCATCTAGGGCCTTTTCAAGACAATCCTTAGTCACGTAATATCTATACATTGTTAGTCCGGACTATCAGAGTACCGGAATGGGAGCGTGTACCCGTTGTCCACCACACATATGACATCAATGGAAGTGTCCGGCAGGAGCTTACGATTGTGCAGAACGCCCTCGATATCGATTGCGACAGTAAAGTCTTCAACCTCTTTGGTAAGAATCCTAACCTCTGAAAAGACTTTAACCTCTGGTTTCAGTAAACTCGGGCTTGATGGAGGCAAGGTCGGCACGTCATCTCTATGGTCTGCCGGGGAAGGCATGTGCTTTGTAGCGAGGCCCATGAAGCGATTAAACCATTCTCCGCTGACTAACATTAGCCTCCTATAAGGAAAAAAGGCATGGGCATTGTCTTACTCGCTAGCTTTCCTCCACAGCCAAGCTTCGATGGCAGCGTCATTCGGATCATTCGAGTCCTCATCGTGGGTAGCAAGTGTCGAGGCGGTTGTGGGGGAAGACGCTTCAGGGGCATTGATACTAACACTTGTGTCTCCAGTGCCCTGCCGACGCAAGAGTGTGAGGCCGCTGGTCAAACGTCGGAACATAGAAGTGTGACCCCTAGGCGGTTCAACGGGACCTCCGTCGTAGCTAACCACATTTTCTAGGGCTTGTTGCGCAGTGACGTACTTAGGAGGAGTAGAGGAATTGGAAGCCGCGGGCTCATATGACGTCACGCCCACTGTTGTTGTGTGTGGGGAACGTACTGGACCGCCATTAACAGGTGCATCGTGGCCAGTGCTGTAGGGGTGCGCCATCGGATCTCCAAGGCTTGAGCCTGAAGCCGTCGAGCGGCTGTTTCTGTGCTTGGGGATCGTCAGAGTATGGTCTTTCGGAATACGACTGACGGGTAGAGGTGCTGTGGTCCACAACAACGGCGCCTCGAGAGGACACGCGCAATCGAGGACAGACAAGTCGAAGCCACAGTCAGACGGTGACTCCCAAATGTCGCTTTTGATCTCGTCGATAATGTCGTCAAGTGGACCGAACACGTACTCGTTGTCGCAATGCTTGTGGCTTGACCTACGGAATATCCGCCGACGAAAGGTTGCTTTGCGCGATTTCTTCTGAATGTGGAGGGGTGATGGGTAGAGAGGAAGGTGGGGGAGAAAGACGCTCCCCTTTGACGTGAGCATCTTGGACGCGTCGGGCACGCGCAAGTACAGTTCACCGTCCACTTGCTCACCGCGACGCGCGCAGTACAGTTCACCGTTCACTTGCTCACCGCGACGTGCTCTCATTCACGTCTGCGTCCACCTAAGATTGCTGCAATGGCTTGCTGCCTGTCTGGGTAAGATGGTGAAAATGGATAATAAGAGTAGCCAAGTAACAAGCTGAGAATGCACAACAGTGTGTGATGGAGGGAAGAAGGCTACTAAGAGGAAGAATTCAGCTTGAGGTCTCATATTATGATTGGGAAGGCTCGAGTATGGTGAGGAAACAACATGAGAAGTTCTTGCTACATCAAGGAACACTTGCCTATTGTCACTGGTAACTACCCATTCTGGCCTTTGGACATGCCGCACACCAAGTGACGCTGTTGTGGCAATCCTCTACAATGCAACCTCATGGTCTCAGCTACATACTTCAGGGACATAAGCTTGGGCTAGCTATATGACAAGTCAAGATTCTGCAGCAGCAGCAGCAGCAGCAGCAGTCTCCAGATGCCACTTCATCTTCTCTTGCATCTCCTCGTCTGCCTCGCGGAACCGTATCTATAGGATTTGTGAGTATAGATTCATGTACACAGATATATGATCTTACTATATCTTCTCCAGCACTCGTGCCATACAGAACTGGTTCAGACAGACTGGCCTTGACTGCTTTTCTTACACGCTCCTCCCACACGCCTTCCCAATTCCACTCCCCAGGACGTCGGTTGCGTCCCAAAGTAGAGCTGCCTTCTGACTTTTCACTCGTGGATGGTTCTGGGCTTGGCGATGTTGGCTGCTGAGCTTGCACAATAGGGGCTCGATGCGCTCTCCATGCATGGAAGGCCCCTGGGTTTGCTGCAGCTTCTAGCGGGAGTGAGTCCAGTATGGATTCCTCACTAAAGGTCGAACGGATGTACTCTAGTATGCGCACAATAGATACTTCTTGGGTCGGCTGGGGAACATTGGGAGTACCGGAGCTAGCGTTCAAGTCCGAGGGCACAGGAGTAGTGCTCGCGGGACTGGCCAAGGCAGAACCACTGGCATCACGAGAGTTTGGTGCAGACATCTTTCGGCTTCGTCCAAACCAATGGGGAAAGCCGTGCCGCAGGCTGAATCCGCCTGGTGGCAGCCGTTCCTCATCGGTTGCACTGACGGTATCCGTGTCTGTGGATCCAGTCGTGTAAGTATACGTGGTAAGTGGCGTGAGGAGCGGGTGAAAGACATCGGTGGAAAAGGTCACGAGGGGCGGCAAAGCAGGATAGGTGGGTGGGAAGGAGATTTGGAAGCGTAAGACAGCAGGCGCATATGGACCTGTCGATGGTGAATATAGACGGTTTCAAAGGGGGGTTGAGCACAACATGCTCGCTTAGCCCTATGGGACTCGCTACCTTTTCGCACGAAGATGACACCAAGCCATAGCGACGGGTCGCCAGGCGTGATGCTTAGGAAGACACCGTCGAGCTGTGCATAGCGCAGACGGGAGCTACACACACACACACAGTCAGGACACGCGACCAAGTTGGTGTGCTGCGACGTACAACTCAACGAGCAGGTGTTGCTTCCGAAAGGACGGCAGAGCCGGCACAGCGACGGACAACGGCATCTCGTTCACAAGCTTGGGACAACGGTGGTGGTCGGTCGTATGGGACGTTGTTCGGGATCCGCGCAGCATGGCGGATGCGCGTTTGACGCTAACTTTGGACTAACTAGGCGATCTACGCGATCATCTGCTTTCATCTCTAACGCGCCTCGTCAGTTGCAATCCGCCGTGTCTGGAGTACAAGACCACCAACGGGTCCTGAATCTCACCGGATTTGCAGACGAGCCCACAGATGATGCGCGCATCAAAGTGATATGCCGCTCGCTAGCTATCCAACGACGTGGCAGGACGACAGTGGTGATTGCCTGGATGGTAACGTCATTCGCTGGATGCGCCGGCCGCGTTGGACGAGAGCTCCCCAGCATGTACGAAGACACGTACGGTAAATACCAAAATTACCCACCCGGTGCCGGAGTCCCGGTTGATCCCCGGCGTTCTCCATGTGGGATGAGATGCGACTCGGGACGCTGTTTTCGGGCCTGGGCAAGGCTCGCAATGTACATACTAGTACAATGAGGCCGGCCGGTTTGAGCTGGACCGAGAAGACGACCACGGACCGAGCAAGCGCATACCACAGGCTCACGTAAGAAGGTGACATTGACGGCAACGACAGCAACGACAGCAACGACACCATGCACCGTTGGCACCGGCAAGTCATGGCACACAGAGAAGCACAAGCCTCAAAGCGTTGCCTGATATGTGCGTTCGCAGCATCAAAACGACTCTGCGTACACAGGCCGCTGGACTCTCAATGGGGCGTTGCATGTTGGTTGATGACGAGCTGTTGTGCGACCATGTGGTGCAAATGCGCTGGCTCCAGTCAGCGCACCATGGGTAGCCTTACGCGGTTGTATCAGTCGCTGGTCGGGCTGTCAAAGGGACATGAGACCTCACACACAGGGGACTAGCGGCTGATGGCTGGCTCGATGGAGACAGCCTTCTCTACTAGGTACGGAATCAGCGGGCAAGGCTAATTCGGCGGAAGCCATAGTACCGGCGTTGGTTGTCTACGGTGCTTGGGGCAAGCGGGAACGACCCCCAAGCCTCCGGAACCTCGTAAACCCAAGTGCAAGGGCGGCACATGTGGTGTGTGTACAACTGGCATATCTTGGACACGGCACTGTCAGTTTGCGGTTGTCTAGGTGAAAGCAGCATGGTGGGAATGTTTCGGAGCATCGGAGGATTGCATCAGAGCAATCAGAGAGGGCCAGGGGCGTGGTTTGAGCGCCGCTAAAAGAGGCGGTGGCTGTCTCAGACGCTTCCATCTGCCATAACCCTGCTCTCGCGTGGAAATCTGCAGGCCAGCCTTACATATCCACACCGCCATGGCCGCTTATGCCACGGCCCACACTGGCTGCGTCGAAACAGCCGTTATGCTTTGACAGGGCTCTCTGTCACTCTGCCAGTCCAAGGCTGGGACTAAAAAGCAAAGGATCGCTGGAGGGCTGCGACACCTCACTTGCAACGCGCGCCGGAAGTCTATCCGGGCCCATCGCGAGCGCTGGTACATTGGTACGCTGGTCCGCTGGCGTGGGCGTGGGCGGTCTGACATGGGCAGCAGCACACCAGACGCTACGACGGCTACGTCGTCGCAGATGGGCGCAGACGGGCGTCAGCTGATGGTGGGCCGGGGGGTTATCACGTCTCGATGACTAGTAGTAGCAATCACCATATGCGACGGGCAATGACAGGTGCTTGACCAGAAAGCTACGTCGTCGTGCGACCCCGTCGGGCCCAGGGCGCGGTCGTGGGAAGCTTCGAAACCAGGCGTCGTGGGCAGGGGTGCGTCAAGTTGATACCTGGGGCAGCAAATGAAGACGACGCACGCACGACGCCAGGGCGCCGTCTGAGGGACACGAAACACTCTGCGTCGACGACGCCCTTTTGGCCACGCAGCCGGCGACGAGGCTATTTGTGGCGCTGATGAGGACAGCATCGAGCTATCTACCTACGTATCGCAGCAAGGCCATATGACGGCGTGGCCATTCACGGCAATCATAGGAAGCAGCGCAGGATGGAGTACAGTATAGTACGGTACACCGCCATTTTTTGGCGGTTCGTCGGAGCAATCAATCGCGATATGATGCCACGGACGCTCATCATGGCTCCATGACAGCAGGATGGGCAGCATGGGCCCCGCGCTACATGGTCCAAGCTGCCTTCTCGAAATTCTTCGGCGAATCCTCTGACTCGGGAGTGGTGGTGAGATTGCCCGGCGGCGTGGTGTTGCGGGCGCCCCTGAGCTGAAGCAGCACAGAAAATTACCAGGCCTTGCCGGAAGCAGGTCCTATTTGTCGGCCGGGGCTGCGGCCGGGCAGCCGTGTCTCCCTTTACGGCATGTTCACGGCCAGCTGCGGCCGGTATGTAGTTCACATGTTGGCCGGGGGGCCCCCCTGCCCGGGCGCGACTCAGGGCCATGGAAGTCGGTAGAGGCATGCGGGCACACTAGCGCTGAGGCCTTGGGTCCCGGGGAGTCGGGACGCGCTGTTGATCCTGTTCCTCTTACGAGCCACGTCCAACGCTCTTGCAACTCTCCCTTGTCCCCCTTGTCCACCTTACTCGCTTGTCTCTAGCTCGTCCAAGGTCGTGGATTCCGCCCAACCCGAACCAGTTTGTACCAGACTGTCCCAGACACGCCTTCCCCAGCCCAACCCCCGGTCCACCTTCAGGGGTCGAAGACCTTTTTGGCATGCGAGCACGAAGCCCGTCCGGTGACATGGACTCACAAACAAATGAGCTAGCTACAAGCCAACTGCCAACGCTGCAGCTGCCGGTCGCTTATCGACTGCCTATGGGTTGTTTCGCAGCGATGCCATGACGGATCCGCTACTCATTTTACTGGTACATTCGCTGGTCCCTCCGCTGTCCCTAGCTGTCCCTAGCTGTCCCTAGCTGTCCCTAGCTGTCCCTATCCGCCCACACTACGTATCCATACCCACAACATCACCGCTTGTTCTCCGTTCCTTCCCCGCTGCCACCATCCTTGCTCATCCCAGCGGTCTATCCGTTTTCAGGACGCCACTTAAATCTTGCTGCTCCTTATATACCCTGTGACGCTCGCGTCCTTTGCAAACTGACTCTGATCTCTGAGCCCGGGAGGTACTAATCTGTGGCCCAACTCGCACATGTCTTGTCTGTCTCATCCAATTCACTCCCACAATCACCTCTTGTCATAACACTTGACGTGATAATACTCGTCGACGCCTATACCACCCCCACCCCCCACCGCTACACGTGAAGCAAGCCAACGACACACACATTCGCAACCATGGGTCGTTATGGCTCCGCATCTGCCATTGGCAGCGCCAAATCACCCTTTCCCACCAGACAAATGGCCGTACTCGGTAAATCACCGCCATTGATTACCATGGCATGATCCAGTTGCTAACGTTTGTTAGCGTTATGTCGGATATGCGAGCCAATCGCCTTCATGTCGATATTCCCATACGCCTACTTCATGGTCGAATCCTTCTTGAGCGGCCACAGCGCAACGCAAATTTCAATGTACACGGGCATGGTCACTTCGTCCTTCGCCTTCATGGAGTGCATCAGCGGAATTTTCTGGGGCCGCCTCAGTGACCGGATCGGACGGAAAAGGGTGCTCCTGGGAGGTCTCTTTGGTACGGGGCTGAGCATGCTACTGTTTGGCTTTTCTACAAGTCTACCAATGGCATTGATCGCCCGGGCCCTCGGAGGATTGCTCAACGGGTGAGGTCATCGCGTCCACTTGGCGTCTGAGCCTCGCTAACTGGATATGCAGGAACATCGGCGTACTTCAAACGACAGTAGCAGAGCTGATCACCGATGAGCGACACCAACGTGAGTTCGGTCTAATTACCGATACGAGGCGATCCAAACTGACTTTGCCCAGCACGCGCTTATTCGATAATGCCCTTCGTATGGTGCCTTGGGTAAGTTTGCTCTAATGGCCAGGGTTTGTCCGTGCTGACCGCTTTTTTGTAGCACCATCATCGGCGGCGCGCTTGGCGGTTTGCTCGCTCGTCCTGCCGACGTAATGCCCTTCTTCAAGGGTAGCATATTCGAGAGGTATCCGTTTCTTCTTCCGAACCTTGTTTGCACAGGTTTCGTGGTACTTGGACTTACCGTCGGCATCTTGTTTCTGGAAGAGACTCACGAAGACCGCAAGTACGACCAGGATCGGGGACGCGAAGCGGGGCAATGGCTTCTTCGCAAACTTTGGAAGCGAGACGCAGATGCAACCTTTGACGACAAGGATGCGTCGCTTGACGAGATGAGATCGATGCTCAGCGACCACAACCACGGCGGCAATGCGCAGGCGTATCAGAGCACCGACAGCTCGCCCACGTTGTGCAGTACGCGCACCTCCATTTCCGAGCCACCGGACTTCTCCCTGGACAAGGAGCTTGCCCGCGCCCCGACATTCCGACAAGCATTCACCAAGCAAGTGTGCCTAAACGTGGTTTGCTACGGCATCCTTGCCTTTCACACCATTTCTCTCGAGCAACTCCTCCCGATCCTCATGTCCAAAAAGGTGCCAACCGGAGATTCTCAGCAGCTGCCGTTTCACTTTGAGGGTGGCTTTGGTTGGTCGACGCAAACGACAGGAGCTTTCCTGGCTGCACAAGGTTTCCTCCAAATGTTTGCCCAGGTCATTGTGTTCCCCTGGCTCAGCAGGAAGCTCGGAAGCCTGCGCACGTTTTGGATCACTCTTTCGTGCTACCCAGTCCTCTACCTGCTTGCACCCTACCTGGCCATCCTCCCCGAGAAGCTTCGGATTCCCGGACTTGTAGTGTTGCTCATCGCCAAGGTCACCTTCCAATCGCTCTCGTATCCATCTCTAGCCATCATCCTGGCAAATTCGTCTCCATCGAAAAAGGTGCTTGGCACGCTAAACGGAGTGGCCATGTCTTCCGCAAGCATCTCTCGTGGATTCGGTCCTACAATATCGGGCGCAGTGGACAGCCTCGGAACCTCACTCCACATGTCCGGACTTGCGTGGTGGACCATTGCCGCCGTTGCTCTCATCGGCTGGCTTCCGGGCTTCGCTCTGCAGGAGAGCAGTAAGCGCACAAACTATGCGGCGAAAGATGACGAGGAGGCCCTCATTGACACAGACTCTGACGCAGAGTCAATCATGACGCTCACGCCTGACGAGGCAGTGGAGAATGTTCTTTCAAAATAACCGGTTTTAATCACGACAAAAAGTAATAGCGGCGCTTTCATTTCCCGTACGGCCAACAGCAACCAGTACGAATCAGACTTTACGCGCTGGCAGCGACACTTCGTTTCACATTATACTTTGGGAAAGATAGACTTTTTGGGGGCTCGGCGCATGGAATACAAGTGCGACTTAGCGACATTGGGATATTGGGTGGCATTTTGGGTCACGTCATTAAACTTGGGACAGCATTTATTAGAAGGGGAAAGCTCGATTGTATCGGACACCAGCAATGGTCATGCACGAGCCGGCGTTTTTATCATTTTGGACCAAACAGAATACCCCCGTAGTAGTTATTCCTTGTAACAGTGTATTTGTTAGATTAGCGCGCTCAGGCAAATGATGAACATGTATGACTCTTTTAACATGTCACGAGACTTGCTTCTGGTGCCATGACATGGGTAGAGAGTGAGGTGGCCGGGCTGACCGGAAGCATCTATCAGCGGTGTGTTATGGTGCCAGTTTGTCGACCGGGGGGTCACGAGGGCTGAGGCATGTTTGGGCCAAATGGGTCTAATGGAATATGCATTGCCGGCATCAGATACGGTATTAGTACTGATGCTTCTCTTGTAACGGATACTTCCTTTTCGCTTCGACACGTGCTTGGATCGGTGTGCTTTATGCACATGGTGGGAAGGCGGTCGCGAGTCAGTGGGGGATTATGCTGCGAGAGTATGAAGCAGAGATGGTGCATACATGTCGTCTCTGACTCAAAACGCGAAACATGTTGGAGCCGACGACGTCGGGGCATGTCTTTGACGAGTGGACCCCTCTCTCGGGATGGTTCCTGGGGCAGCAAGCGGCGGTGGCTGTTAGCCGAGGGCGAGGGGAGACCTATTACATCAGCCGAGTAATGAGGTGCATTCAGAGGTGGGAATGCATAGCATAGCCAAGGCGAGGAGGAAGGCAAGGAGGCGATTTGAACAAAGCCGATAGTGAATGCTGTGCTGGACCTACTGTAATACCGACGATGTCCCAGTCCAAATCCTCCCACATGGCGGCGGCCATGACGTGCAGCGGCACCCACGCTTGGCCCACACAGCCTATCTATTGCACTGGAGATAAGAAACATGGCCATCCACGACCGACCAACGGTTGTCGGTTGTCGGTTGCGGTTGCGGTTTGGGGTTGGATAATGTCAGAGGTACGGTACGGCACGGCACAGCAGCACCTTTTCCATGGCACACAATTGCATCCTACACTTGCATCTACCTCGTTCGGTGTAGTTGTCAGTCGGTGCGGGGGAAACAAGCTTACCCGTCCGTTCTCAACTGAGTTGGGGGGAATCCTACCGGTACGCCAGACCCAGATGTGCTGCGAGAGCTCGACTAGTCTGAACCCTGCCGACTTTCTTGCCATGCGCCCTGATGAGCAGCCTCAAGCGCTCCTTGGACGAGTCCTCTCATGATGGGGATAGGCCCTCGCCTTCGGGTTCGTCCGTTTCGACTGTGAAGCCCGCCTCGCCCGTTGCGCCTTCAGCCTCGAGCTCGTTCCGCAACGTGAGCGCATGCAACCGCTGCCGCCTGCGCAAGAATAGATGCGACCAGCGCCTGCCCTCGTGCGCCTCCTGCGACAAGGCCGGCGTCAAGTGCGTGGGCTATGATCCCATCACCAAGCGAGAGATTCCGCGCAGGTACGAAGTTTGAGAGGGGAGCTACTATCCCAACTCGCCTCGGCTGAGAACTGACCCGCGCAATAGCTATGTCTACTACCTCGAAACCCGCGTCGCATACCTCGAGACACTGCTGCAGAAACATCATGTCGCATTCCAAGAGGCTGAGGACTTCAACCCAGCCTTTACATCCAATGGCGCAGTCACTCCCAGGCCCATCATCACCGCCGCCCCGCCGCCGCCTCGCAATGGCACCACCAAGCCCACCACGGCGCAAGCACGAGAGGAAAGCGACAAGTACGACCGGGAGAAACTGACCAAGCTAGTGTCCAACATTGGCATGGTCTCGGTGCAAGGCGCCAGTGACCCGCGATATCTGGGCTCCACTTCCGGCATCTCGTTTGCAAGAGTAGTTTTTGCCGCTGTGAAGAGCTCGGTATCAGGCTCCTCCTCTGAGCGCGGGAGCAACAGGGGCGCCAAGGTGACGAGCAGCGTCGTGGACAGTGGCACCTCAATGCGGGACTCGTTCTTTGGACTACAGACCAAACCCACCATACGCCAGGCGCCCTTCCCAGACCGAGAGCTCGGCGCACGTCTCGTTGAGCTCTACTTTGAGCATGCGAACCCACAGATACCCATCCTGCACCGGGGCGAGTTCATGGACATGTTTCAGCGCGTGTACGCTTCCGGAGAACGGCACCGTACCTCACGCGAGTCGTATATGCTCAACATTGTCTTTGCCATTGGCGCCGGCATCATCTTGGGTAGTTCCGACTCAGAGGGCTCCCCGGTGTCAGACCACGGCCGCTCACCAAACAAGTCACGCTCATCACCCCCAAGCAATAAAAAGCGGAGACTTGCAGGCCATCAGCACCAACCCGAGGAGTACCACGCCTCGGCAATCGTTCATCTGGAAAACTTTCTAGGATCCTCTCCCGCTGCGGACCGTCCCGACGGCTTCGGCGGTGGTCTTGAGGAACTGCAAGCTGTGCTACTACTCGCTGGCTTTGCCCTGTTGAGACCCGTCGCACCCGGCCTGTGGTACATTGTGGGTGTTGCCGTTCGTCTCGGCGTAGATCTAGGCTTGCATTACGAGGATGGTGTGGGTATCGACGGGGCCGGCGCGGAAGACCACACTGCTGGGAATGCTGCATTCAAGACCGAAGGGGACGGGAATACAACGGCTACCGGCAGCGCAAATCCATCCAAAATCGACGCCAAAGAAAGGGGTCGTAGACAGTGGGTCAGAGATCTGCGCCGACGGCTATGGTGGTGTGTCTACTCTTTGGACAGACTTGTGAGCACATGTGTCGGAAGACCTTTCGTAAGTACTCCTTCATATCATGTGAGGTGACTTCATTCGGTTCCACGACCCATGTGTATGGGATATGAATTATCGTCAAACAGTGGGTGTGAGGAAGACCATATTGGTTCCAAACCTCAAAAGGAGATGATCAGAGGACTAACAACCTTCAGGGCATCACTGACCAAATCGTGACTACTGAATTCCCCTCACTGCTGGATGATCGCTACATTACAAAGGAGGGCTTTTTGGAACCACCCGCACACCATGAAAAACCAACGTACAAGCTCGTAGCTCACCACTATTTCCGACTGAGACTACTGCAGAGTGAAATTCTCCAAGTCTTACAGCATCGGCAAGCACAACAGGCAAGAGCAAGTGGTGCCAACCAAGCCAATGAATTCATGCACACCAAGCTGCCCTCCCCCTTCCTCGCCAATTTTGACTCGTTCCGCGCCTGGCGCATCGATATTGATAGACGGTTGCTGGAATGGAAGGATTCGGCGCCAACACAGCTTGAGGCCGGCGTGCAGTTCTCACCACTTTTCTTAGAGCTGAATTACTGGCAGGCCATCATCATGCTGTATCGGCAGAGCCTAGTCGTTCCTTCCGGTTTGCAGGACGAACTTGGCAATGCTGGCTCGGACATGGGCAGCCCTTCAATGGCCAATCCAGAGGAGCGGGACGATGAGGATTTGGTCTTCCTCAAGGTAGCTGAAGCGGGTCAGAAGGTTCTGAAGTTATACCGGCAGTTGCATCGGGTCCACCTTGTTAATTACACATTCCTCGCAACCCATCACCTGTTCATGGCCGGTAAGTCCTTTATAACGCCTATTCCCGGTCGTAGTGCTGACTTGTCTAGGTATATCCTTCCTCTATGCCGTGTGGCACAGTGTTCATGTGCGCAGCTTACTGGTATGTCAGATTAACCCTTGCGCAAGCCCAACATGGCCATGTTATATGTGTAACATTATATCTGACGCATGCAGTCCCTTGACGATGTCGACTTTACAGTCCTTGCCGCCACATCTGTATTAGGCGATTTGATTGACAATTGCCCGCCTGCGGAAGCATGCCGCGATGCATTCGATCGGATGAGCAAAGCCACCATTCAGATGTGCATGTCGACGACGGGTTTCGGAGCCCAGGCTCTGCGCGCATTGCCGCAACCTCAACAATATCACACGCAAACGTCACCGAGCGCCGCATATACCTCTTCTACTTCGGATGCTGATGCAAGGCCGGATACCGAAATGCAAGGGTACGGGACCGGCAACACGGCCAATTTCTTCGGCCAACAGCAACCGCAACAGCAGCAGCAGCGTCGTCGTCCCGTGCCACGTTTCGACATGAACCTCAAGGACCTCTTCTCAGATGACGAAACGGACAAACGGTCCTTCAGCCGCGTAAGCAACCAAGTAAACGCAATGAGACCCCCTCCCACACCCATGAAGTCGGAAACTCAACAACAACAACAACAACAACAACAACAACAACCACAGCCTTTTACCGCTGATCTCAAAATCTCCCCTCAAATCCGTTCTCACCACCAACCAAACTACTTCACTGCTGCAAGTCCAAACATGCCTAGCCCCAACAGTCAAACCACCACTTTTAGCAGCAGCAATGGAGCAGCAGCGGGGACACCAACATCACCCTACCAAATCCCCAACAACAACACCCAAAGCCCCTATACCACTAATTTCACCCAAAATATCAATAGCACTTACCCCGACATAGGCGGTTTCTCAGATCTAGATTTCCTCGACAGCAGTTTCCCCGTGCATGGTAGCGGTGGTGCAAACAGTGGTGGTGGGGGCGCGGACACGGCGCCGGGTGGCTTGCAGGACGTGGGTATTGGGTTTGGCATGGGGTTTGGTGATGGCACGCATGATTGGAGTGATGGGAATGGTTTTGATCTTTTTGATGGGTTTTTCTTTGGTATGTTGTTATCCCCTCTTCTTCCCCTCACACCCATTACCCCCGCTCCATTCTGTTTCATTACCCCCACGTCTGCAGATGCAGAGTAAGTACATGCAGCTGTGAAAGCGGGCGGGGTTGCTGTGTGATGTGGGGGTTCTTTTCGTTCCCATTCCTTCGGTTGCTGACACGTAGACAGGGCCCGGTGGGACGGGCATGTGATGAATGAATAAACACGCCTTTCTTTCTTTGGGCTATTTTTGTTGTTGAGCTGCTGCTTCTGGCCCGATGGTAGTCTCTTTCGGCCCGGGGAGTAGTGTTGTTGAGTTCGAGTTCGAGAAGAGGAGGGGATGTCGGGCCCCCTGCCGCCGTACCATGGCTGGCTGCATTCTGTGGCTTTGCGGCGTGGGAATATGAGTGTGGGGGTTGCGTGCGGGGCGGCTTGCGGCGGTCTCCGATTACTTGATACGAAACGAAACGGGACGGAACGAAACGAAACGAAACGCTTCTTTTTTTTCCTCTTCTTCTGTGGTGTATGTGTCGTGTTGTTTCTGGTTTGATATAACCCAGAATGTGGTTTAGGGTGGGAGATGGAAAATTGGACGCTATATGATGTGATGCGATGCGAAAACTTATGAGGATACATGTATGTGGCTAGATGATTGATTAGGTTTGGGATGACATGAAGTGAAGTGGAGGAAGACTGTGGTTGATGAATATATATCATGACATGACATGACATGCAAAGCCATATACAATGGTAAAGACAAGCTTCTGTTTCTCACGATTTTCACTCAACACCACACCCTATGCTGATGAAGAATGTATGCTCAAGCAGATTCATTTGTTGAAATATAAAGACCCAGTTCAGATGAACTCGGAGTAAGACAAGATAAACGCCTAGATGAAAAATGCCCATGTCCATGCCTATGCCAATCCCCATTTCAAATCATCAACCCACTCGTGACTTTTGCAATGCAAGAGAAAAACCCAGCAAAACCCCAACGCCTACGCGTCACCATTTGCCATTTCGACGTCTTCGTTCTCAGCATCAAGCTTGACACCGCCCTCCTCCTCATCCGCAACCATGTCCTCAGTAGCCTGCTCGCCATCACTCACATCGCCCGTCTTTGCAGCGTCCTGCTCGCCCGCCTCTTCGGCATCCCTGGCCTCCTTCTCCGCCTTTGCCTTGTCAGCCACATGATTGATAATCTCGGTATCCTTCTCGTTGAACAGCCTGAGCAACATGGCCTTGCGATCGTCCTTGTCGACCATGAGGTTGGCACTACCAGGATGTCTCCAAAGGGGCAGGACCATGCGGAAAGGAATACCCTGTTCCTCGTCCTTTTCGACGCGGACGAAGCAGCATCCAACGTCCATTTGCTGGAGTTGGTCGCCGACTTCACCGAGGCCCGTGTCGCCTTCCTTTGGTAGTTTGGGGAACATCTCGCGGATGAGTTGGTGGAGGGTTTCTTTGCTTTCGAGCTTGACGATGCGCTTGTGGGCCCAGGGTTCCAGGATGCGGATTCCTTCGTTTTGGAGGCGCCAGGGTGCTTGCGTGCGGTCCATATCTTTGATCTTGTGGGCGACAAACATGACGACGCCGCAGTGGATGAACTTCATACCGCGGTCCTTGTTCTGCGAGATGATCGTCTTGGCCATGGCTGAGGTGTAGTAGATTTTGTTGAGGGAGAGTCCTTCTTTGTTCTTGACCATGAAGCGGTCGCGTGGAAAGCGGCTGTCGATGCCGAAGAAATCCATGATAGAGGCAATGGTCTCGTCGTCCGAGGGGAGGTACTCAAAGTACTCCTTGGCCTGGGACTGGTTCTCAGGCTTCAGTCGGGCTACTGAGCCGTTGGCTGCGGGCTTGGCGTCCTGTGTTTGTGCTGAACCATTTTCTGTGGGCTTAGCATCTGTGTCTTCGGACGTTTTGCTCTTCTTTGGGAGTGCATCATCTCCCGACTCCTCCAACTTACGCTTTAGGGGGGCTGCGACCTCTGGAACTTCGTCTGTAGACTCCGTCTTGGTGGCATCCGCTTCGATTACGTTCTCAGTCGGAGTTGGGACGGATGAGTCAGTAGTCGTGTCGGCATGTGCCTGACCGCGTTGAGCCTTGGCCAGGTTCTCCGGGTTCTGCACCTGTGCAATCTTGATATCGTCTAGCTTCTCAAGAATGGCGATGAAGAAACCACCAGTATCCTGCAAGTGTGGGTAGACACGTATGCAGCGCTCTAGTGGAATGCGCTCTTCAGGAGACTTGGGCACTGGCGGGAAACATCCAGGAGTGATCTTTTGAGAGAACTGGCGTTCTGGCTCTTCAATCTCGTACTTTGCCTTTGCCTTTTGGAATGCCTCCCAGTTGGTGAACATGTGAGCAGTCTTTTCTCCTCCTGCAGTAGTTGATGTTGTGTCCAAGACTTTCCACGCGTTGAGACCAGGTTTTCGCCTGAGATTTGGTAGGTGATCTGAGCAGTCTACCAACTGGACCTTGGAGTTACCGCCGCAAGCTTCAATAGCTGCTGCAACAACAGCCTCGTTTTCTACAGGGTTCAAACTGCAGGTCGAGTATACCAGACGGCCACCCTTCTTCAACATCTGTAGTCCTCTGAACAGAATGCGAAGTTGAAGACCGTGCAGACCAAGTCCATCTTTCGGCGTCCATTTTTGCCACACATTAGGGTTCTTACGAGCTGTTCCATCACCGGAGCATGGTACGTCAGCCAAAATCCTATCGTACTTCAAGTACTGCTTCTTCTGACCGTCGACGCTTGGCAGTTCGATCGAAGGGAAAATGGAGGCGTCGTGTTGGGTGACGATGAGATTGGGGAAGTTGAGTCGCTTGACCTGATGGACCAACATGCCGGCACGCTTGTAGTCGGAGTCGTTCGCAATGAGCAGGCCAGTTGAGCGACCGTCGTCGGTGTAGTCACCATCTTCGGCCAGATCGACAGACTCGCCGTTTGCTACCCGTTGTACGCGCTCTTCCTCGTCGCCATGAATCATCTCAGCCAACTGTGCCGACTTGCTGCCCGGTGCTGCGCACATGTCGAGGACTACCATACCCGGCTTGACATCGAGGAAATGTGGTGGAATCATACTGACGACCTCCTGTCTGCTGATATTACCCGATGCGGCTTCTGCGACAAGGAACTTTTGGAAATCGGCAAAGGGCGCATGTCGTCGAATGACCTTCTTGTGGGTCTTCATGTGCCATACGAGCTCGTCTGGGAAGGCTTGTACTGGCTCTGGGGGCGATACGGGCTTGCCTTCAAACTGCTTGGATGCGATGGCTGGAATATATCGCTGCTTGAAGATCTCGCGCACTGCAAGAGCATCGGACTTTGTGCCAGTGAAGCGGAAGCTGTTGGGCAGGTCGGCTTGGAGAGCCTTCCACATCTGCTCGAATTCTGCTTCTTCGAGAAATCCTCCCAAGCGGTAGTAGCTCTCGAAGAGTTCATTCTTGCGCTCAATGTTGGCCCATGGCTCCGAGCGAGTATCTCGTCCTCCTCCTCCACCACCACCGCCGCCGCGACCTCTACCCTTGCCGCGAAATGGCTTGCGACCGCCACCCTGCGCAAAATGTTAGTTATGTCATGTAAAGGCACAGAATGCGACCACTTACACGACCTCCACCTCTTGCCATTGCTGCGATTTAGGATTATATAAGAGCTGGGATTTGCGACACTGCAGCAGCTTTCGCAAGTTGAGCTTTCAGGAAAACGTCGATAGCTTTGAGAGCGCGCCAATAGAGCGGGGCGGTCATGATGCCCCGAGTCTTGGCGCACGCGCTAGCGTCCGCACATGAATTTCGATCTCGCCTACCAAACTTTCTCTCTCCAGCTCGACTCGACAACATCAAGCCTACTAACCACCAGCAAAATGGCCCGCTCATCGTGAGTATACTATCATATACGATTAATTGCTCAATTCTAACTCATTCAGCGTCCCCACCCACAATGACATCCTTGTCCCCGAGTCGGTCCTGAAGAAGCAGAAGGCTCACCAGAAGACGACCGACTCGCAAGCGGCCGACCTGAAGAAGAAGCGTGAGGTATAACAATCTCCCAGAACC